ATCGGCATCGGTCCGGACTAGTACAAGCAGCCACATAAACACACACACGTACATGCACGTCGCTATATAAGTGCAATAATCTTGGACGCGACGTCAAACCCCATTTCACCTCACCTACAAGATTTGCATATCCCGTGACCGGACTTTTCTCTTGTTTGTAAACAAACGCGCTTTTTCAGAAATCAGTGTAGAACGGACTAATGCAAGTATTTGGGGGCGCTTTACATATTGTTTTGCATAATTATTTAGATATGCTACTACAACTGCGACAGTGAGTTGCATGACAATATATATATATTACATCAAAGTGACCGTATCGCTAGCTCTCCGTTGGGCTTCGATGACAGCACGTGGAGCCGTACAACCAATGTAAACAACTACGGATAACTACGCAAAAACAAGTAGATTTTCACGTATTAGCATACTTTCTTAATTAACCGTAAACATTATTTGACATTTGTTTCTGAAAATGGGTAGACTTGTCAAACATGAAACGGATGAAAAGCTTATCAATATCTTGCATGGACTGTGAAAGATGTGACGAATCGTCACATGGCGCTGGCCTGTGGCACTATGCTGGCTGGCTGCCGGTCGCATGGAACTCTGGGTAGGAGAGTGGACGTGCAGCTGACAATCCGTGCGTCTAAAAATAAAATATTGTTTGGCGTAAAGCCAAAATTTGCAAGTGAAAAATAAGATTAAACAGTCCCAGAACTTTCGAAAACTTTGTTTCGAAAACAATGTCCGTATGACTTTGAATTCTGCCCCTTGGGACCATTATTACTTGGGGCGGTCGGGTAGCCTATTGGTTAAAGCGTTCGCTCGTCACGCCGAAGACCCGGGTTCGATTCCCGACATGGGAACAATGTGTGAAACCCATTTCTGGTGTCCCCCGCCGTGATTTTGCTGGAATATTGCTAAGAGCGGCGTAAAATCAAACTCACTCACCGCTCACACCATCATGACTTTCCGACAACCATCTTGAAAATGACACTGCCGACATGGCAGTGGTGGGGATTGGAACAGAGTAAAGCAACTCTCTTGTGATGGATGAATTCATAAACTTTGTTATGCATAAGTTAATATGAGTACAGACCTTATTGTTGTCTTGAAGAACAATGCGGTAAAAGTTTCGTATAAGAATATGAGAACAGAGGTTACCCCAGAGTCATGGCAATATTTTCCGTTTGAGATTGATAAAATAAATCCTTATGGCTGATACATCGGTAGTGTCAGTGGTTTCTATTTACATTGTGACCGGGTAACTAGGACTCCCCGGACATGTATATGTAGAAATGAACGTGCGGTAATAATTCCTGGATGTAGAATTGAGTACATTCCTTCTCGGGTTCGAAAAACACGCAAACTGCTATCTTTCTTCTTTTGTGTTCATTCATAGATATACACAAGTTATGAACGTGGTAACTATCATGAACTTTCAAGTAACTTCCAAAGATCGGTCGCTATATAAGTGCAATAATCTTGGACACGACGTTAAACCCAATTTCACCTCACCTCACCAAAGATCAGCTCCGATCTTGTACATTCAATCGATTTACTCTTACACGTGAAATTGAACTCATGGTAAACAGACGCCTTTTAAAAAAATAGATGCATTTTTATACATCTACATTGTGGAGTTGCACAAACCAAAGACGTTTATATCTATTTTCGTCTTTGCCCAAAGGGACCTCATGATTATGTAGACCGACTCCGTGGTCTAGTCGTAGAGCATCTGCCGGAAAGCGGAATGTCTGGGGCTCGATCCCCGGCCGCGTCATTCCGTAAGACGGTAATGGATGGTACTTGTTGTTACCCTGTCTGGCGCTCGAAGGGGACAAAAACAAGGACTGGTCGGCTCGGAGTCAGTGCAGTGTGTCTGAGTGGGGTATTCATGTTAAACTGCGGCGGTCGGTGCAATAATCTTGGATGCGACACAGTTCACCTCACCTCATGTCATCACTAAGTGAGTGAGTGAGTTGGATTTAACGCCGCTTTGAACAGTATTTCAGTTATATCGCGACGTGGGAGGAAAGCCCGAAGTGATGCAGGTCTCAGACGTCTACCACGTTTGTGAAACCCACGAGCACGGGTATGGTGCTGACAAACCTAGAAACATAAGCGGGGAAAACCGGGATTCGAACCCACAAACATAGGTTTCTGGCGTGCCCAAGGGACGCAACTCTGCACAGCGAATCGCTGCGCCTTAGACGACTGGGCCACCCGTGCCCCCTGTCATCACTAAGAATAGAAACACTTCACAATTAAAGCGCAAAGCGGCTGCATGTTTTTACATGTGATGAAGAACGTAGTCTGAAGTATTAACGATAGTAAGTATAAACATGCCCTTACCAACGCCATCTAGTAATCTCAAACATTAAATAGTAAGTTACATAAACTGACTGTTTTAACTCCAAGCGTCACAGCTCTGGCTGTTGCAGACCATAGGATCACCACAAGGTGTCAACACCGTTCAACTGTGCTTCTAATTTATGTACAGTGAACCATCTCGAATTGCGTTTTAGTCTATTTACAGATTGCAATTGACTGGTCGCACACTTTCCCGCTCGCTATAAATAGATTGATTTTATTTCCTGGTTCAAATCATGAATGACAGGGCATTTCTGAATGGCGATACTACAGCTCGACCTGCCACCCGTGGTCTTCATTGACACGCTTCCCATGGAAAACGCGTGACCGACTTGAGTGATCCACAGCTGGTAGACTGTTGACATAACTGGCTCACACACCCCGGTCCATGTTGCTCAAGCTAATCACAGCGATAGCTATCGCTGCCACCAGTCAAAACTCCCCACTGTGAACAGGTGGCCACAACCATGCTTGGAGTTGAACTCGCAACCGAATGACCGTTATGTTTACAAACAAGTGACGACTGTCGTGACGCCGAATACACTTATCGCTGCTAAATTACTTTCTTCGTTTGTCAACGCGTTGTTTAACGCCACACTCAGCAATATTCAAGCTATATGACGGCGGTCTGTAAATAATCGAGTCTGGACCAGACAATCCAGTGATTGATATAATTAGCATCGATCCACGCAGTTGGGATCGATGACATGCATCAACCAAGTCAGCAAGCCTGATCACCTGATCCCGTTAGTCGCCTTTTACGACAAGCATAGTCGCCTTTTACGGCAAGCATGGGTTGCTGAAGACCTATTCTACCCCGGATCTTCACGGGTCTTTTCTCAAAGGAGTAAGTGAGTTTGATTTCTTTCTTTCAGGTTCGTAACGACGTGTCAGCTTGGGGGGAAGTGAAGCCGGTGTTGACGTCTACCAAGCAAAGTAATAATCACGACTGACGGAAGCTCAAGTCACTTACGTGAAAGAACCATCCCCGGTCACAACTCCAAAACTACGGTAATACGAAGATTGCGTAGGATATGAGCCCAGACAGTGAAGAACCGTTTACGCGGTGAAGGTATTCGCGCTGGACTACCAGTTTGAGGTGTAATTTTGACGGACTTACGCGGTCGGCTGCGACGGCAATGGTGTCAAGGTCACAGAGTATGACCACAACTGCGATGGAGACGAGGTTGGTTAGTGACGAGTCTATGCGCATGGTAGACGTCGTGTTTACAGGCGTCGCGGGGAGCGTTATGCGCGAGACTCCATACAAGAAGTGGACAGATTTGGTAGTGGTAGTGTGATGATGTGGGCAGCCATCTCCTACACTTGTAAAACAGACTTGGTGCAAGCTCTCGGGAATTTAACGGCACAACGTTATGCGGATGAGATTCTTCGGCCACATGCCCTTCCCATTAAGCATCAAGCGAACGTCGACCCGTGAAGATTCCGGGGTAGAATAGGTGTTTAGCAACCCATACTTGCCGTAAAAGGCGACTATGCTTGTCGTAAAAGGCCACTAACGGGATCGGGTGGTCAGGCTCGCCGACTTGGTTGATACATGTCATCGATCATCCCAATTGCTTAGATCGATGCTCATGATGTCAATCACTGGATTGTCTGGTCCAGACTCGATTATTCTACAGACCGCCTTCATATAGCTGGAATATTGCTGAGTGCGGCGTTAAACAACAAAAAACCAAACAACAAATCAAGCGAACGTCATATTCCGGCAGGACAACTCCCGACCTCACACGGCAAGACTGACAACTGCCTTTTTCAGGAATCTGAAGTGTACAAGCACTGAAGGCAGAGTTAGTGAACATTCCCCAGGCCCAAATTTGAGATCTGATTGCTTCCATGGGACGACGATGCCAGTCATTTTTGGACTCTAAAGTGGTCATATAAGTTATTGAGAACAGATGACTTTCACCTTGAAAATCTACTGTTCCGTGTGTGCCACATGGAACCTGGCTCCATTGCAATGATATGTGCCAATTTTGAACAACCGATTACAATATATGATATATAAAATATTCAGCTAAAATCACTTTTCTACTTCAAAGGAATAGGCAGCAAGGGTGGTCCTGTCGCTGTGCAGAGTTGCGTCCCTTGGGCACGCCAGAAACCCATGATTGTGGGTTTGAATCCCGGTTCGCCCTGATTAGGTGGGCTTGGCCTATTTTTTTTCTCGGTTCATGCTAACATCAACACACAAAGAATTGACCAGCTAGCCAATCAAATGTCATAGAAGCAGTTGCAATACATGTATATTGAATTTCAATTCAAAACAGTATAAGCTAGCCCCGCTTATGTAATCCAAGTACTTTAATTATTGGCAAATATGTAATGTATCTTCTAAAGCATAGCATTTGAATCAAAATGAAGCCATGGAAGCAATGGGGTCCAGGGTATTGTATGATAAAATGGAGAAATTATACCCAAGATAATTGAGGATGGTGTCTTTTTTAACCTTAATAATTGTTTTGTTTTAATTCTCTATGTATGTAATTCACGGGGAATCATGTACCGATCAAATATTATTTCAGTTAAACTATTTACATAAATAGAAATCATTTAATGAACAAAGCGCGAATTCATGTCGCGTTATCTCCATACGTGGTCCTGCAGCGGATCACACCCCTCTAGAGCCTCGTACACGGTCACTGTGACCTATTTACGTATTCGACTTCTTGTCTGTCGTACTTGGCGAGATACCTCCGCCAGGCCACACTCGAGAAGTGTAGTCTCGTTTCTTCATTCTCTTCACTGAATACATAGGTAGGTTTGACTTGAATTCGTTCCGGGTAAGTAACCTCTCCGCTGACTTGTTCTGCATATTTAACCATTGAATTATTCAATTTAACTTGACTTGCTTTGACTCTAACACCGCTCTTGATTGAAGGGAGACACAAACGTGATCACCATCACAAAGTATCAAACATGTTTTCGTGTACCAAACATACACAAAAACACGTGTTCAGTGCATGCCAGGCGAGCAACAACATCCGTTAATATGTACACGTCACGACATGATGTATTCAAGGGAGGCTACTCCGTTATTCATACATCGATATCACATTTTGGATGGAAATTAAAATAGTATATAGCATAGTGTCGACATCCTACATGACTAGTTAACAAGGATTCACTGAGGTGTGACAAATAGTGAATAGTCAGGTGTTGAGTTCACATTCAGCAAAATAGAGCTTCAAAGTATGAATAATTATAGATTGAAAATGTGAAGAAGTCGTAAAATCCTTCATCATGAACAACATAATGAACATCCTCATTGACATAATTTGTCAGGAATATTTACATTGTTTTCTAAAGTTTCCATTGACCCTGATAGATAGACATGGCGAGTCTAGCGTGGAGTTTCACTTTTGCCTTAAGGTTATTGTACAAGATTATTTTAAATAATATGATAATGATTTAAAGGGATTTAACATGGAATCATCGTATTTGTATTAACATACAGTGGTGGGTTCAGGGGCGGCGGGGTGGCGTAGTGGTTACAGTGTTTTCTTTCTACCACCGATGATCCGGGTTCGATTCTTCCAATGGGTACAAAGTGAGAAGCCAATTTCTGATACTTCTGTGTTAGCTAGTCATCATGTTTCAGCTGCTGGGCTGAATCAAAAGCCCCCCCCTTTCAGAAAAGAGGAGTGCGTTATAGGAGTGCCTGGTGATTTAAAATTAATAATACTTATTTCAGAATTGTATAATATGTATTTCATAGAAGTTGACGTGTGACAAAGAAGACACAATTTGTGTATAACAACTTCTTTATTTTTACTGTAATGGCGACGTTTTAGTATTGATCCTGATATCGTTGTCAAGCCAGGCTGAATAATGAACATGGTAAAGAATATATATAGTAGGTGGAGGATTGACAGTAATAACGATTGCATACACGAGAGAGATTAGCATGAGTAGGTTAGATAATAACAACGGAAAAATAACACTCATGATGGACAGAGAACACGTGACGAGGAAGCCATTTAAACAGTATTAAGCATACACAGTTATCGGACTTTCATTTTGTGAAAGCCTCGGTGGATGACTGGGTTAGATCGTTGACTTTTTGTGTGCAATTAGGTACCTCATTCTGGCAGTGTGGTTTCGAATCTCGGATATGGCTCAATCCAAAAAAATACTAGAATCTGTACTTTACTAAGGCAGTGTTATCCCAGATATAACATTTGTTACAAGTGTACACTTGGGGTGATTATTGCTTAATGCTTTCATAGTAGGCGGATGGAATGAAATAGCCTTGATGTCTGTTGATTGATGGCTTCGGGCGGCGAAGGTGGACTGCTTCTGTTAGTTTTCTTGTGAAGTCATGGAGGTTGTTGGAGAGGATCTGGACGTTTTCCCAGTTGATTTTGTTATGTGTGTAGTCGCTGACATGGTCCGAGGTGGCTGATTTGATGGTTGAAGTTTTGTGCTATTTGATTCTGGTGTTGATGGGGCGGGATGTTTCACCTATATAGGGTTTTCCACCGTTACAGTCAGTGTTATTAAGTTGGTTGGTTTGTTGTTTTACGCCGCACTCAGAGATATTCCAGCTATATAACGACAGTCTGTAAATAATCGAGTCTGGACCAGACAATCCAGTGATTAATATCATGAGCATCGATCCACGCTATTGGGATCGATGACATGCATCAACCAAGTCAGCGAGCCTGACCACCCGATCCCGTTAGTCACCTCTTACAAGCATAGTCCCCTTTTACGGCAAGCATGGGTTGCTGAAGACCTTTTCTACCCCGGATATTCACGGGTGTTTTATTAAGTACACATTTAGGTTCAGAGCCGTTCATCTTTGTAATTCTTCTTGTAATTTTGACATCGGGCCATCGAACGGTGAACCATAATCAAACCAGCAGGTGGCGCTGTGAAACGCTAGAATCACACACCTGCACCTACATCCTTAAACGAATCTGATAAAGTTTAATGACGCCATATATTTGTCATTTGGAACCATTGACGTCGTAGTCTAAGGGTCATCAGTAATGCTGTGATTATTATGGAATTAAAAGTCACTGTAAATGTGACAGACCCGAATTTAATTTAACAATTCAATTTATTAATTTTTATACTTTTATTATATATTATATATTTCTGGGCATTTCATTCAGAAAAGTACTGAAAAATGAGTTCAGTGGCGTGTCATGCAATATTTTCAACGTATGATGTAGATTTCGTTATGACATATTTGACCAGCACAATCCTGTTCTTTTAGTATCGCTTGAGGCGGAGATGCCAGTCAAGGTTTCGGAGGAAGATCTCCAAGGTTTCCTGGAGAAGGCGATCGAACTGGCCCGGGCGTCGGGTAAGGTGAGATTGACTTACGTTTTGTGTATGGCCCAGAATGTGAAAAGAAACGTCAATACCTTGGCGGTAGTCAGCCATATTCGCAGATTAGACACATGCATGGGTATCATTTAAATCCGCTAAAATATCACGGCGGGAGAACGCCAGAAAAACCTTATGAAGAATCAAACTGTTGGTGACCTGCCATGATATGGTTTTAATATTGCCAAATGCTGCGTAAATATCATATTCACTCTCTCATTCTATATTATCCTCGGAGGCACGGGTGGCCCAGTCGTCTAAGGCGCCGCGATAGGATGTGCAGAGTTGCGTCCCTTGGGCACGCCAGAAACCTTTGATTGTGGGTTTGAATCCCGGTTCGCTCCGATTATGTTTCTAGGTTCGTGGGTTTCACCGAAGTGGTAAACGTCTGAGACCTGCATCACTTCGGGCTTTCCTCCCACATTCAGCTGATACACCGTGATATAACTGGAATACTGTTAAAAGCGGCGTTAAACCCAACTCACTCACTCACTGTATTATCCTCGTGTATATTTATCGTGTATTGTTTTATCGTGTAAGTAGCGAATATGGTTTATTTTATGATACAAGACTACTCATGGGTAAATGTTTAGTGACAATTGTTGCTGATGCGAGCGATGCATGGGTTGCAAAATGAGACACATGAAGCCCAGTCGCCAAAATCTCCGCAATTCCCTGGAAGAGTTACGTCCCTAGTCAGAAACCCATGATCGTGGGTTCGAATCCCTCTTCGCCCTGATAATGTTTCTAGGTTTGTCGGCACCATACCCGTGCTCGTGGGTTTCACCGAAGTGGTCAGCGTTATTACCTGCATCATTTCGGGCTTTCCTTCAGCGACCGCCACCGTGGTCTAGTGGCAGAGCGTCCGCCCGGAGAGCGGAAGGTCCGGGGTTCCATCCCCGGCCGCGTCATACCAAAAGACGTTAAAAGATGGTACTTGTTGTTACACTGTCCTGCGCTCGACATTAAAGGGATCAAACAAGGACTGGTCGGCTCGGAGTCTGTATACTGTGTCTGAGTGGGGTATTCATGTTAAACTGCGGCATGGTATCTCAGTGTGCTAGCACTATAAATCGGCATCAGTCCTGACGAGTACAAGCAGCCACACACATATAGACACACTCTATATAAGTGCAATATTCTTGGACGCGACGTTAAACCCCATTTCACCTCACCTCACCTCTTTTCTTCCACAACAAGTTGACACGCAGTGATATAACTGAAAGAATGTTCCAAGAGGCGTTAAACCAAAGTCACTCACTCAAATGAAATTTCTGATTTATGTTATGAAATCTGTTTTCGTTGAAACGTCTTATCATGTTTCTCTGTGGCACTGATTGAATGTTCACACGGACACCACTCCTTGACCTCATTATAACGCTTTGGCAGGTTTATACAATGCATTCTTAACTTTTCTTCCAATAAAACGTGTTAATTCACTTTGACCTCGTCCATGTCAGCTTAGGTTCTAGCCTCGCCCGTTGAACTTAAAACCTCTTCTTCTTCATAGCATATAAATAGGTTTTCACATAACTCAAGGTGAGCTTCTGTACCTGATATGCTCTGGTGTTTACAGCTGATGAGAGAGGCATTCTACAAGGAAAAGAAAGTTGACACGAAGACAAACCACGCTGACCTGGTCACCGAGACGGACGGCGCTATAGAGAGGGATGTCATAGCGGCCCTCAAGGAAGCATACCCTGATCACAGGTGAGTGAGTGAGTGAGTGAGTGAGAGGAGTGAGTGAGTGAGTGAGTGAGTGAGGAGTGATTGAGTGAGCGAATCGATCCCGGCCGCGTCATTACAAACGACGTATAAAGATGATACTTGTTGTTACCCTGCCTGTATTAAGAGAAATGGGACTGATAGACTCAGAGTCAGTACAATAGTATAGTCACCACTATAAAACGGCTTTAGTCCGGACTAGGACAATCATTAAAAGTGCAATAACCTTGAACGCGACGTCAAACCCAATTTCACATCACCTCACCTCATCTCACCTCACCTCTCCTTGAAGTCGGGGGGAAAGCAGAAGTAATTTACCGCCTTACCACATGTGCGGATATGGTACTGACAAACCAAGGATCACAACCTGGGCTCACTGGGATTCGAACCCTCATCAAAGGGACGGAGAAATTATACGAAACAAGGATAGTATAACACAGTAATTGACCCGTGAAGACCCGTAGTAGAATAGGTCTTCAGCAACGTTTGCTTGCCATAAAAGGCGACTATGCTTGTCGTAAGAGGTGACTAACGGGATCGGGTGGTCAGACTCACGTACCTGGTTGATGCATGTCATTGTATCCCAATTGCGTGGATCGATGCTCATGTTATCTCTGGACTGTCTGGTCCAGATTATTTACAGACCGCCGTCATATAGCTGGAATATTGTTGAGTGCGGCGTTAACAAGAAACAAACAAACAAACAGTAAATGCTACTGATTCACAAGCATCTGAACATCCCAAGTAAGTGAGTAAGGTTACAACGAGTTCTGTTTTGTTGTGCTTGAGCAAGCAGGCAGACCAGTCGTAAAAAAAATGTTGGTTCGTTAGATATTGACCTAAGTTCGATTATCCCTGTACAATGTGTGAATCCATTACGATGTCCCCCGCCGGACATGAAAAGAGCGTTGCCAGTCTTGTAAGACTGCACAGTATTACTTGTCCATTTGTAAACATGAAACAAACCTTCAACAATACGTATTGTAATATGATCGAAGTATTTTGTACCCTTTCTTATGACAATACGTTCAACATGTTACCACGGTATCGGTGTGTTTAGGTTTATAGGCGAGGAGACAGCTGTAGACGGCAAACAATGTGACTTCACCGACGACCCCACGTGGATCCTCGACCCCATAGATGGAACAACTAACTTTATACACGGGTAGGTAGACATATCCAACACTTCACGGATCTGTATACACTATGTCCCTTCCTTATCCGTGTATACAACTGCCTATTTTTTAGTGTAGTCGTTTTTAACCCACACATTAAGTCATGGCTTCGTGCCAGCGTGAGAAAAACCAGAACGTGCTATAGCACGCCTATATGTCTCACCACTGTCAAACATATGCCTATATGTTTCATCACTGTCAAACATACGCCTATATGTCTCACCACTGTCAAACACACGCCTATATTCTCACCACTGTCAAACATACGCCTATATGTCTCACCACTATCAAACATACGCCTATATTTCTCACCACTGTCAAACATACGCCTATATTTCTCACCACTGTCAAACATACGCCTATATGTCTCACGACTGTCAAACATACGCCTATATGTCTCACCACTGTCAAACATACGCCTATATATCTCACCACTGTCAAACATACGACTGTATGTCTCACCACTGTCAAACATACGCCTATATGTCTCACCACTGTCAAACACACGCCTATATTCTCACCACTGTCAAACATACGCCTATATGTCTCACCACTATCAAACATACGCCTATATTTCTCACCACTATCAAATATACGCCTATGTGTCTCATCACTGTCAAACATGCGCCTATATGTCTCACCACTATCAAACACACGCCTATATTCTCACCACTGTCAAACATACGCCTATATGTCTCACCACTATCAAACATACGCCTATATTTCTCACCACTGTCAAACATACGCCTATATTTCTCACCACTGTCAAACATACGCCTATATGTCTCACGACTGTCAAACATACGCCTATATGTCTCACCACTATCAAACATACGCCTATATGTCCCGCCACTGTCAAACATACGCCTATATGTCTCATCACTGTCAAACATACGCCTATGTGTCTCATCACTGTCAAACATGCGCCTATATGTCTCACCACTATCAAATATACGCCAATGTGTCTCATCACTGTCAAACATACGCCAATGTGTCTCATCACTGTCAAACATACGCCTATATGTCTCATCACTGTCAAACATACGCCTATGTGTCTCATCACTGTCAAACATACGCCCTTTATGTCTCACCACTGTCAAACATACGCCTATATGTCTCATCACTGTCAAACATACGCCAATGTGTCTCATCACTGTCAAACATACGCCTATATGTCTCACCACTGTCAAACATGCGCCTATATGTCTCACCACTGTCAAACATACGCCTATATGTCTCATCACTGTCAAACATACGCCAATGTGTCTCATCACTGTCAAACATACGCCTATATGTCTCATCACTGTCAAACATACGCCTATGTGTCTCATCACTGTCAAACATACGCCCTTTATGTCTCACCACTGTCAAACATACGCCTATATGTCTCATCACTGTCAAACATACGCCAATGTGTCTCATCACTGTCAAACATACGCCTATATGTCTCACCACTGTCAAACATACGCCTATATGTCTCATCACTGTCAAACATACGCCAATGTGTCTCATCACTGTCAAACATACGCCTATATGTCTCATCACTATCAAACATACGCCTGTATGTCTCACAACTGTCAAACATACGCCTATATGTCTCACCACTATCAAACATACGCCTATATGTCTCACCACTGTCAAACATGCGCCATTGTTCTGGGATCATCTACTCACCCCATTGCTTCATATCACACAAGGACCCAAGCACGGTGTTAGGATCATGTGACTTCCGTTAGCTATGCACGGCATGGTTTCATCACTGACCGCCTCTGTGGCCAAGTGGATAGAGCGTTTGCCCGGAGTGCGGGATGTCGTGGATTCGATCCCCGACCGCGTCGTACCAAACCAAATTAAAATATTGTACCTGTTGTTACCCTACATGGCGCTCGGCATTACGGGGCTAAAACAACGACTGGTCGGCTCGGAGTCAGTATACTGTGTCTGAGTAGGAATTTTATGTTAAACTGCGGCATGGTAGCTCAGTGAGCTAGCACTATAAACTCGGCACACACACACACACACACACACACACACACACACACACACACACACAGTGCAAGTCGGTGCAATAATCTTGGATGCGACCCAATTCACCTCACCACATGTCATCACTAAGAATAGAAGCACTTCACTATTAAAGCGCAAAGCGGCTGCATGTATTTACATGTGATGAAGAACGTAGTCTGAAGTTTTAACGATAGTAAGTATAAACATGCCCTTACCAACGCCATCTCGTAATCTCAAACATTAAATAGTAAGTTACATAAACTGACTGTTTTAACTCCAAGCGTCATAGCTCTGGCTGTTGCAGATCATAGGATCACCACAAGGTGTCAACACCGTTCAACTGTGCTTCTAATTTATGTACAGTGAACCATCTGGAATTGCGTTAACTCGATATATCGTTTAAGACGATGGTATAAGACACAAAGGCCTCGACACAATAATATAATTATATACAGGGATCTCATACTCCGCCTGTCTTGATAACACGACATCCATTGAACCCCCAGGACGTCGAGTTGATGAGATTTCGCTTTATAAACACGCTGTAGTGAGTGCGTGAATTTCATTTTACTCGCTTTGAGCAATATTCCAGCAATATCACGGCGGGGGACACCAGAATTGGGCTTCACACCGAGTCTTCGGTGTGACGAGCGAACGCTTTAACCCCTTGGCTACTCGACCGTCCCTTAATACGCTGTAACGTAACATAATATACGTTAGGGCATAGACCAAGTTCCTACCCCTTCCTCCCCTCAAAATGTTAAAAGATCACTAAGTTCAACATGCCACAACAGTTGATTAAAGGGCGGTGGGCTAGCCTAGTGGTTCTTTAAGCGTTCGCTCATCTCGCCGACGGCCGGGTTCGATTCCCCACATGGGTACAATGTGTAAACTCCATTTTGTCCCATGCCGTGATATTGCTTGGATATTGCTAATATCGACGTAAAACCACACTAACTCACTCACTCACGAGTTGATTTATAACACTAACCAGAGACAGAGAGAGCAGTCCCCTTACATCCCCTCTATAATGTCTCTTGTATATTACAGAATTCCAGACTTTGCCTTCTCATTAGGCGTGACGGTTAACAAGGAGGTATGTTGATTACATTTTTTCCAAATAAATGAAATTAAATCAATGCCAGAGAATAACCGGGGGCACGGGTGGCCCATTCGTCTAAGGCGCCGCAATTCGCCGTGCAGAGTTGCGTCCCTTGGGCACGCCACAAACCTATGATTGTGGGTTCGAATCCCGGTTCGCCCCGGTAATGTTTCTAGGTTTGTCAGCACCATACCCGTGCTCGTGGGTTTCACCGAAATGTTTAACGTCTGAGACCTGTATCACTTCGGGCTTTCCTCCCACATTAGGCTGACACGCCGTGATATAACTGGAATAATGTTAAAAGCGGCGTTAAACCCAACTCACTCACTCAGAGAATAACCAGTCACGAGACGAGGATATCTGGAAACAGATTCCATTGGGCGTAAAAGGCAAAATAGCGGCGAAAATTCTGAATTCCAGCATCGATGCTGGAATAGCTCCTTCTGTTTGAAATGTCATTCTGAATCCTTAATGCAGTATTCGTTACCGCATGTGTCACTCCGCCAGAAGCCGAATGGGGGATCTTCTTACCTGTTACAATGGGCGATTCGTCTTTGCCCTTTATCTAAATGACTTTGGGCCTTTTTTGTCCATCTTCCCGAGGCAAGAGAGTGGACAGCAGCTCGACCATTCGTTACGAAGTTTGTAGTGTTGATTAAAGGGAGACTACCCTGTTTCAGCCAGTAGTAGGAGTTATCTACCTTCCCATACCGGACACGATGTACACAGCAAGAACAGGAAAGGGAGCTTACTGCAATGGCAAGAAAATAACAGCAAATGTCATACACGGTAAGACCACAGGAATATCAAATTTGTATAAAATACCATTTACCGTTTATTGTTCTCGAGCGGGGATTTGTTCTGTTGGAGGCAGGATATTACTTACTATGAAACATCCCTCTCTTAACACCCCTCGGGGTTACGTATAGAGAAGGTTACCGTATTTCCTCTATAAAACCGCAGGCGTCTGTTATTTTCGCACAAGCCGTTGACCAGCGTCTTTTTACTGTTTAATGCTGGTTCAGTGGCCACTCACCACTACCATAACGAATCCCAAATTCTACAGTTATACAAAGGGTTGGTTGGTTGGTTGGTTTGTTGTTTAACGCCGCACTCACTAATATTACCGCTCTATGACGGCGGTCTGTAAATAATCGAGTCTGGACCAGAAAATCCAGTAATAAGATCATGAGCATCGATCCACGCTATTGGGATCGATGACATGCTTCAACCAAGTCAGCGAGCCTGACCACCCGATCCCGTTAGTCGCCTTTTACGACAAGCATAGTCACCTTTTACGGCAAGCATGGGTTGCTGAAGACCTATTCTACCCCGGAATCTTCACGGGTACATTTGCAGGAAACGGTCACCAACATTTACAGTATAAAATAGGAAACTGTTAATGATATCTTCGTCATTCATTGATTACATCAAATGATAGACCCGGCGTCTAATAGAGAGGCTCAGCTTCTATCTTTTTGACAGGGTGTGTAATGGGGGAAATATGGTATTTGATAGTTTGGTAATGAAATAACATTTCGTTATTTAATCGAGAGCTATGAGAAAGCCCGCTAGGACAAGGAGTCTGAAACACTGTATATTATTCCTCGTAATAAAACTAATGCCACGTCTGGTAAGTGGAAATATTACCAGAACGTCGCTGACTTGGTTGAAGCTTGTCATCGATCCGACTTGCGTGGATCGATGCTCATGATATCAATCACTGGACCGGATTGTCTGGCCCAGACTTGATTATTTACAGAGCGCCGTCATATAACTGGAATATTGCTGAGTGCGGCGTAAAACAACAAACCAACCAACTTTCCTTTTATAAATACTGCATGTCATTCTAACAGATAATATTCACCTCATACATTTCATATATGTTGTTACATGATGTGTTGTATGTCCAAGAAGTGTCGACAGAGATGATGTTGATGTTGCAGAGGTGAGTCAGGCCCTGGTGATGTCCGAGGGGGGTAACGGGCGGGACGAGACGGTCATCCGGACCCACTCCGACAACCTGCACCAGATACTTACCCGCAGTAGAGGGTAAGCCAGCCTCCCAATGACGTCGGAACTATGAGGGTTTAAAATTCGAGCTATATGACGGCGGTCTGTAAATAATTGAGTCGAGTCTGGACCAAACAATCCAGTGATTGACATCATGAGCATCGATGTACGCAATTGGGATACGATTACATGCATCAACCACGTGAGCGAGCCTGACCACCCGATCACCTTAGTCTCCTCTTACGACAAGCATATGGGTTGCTGATGACCAATTCTTACTCGGAATCATCACGGGACTTTACACACATGCACATGCACACACACACGCACACGCACGCACGCACGCACGCACGCACACACACACACACTCACACACACAAAGATTATAAACTTTGCTTCTTAACAAATATTAAAGCCGAGATGTTCATCCGGTGTAATTTGTTTCAAATTCGCGGGTGTTGTTGAATATTTGATGCCTGGAAAATTCATTGGGAACTGGCGGCGTAAGCATTACAGTATAGTTATAATAATGTACTATATAATGTTACCATGGCTTTTAACATAGATATATGGTATAAAACGCATTGTCATCCAATAATTATTAGGGTTTTTTTCAGGTTACGTGCGTACGGGTCGACGGCGATTGACCTGTGTAAAATTGCCTGTGGTCAAGGGGAGGCGTATGTCCAGTATGACTTACACTGCTGGGACATGGCGGCGGGCGTGGTCTTGGTCCGAGAGGCGGGGGCCACCGTCATGGATCCCACGGGTAGGTGGTTCACAGACTCCTGACAGTGATTGGGTTAACGCCGCTTTAGGGGGCACGGGTAGGTGGTGCACAGACTCCTGACAGTGAGTGGGTTAACGCCGTTTTGGGGGCACAAGTAGGTGGTTCACAGACTCCTGACAGTGATTGGGTTAACGCCGTTTTAGGGGGCCACGTAGGTGTTTCACAGACTCCTGACAGTGATTGGGTTAACGCCGTTTTAGGGGGCCACGTAGGTGTCTCACAGACTCCTGACAGTGAGTGGGTTAACGCCGTTTTGGGGGGCACGAGTGGTCAGGTTGTCTTAGGCGCCGAAATTCGCTGTGCAGAGTCCTTGTTGCAACTCCAGTTACCACAGATATCTGTCATCGTGTGAATATAAAACATTCTCTTTCTACAGGCTCCCAGTTGGACCTGATGAGCAGACGTGTGTTGGTAGCTACCTCCGAGGATCTGGCCAGGCAGATATCCGCCATGTTGTCCCATATAGCCAATGGACGGGACTGATCTGCCGTCTCATCTACACGTACCTCATCTTCCCGAGGCAAGACAGTTAACTGACTTTAAAAGTCCACTTTCCACCCTTGCCGAACTAGGCTGGTATTCCTGGGTTCGATCGTAGCGGCACCAGTGGTTATTACGAGTTATGTCCCTTCCTAGCCTCTCCTATGGACCAATCAGATTCAATCACTTTCATTTGTTTCAAACAAAATGGCGGCGCCGAGTCAAGACGATCTGATCGATAATCGAGATCTATATTGTGATAAAACGGGTCTTACATCGCGAAGTGCATCAAATCACGCAACCACCTTGGTTAAAAACATGAAAAGGTATGGAAAATGTCTGTTGACAATAAGTTGGCGGTGCATATGCGGAAATCTGCACGACAGTTTACGAACCGGATTTCGATTTCGTTGCGCGATTTTGATTGGACTATGCATAGACTCATTAGTCCAGCCAAAATGTAACTCCATAATACCAGCCTAGTTCGGCAAGGGTCGAAACTGGACTTTTATAGTCAGTTAACTCTCTTGCCTTGGGGAGGTGCACGTACCTCAGAATGCCCTCGTCACCGTGTCAAAAAACGTTTTTTAAAACATGTTGGTGGATCCCAGAATAAAACTATTTTAGAAGCTGTTGTCGTCATTGTTTGTTACATACATTGTGATTCCGTTAATTCAGGCCCTGCATGATGTCCCCGATGGTGCTGATTGTGAAAACAACTGAATTGACCAATCACAGACACGTAGAAGTGTCCCTTTTGTACATGTTAAGAGGTTTCCAATAGTGTTTGTCCGGGTAATGCGGTTTCCGGACTAATAAGGTTACATTGCACGAAAATCAACCGGTTCAACAGATATGTTGCTAAACAATGGGCGTGTCTTGGGGGTAAAGTCATTTTCACGGAGTGTTTTTGTGAATGTATACTAATTATGTATTCATGCGTTTCAACATGGAAAGGATTAAGGATTGGTCAAACATCTAACTCTGAACACAACATTTTCATTCGCAAACCGCTGAGGTAAACAATTCTTTATAAGTATCTTATGTGTTTTGTACAAAACACAAAAAAATAACAACTTATATTAAGAAATATGCTAAATATGCACACATGCAGAAATATGCTAAATATGCACACACGCACACAATATTAAATTAGAAATATGACTCGATCTTCTGTATCTTGATATATCCACAAAACCATGTAACATCGGCACACCGCTTGTCTCGAAATAGGGATAAGTCGACATTAAGACGAACTATGTAAATGACGTAAGCTAGACTCTCACAAGGGACCCTACATGTCAGGTTGTATGGTAATTTTATATCCTCGACTATCAACTGTGTTTGTTATATTTCCACGCTCGTATGATGAACACCCTGAACCCATCTCCATCGCTCTTCTCGCTCCAGGTGTAATTTGATTGGATGGCTTTTTTTAGCGACTTATCTTCCACATACGGTTTAGATCTGTGTTTGTTAGTTGTTTAACGCCATACTAGGCAATATTCCAACAATATTTTAGCGACTTGCCTTTCACATACGGTTTAAGACGAAGCTGTGTCGCTTGTTTGTTGTTTAACGCCGCACTCAGCAGTATTCTAACTATATGATGGAAGTCTGTCAATCTCATTAAAATCAGACCTTAGTTCTCGCTATCGCTAAACAAAGATCTGAGGACATCCCAGTAGGGGTCACGTCAGAACGACCTTTCATCCGACCAATCAGAGCGTCGCTTACCAGATCATGAAAGTGACAGTCGGAATGTGATTTCTAATCATGCCTCCTTGAAAACTTTAACACGGGGTATCCCGAGCGATAGTTACGGGCTTAACGACTGAATCCATCCAATCTAGACCATCTATTAGCGCTTCCAGAATGTTCGTTTGTTCAGGTTTCAAATTTTTAATCGAGAATTTGTCAAAATATGTTTCGAAGCGTAGTCGCCAATTTGAAATTAGTGCCGTAAAGCACGAGAAAGCTGCCTTCTGATTGGTCATTCCATTGGTCCGTCAGAGTTCGCGCAAGGTCGGTCTGACTCGACCCCTACTAGGATGTCCTCAGATCTTTGTTTAGCGGTAGCGAGAACTAAGATCTGATTTTAATGAGATTGGAAGTCTGTAAATAAAAGTCTGAACCAGACAATCATGTGATGAGCATCGATGACATGCGTCAACCAAGTCACCAAACCTGAACCCCCGACCCCCCCAAACCCCCAAACCCCCGACCCCAGTAGTGCTGCATGGAGATGTGTAATCCTGGATAACAGAGGGTGTTCAGATTCTTGTTCAGTGCATATTACCTGTGTTTGAATATCCACGGAGCAAGAAATTCGTGATATCCTATCTTAAACTGCCGGGCAACAGAAAGCACACACCCAAGTTTGATGGTGGCTAAAAATGAAACTAACTGAAGAAATGGTTATTCGATGGCAATTTAAAATATCAGGCGCTATTACATGCAACATATCAATTAGTGTCTCGCGACTCTATTTCTGTAAACTCTATTTCATACTGGTATCATAGGCGATATAACCCGATATAAGGCTACAAATGAAACTAACAAGAAAATGGTTATTCGATGGCAATTTAAAATATCAGGCGCTATTACATGCAACATATCAATTAGTGTCTCGCGACTCTATTTCTGTAAACTCTATTTCATACTGGTATCATAGGCGATATAACCCGATATAAGGCTACAAATGAAACTGACAAGAAATGGTTATTCGATGGCAATTTAAAATATCAGGCGCTATTACATTTATCCTATCAATTAGTGTCTCGCAACAGGTGACCTGCACATGACGTCCGAATGAACATGAGGGTCGCAATTTGGCGAATGTTTTCAAGTGTATACTTCTTTTGCCAGGCAGGGTATTTTATTTAAAAGTACAAGGAAGTCATTGAGAGTATAAATCTCTACTAATGTTATATTCATACGTTGGATAAAATCATTTCTACCAACAATATTTTGTTTTGTTTGAAATTAATGTAGTCATTTCGTCAAATGTGTTGTTTCTCAACACTGTATACAACCACGTACCTTCATGATCTCAGTATCTTGGAGGCTGAAAGGAGTGAGTGAGTTGGGTTTAACGCCGCTTTTAACAGTATTCCAGTTATTTCACGGTGTGTCAGCTTAATGTGGGAGGAAAGCCCGAAGTGATGCAGGCCTCAGACGTTTACCACTTCGGTGAAACCCACGAGCACGGGTATGGCGCTGACAAATCTAGAAACATAATCGGGGCGAACCGGGATTCGAGCCCACAATCATAGGTTTCTGGCATGCCAAAGGGACGCAACTCTTCACAGTGAATCGCGGCGGCTTAGACGACTGGGCCACCAGTGCCCCTTGGTGGCTGAAAGGAAACTACGAAGGATGTGTAGTACACCCACAACAGTTTGCATGTTTAAGGCTCAATTCTTACCATGCTTACATGCTGCATTTGAACCAAGTTTATTTATTTTATTTTTTTTATTTTCTATAAAAAAAAATAATCTTGATTGCATTTGAACCAAATACTCAACCAGGCAACATATTTCTGCAGGCATCAAAGTGACACGGTATTGTTTGTTGATGGAAATGGACAAAGGAAAATGGCGCTGTCATCATTTATCTCCAACTATAAAGACGAATGAACTTGGTGTCCACTTTAGGGTGTGATGCATCTGCCTTTGCCGGCCGCGTCATACCAAAAGACCTTAAAAGATGGTACTTGTTGTTACCCTGTCTGGCGCTCGGCACTAACGGGCTAAAACAAGGACCGGTCGGCTCGGAGTCAGTATACTGTGTCTGAGTGGGGTATTTATGATAAACTGCGGCATGGTATCTCAGTGAGCTAGCACTATAAATCGACATCAGTCCGGACTGGTACAAGAAGCCACACACACACACGTGCATGCAAGTCTCTATATAAGTGCAATAATCTTGGACGCGACTTTAAACCCAGTTTCACCTCACCACCTCACCTTCCTTTCTCATTGTTAAGATCTGGGCAGCGGAGTTCGAGAAGAGTAGTGACAGCCGCGAAGATGATCCAAGATCAAGAAGACCTTCAACTGCCGCAGTTAAGGAAAATGATTATAATAAATTATATATAATCATGATCAACATGATCGATGATCGATCGACGACTCACAACACGTCACATAGCCAATGTCTGCATCTCTCGTGGGAGAGTTAGGAATATTCTGAGGAATGAGACAAAGGACTAAGTTCAAGGCGTCTGACTCCTGATCAGAATCGCTCCAGGTTCATCGTCCATCGTGAGAATGCACGAAGTTTTCAAGCAGCCCCAGCTGGCTTTGTGGAACAAGTTGTTACCATGAATCGCCGCAGACAGACAAGAGGCCAAACAACAGTCAAAGCAGTGGAAATCTCTAGCGCCTCCTCTAAAGAAGGCAAAGTTTGTTCCATTAGTTGGAAAGGTGATGACGTCGGTTTTCTGCGATTGCACACACACACACACACCCATAATAGTTCAGAACTCACAACATTTCAGCCCCACCTCATATATCAGCAATACGCATAGTTCATTGCTGTTAAGTGTTGTGGGCAAGGCTTTCCCATTGGTATGGAGCACTTTATTTCACTGCAGAGTATCCTCCCTTGGTCGTACCAGCTGGATACACTGCGATACGACAACACTCTACCTGTAGATCTGACAGCTCCCCTCAATAGAAAAAGCAAAAACAAACCACACAGAACACAAACATACCCTCGAAAGTACGATAATTTGGCTGTATATCCCATAGCGCTCCGAAACCAGAAGATGTTATAATATCTACAACAATACAGGGCGGCCTTATTTATTTTGCAATCGGAAATGCCCGATTATGTTCGAGATACAGAAATCAGATATACTGGTCTTAATACCCTGTTCACTCGTACCGACTGGACCTTCTATGGATGGATTGTGAGAGAGGTGTGATCTGTCATACAGACAATGAAACAAATAAATCCAATACAGCCCATGCAAGTCTAAAATAGTGGGCAAGTCTAGATTATTGCAGTTGCAGGCTGAAAATGAAGACAGTCTGTTATTTTTCTGTAAAATATATTTTCTTTAGACTAGATGTTAGTCCCCATTGTACCCGTAAAGATCCGGGTTAGAATCCGACTTCAGCAACCCATGCTTGTCGCAAGAGGCGACAAACGGTATCGAGTTGAAATGCGGTTTAACCTCTCGTTCAACGTTATTAAAGTTATTTAGCAAAAAATATTTTGACAAAGTATTCTATTAAAAATTTGCAAACTGAACAAAAGAAAATTAGGGAACGTCAAAATGATGGCAGAGACTGTATTGCAGTATTACCCTATGGAATTAAGTCTCTTCCGTTTCCAATGAAAGGAGTGAAGTCTAGATGCTCAACACCAGTAACATGTGAAACACAAGTTACATGCAGGAGGAATCTTCAGAGGCGACTAACTGGATCGGGTGGTGTGGTTCCCTGACATTGTTGATACATGTCACCATATCTCAATTGCGCGGATCGATGCAGAGGGCAAAAAAGGCCCTTATCCTACCTCCTTCTTTGCATCCCAATTGTACCCGTGAAGATCCGGGTTAGAATCCGACTTCAGCAACCCATGCTTGTCATAAGAGGCGACTAACGGTATCGGGTGATGTGGTTCCCTGGCGTGGTTGACGCATATGTCATCGCACCCTAATTGCGTGGACCGATGCTCAAGTATCCAGGTAGATCTATAGATACCGAGATCGAAGAACCGTTTTATTAAATATGTGGGCATTTTAACAGGTGTGAATTGGACAACCCAACATTCAAGATATCTGAAAGGATTATTCATGACATACCAGCAACTGTGAGACTGCCTACCCCTTTTGGGTAAGAGGATTCGGGGGTCTATTTAGAGGAGGGTTTCTGGGAATCGGTATAGTGTGGTATATAATGACGCAAATAGAATCGTATATATGGTACTCTGATTCAACATTTAAAACAAAATGGATCGTGTACGTAAAAGTCCTTTATGATATTTTATTTTCTCGATATTTTGCAGTAATTTAACTTCAAATCGCTACCTTTTCTCAAGCTTTTGAATGAGCCCCAGAGTGAAAAAGTGGAATTCGGGATTCAGCGGAGGAGGGTATTGGCACCCTCAACTGACACACGTGTTCAGACATACACATGAAAATATATACTCAACAATTCCTGTGACACCAATATTTAAGTGTATTTTTCAAACAAGTAAAGTTTGTTTTTCGATATTGTAGTACATGTATGGAATCAAGTCACAAAAACGCAACTGCTATAGAAAAGCATGCATTCCATGCAAAAGTTGACTTTTATGCAAGCCCCATGCATTTCACTACCCAAGAATGGGTATAAAAACGTGCGTTAACGGGATTCCATATGCAATGTTTAGCATCTTGCTGACAACAACCACTCAGAAAAACAACAAAATTACGCAATTATTAAACATTACGAAATACCACGCCTGTCCGACAATGAGCGTCTGCGAGCCATTGGTATGTTGAAGCAGGATCGACTCAACGTGATGTTGCAAGACAATTTAACGTCCACAGAAACACCATTTGGTGTTTATGGCAACGTTGACAACAGACGAATGCAGTCTGATACCATCCTCGGAGTGGCAGGCCACGCGTAACCAATAATCGACAAGACAACTGGATTCGAACAACACACCGAGGAAATCGATTCCAGCCAGCAACAGTGACCGCAAGAAGCATCCCTGGCCTTCGACGAATATCTTCAAAAACCGTACGTCGTCGCCTCAGATGTGCAGGGATTGTCGCCAGAAGACCCGCCAGACGTCCCATTTTGACAGGAAACCACCGTCAAGCACGTCTACAGTGGTGCAGACAGCGTCTACGCTGGACGGTTATGCAGTGGGGACAAGTTCTATTCACTGACGATTCTCGTTTTCACCTCAGCCACAGCGATGGACGGATTCGAGTGTACCGACGTCGAGGTGAACGTTACGTCAATCATTGTGTCATGGAAGAAGATCGGTTGCGGGGCGGCAGCGTTATGGTATGGGGTGTGATTACAGCAAGACAGAGGACCCGTTTGATAGTGGTAGAGGGAAATCTCAATGGACATGCAGCGCTACCGAGACGAGATCATCGGCCCTGTTGTTTTACCGTTTTTCCGTCGTCAAGGCCCAGGCATTACCTTTCAGCATGACAACGCCCGGCCTCATATTGCTCGACTTGTTCAGGATTCTCTTCAACAAAACAACGTGAATGTCATCCCCTGGCCGGCTCGCTCCCCCGATCTCTCACCAATCGAGCACATGTGGGATGAGAGGGATCGGCGCCTTCGACGTCAACCACGTGTTCCACAGACACTCCAGGAACTTCGAAACATGCTCCAGCAGATATGGACAGATATCCCACAGGACGCCTGGTCCATTCCATGAGACGAAGATGTGTTGCTTGCATCGCAACCAGAGGTGGACACACACGCTATAAATTTGTAAATTGGCATGTTCAAGTCAGTATGGCAAATTAAACCATTTGAGCACTTACAAGGAGTCTTTTATCTGCTGCAAACAGAAATTGTTACAGATTTGGTAAAAAAAACATAACTTTGCATTAAATCTTATTCAATGACACAGGAACTTTTGTTGTTCAGTATATAATACCAGCTCGACCAGCACTAATGTCGCCTAGAGCTGCGATGGGATCATACAGTCAAGACATGAACCCACATATCACTCGTGGCGTAGGAAGCTCTCGGCTAAGCACTAATGATGAGGCAACAACAGAAGTTTAAAGCGATTATCAGCAAAACCCTGAGATTGGCCTTAGAACTGCATAATACTTTGCCGACCTAAACCCATTTGATGTTTTTTTTTCACAACCGATCCTCGATCCTCACAGCGATCCCCGAACGTTAGCACTGACATGGAGTTTATAAACAAATGAAGGGAGGTCACTCTAAATATTGTGCTACAAGCTAGTCCCGGTTGACAGTCGCATTTGTGTGCGGTGAGCTTGTAAGGTAGGTGTGTGAATGATTGTATAACAATCGCGAACACAATCAACTTAGTATACCCGTTTTGGTTTGATACCAAGCCTGATTTTTATGGTAAAAGTCTGTATTAAAGATACATTTAGAGACCGATTAAAGATTGTAGGATTGATCCTGTAGCAGCGTTCCGCATTCGACGACCTGTCAGCAAATTATTTGTTATTAACCCTCTGGATGCCACGGGACCATATATGGTCCCTCACTTTTCACAGCCGCATAGTGCCAAGGGACCATATATATGGTCCCGAGAAAATTCCCTTTTTGAACCGTGAATTTAGATATCAAACAATGAGTGCACAAAGTCAAAATTATAACCATCATCATCACCCCAATCATCTTAGCTTTAACATCGTGCAACTCATACTTTATACAATGCTACGGATTGCGAAATATGGAGAGATTAGTAAAGGGGCTACAGCGCTTCTTGCCCTTTCTCTGCCATGTTTGAACACCAAGCGAATTACGGCGAATTTTGATTATGCACCCATGTCACATACACGTACATATTTTCAGACAAAAACCTTGTTCATAAGAAATAATATGACCAGAGTTGTCAGAAAGACATGTTTCTCACAACTGTATACTTATTCACGTTAATAGATTTCTGTTCACTCCTTTACGAACAAGTTTATTTACACGTTCTGTATATTTTTGTCGACTTCGGTAATGGCGGAATGGGCGGTACACATGAGAAAACGACAGTACATATCTCGATTACATTTATGACATTCATAGAATGAAATTATAACCATCATCACCCTAATCATCTCAGCGTTAATATCGCGTAACTCATATTTTATTCAGTGCTACGGATTGCGAGATTAGTAAAGTGGTTACGCGCGCGCTTCTCGATCTTTTTCTGCCATGTTGAACTTCATGCGAATGAAAGCAATTTTTTATTATGCACCCATGTCACATACACGTAACTATTATTATATCAGACCGCCAATTTGAAAATGAAATCTGAACTCCACTGTACAGTTATTGGCGTAAGAGTTCTAATGTTTAGTCGTCAGATCATGCAGATGGCCACGGAAGTTTTTTGTTCAAGTATTGCATATGTTTATCGACTGTGTGTCATGGCGATTTAGCATGGCGCTAGAGACGAAACGACCGTGCAGATTGTCTTTTTGTTTATGATGCTGATTTGCAGAAAATATTCAAATCAAAGATATGGAAAGATAGCTATAATCGTTAATATTAAGGTGGTATAGAGTATAGATCTATTTATGGGCAGGAAGTTCATGATCAAAACCTAAACATTGAATGGCCAAGCCCGAAGTAATCGACAGGGCACATTCGCATCATATCTGTGCCGCGATTTCGTGTCTACCGGTTGTCCTACATGCTCGCCCGTTGAGACAAATAACTGCTACTTTATTTTCATATGGAATGACAAAGAGTCATGTGTGATTGCTCAAACTACCTGACCGTGTGAGTGACTTGCCCTAACTGTTTCACATTTTGTCGCAAATGGAGATTTCAAAAGTGTGGCCACGACATCTAACGTGAGTCGACGCGATATTGTAAACAAATTGTGTCAAGGTCTGTTCCACATGTGGTAGCTCGGCCCCCGATTCTGTCAATGGTACATGCGATACAAACATAATGCAACTACTGAAAACATCAACATAACTTCCACAATGCTACAACCGCTTATGGATTCAATGTGCTGTTAGGTTCGATTTTGATTTGTTTTTCCTTTCATTGAAACTGTGATAATGGCGCTGTGATTGGTTTGCTGAAATAGAATTTTCCGTGAGTCTAATGTACATGGTACATGCTGTGATTGTACAAGATAATTGATGACCATTTGTGTATGCATATATATCATCAAATACACATTACTAATCTCTTCAGAATATGGAATATATTATCAGCCTGTATTTCCAACATTCTGCCATGGATATTAGATCTAGTCTAATATTAATATTAGATTTTCATATTATTGATGTACACTAGTGTACTTTCGATTAACATATGATAATCTATTGCAAGTCTTCAACTCTTATTTGATATGTCATCTGAAATGTCAGCAATGTGTAAACTTAATTTTATTTCGGTACAGTCTGCAATTTTATTCGAATAGGCTTATGAACGGTCGGTGATTTCCCACTGCTGTGAATTTGTCGTCTGGACAGGTGCGCGTGATTTGACCTCGCGTGTTGTGACGTGGATGACGTCACATGAAACAGCTGATCTGATGTTGTGGTAGTATAACGGATATACAACGTTATATTTTCCAAATAACAATATTCTCTTTGACTGAACTAGAAAGCATATCCAGTACATCACAAATGGAAAATGTCTACAGCGACCGACGAATGAATGAGACCGCTTATCATTTGTGTTAGAATATTTGGCGCAGTTTTCTAATTTTGGTATATTGACATGTGCTTTTCATATTTGTTTGAAGGCGTGATATTCCCAAAAAATAATGTGCAGGGAATGTATTTTTTACATTGAGAAAGCTGTGGATCCACCGATGTGGTAAACGTCTGAGACCTGCATCACTTTGGGTTTTCCTCCCACATTAAGCTGACACACCATGATATAACTGGAATACTGTTAAAAGCGGCATTGAACCCAACTCACTCAATCACTCAAAACAAACTCAATACATTTAGGTAAACACAAAATATGGAGACTGTAGCCATAAAGTATGGTTAGTAAAATAGGATGAGGGCTTGCAACATTTTTTGCGAACAAGCTCTCCTCGCCAGTGAACTTTGGAAACAAATTCATATCAGTTACATTTTTTATGTACCTTTAGGCCGCACTAGGCAATATTACAGCTGTATGCCGGCGGCCTGTAAATATTCGAGTCTGGACCAGACAATCCAGTGATTGACAACATGAGCATCGATCCGCGCAATTGGTATCGATGACATGCATCGAACCAAGTCAACGAGTCTGACCACCCGATCCCGTTAGTCGCCTTTAACGACATTTTGGTGCATTCAGGAAATAGGCTACTTATCCTTTTATGTTTTTATGTAATATGTATGTCGCAATATGTATGACATGCTATAATGTATGTATGGAACAAGATTCCCGATATTAGTTTGCTGTATAATGCCTCACTCAGCAAAATTCCACCTATGTGATGCTATAAATAAACGAGTCTGGACCAGACAATCCAATGAGCGACATCATGAGCATCGATCCCACAACTGAGATATGATGACAGTCAACCAAGTCACCAAGCCTGACCACCCGATCCATTTAGTCACCTCGAACAAGCTGAGGTTGCTAGAGACCCCCTTTTTTATACAGACTCTACACAGGTTAAACACTATATTAGAATGGGTTGAAACAAATTAGGGTTATGTTATTGACATGACTAGACCATGTGCTACCAGTGTATTAATAAATTTCTGAATGCTTGACACTCTAATAATAATAAATAAATGGTAACATCACTGTGTTAAGTATATATATATACGAATGAGCAAAATAGCACGAAGGTGAGTGATGATTTAGTGTAGCATGAGGTGATGTCTGTAACTCTGCTGCTGCTGCTGCTGATTATTATTCAAGTAATATCTTCTATTCTAAGATGGTTTTCTAAAGGATCAAAGGCAACGTCTGTACTTTATCCAGGGATAAAAGACACTCCCCAAAGATCTAACATATCCACGGTAACATCGTTCTTTCATTCCTCTCAAGGAAGATGGCGCATCCAAATTAATTACCGATTGATGAATTAGTTGATTATTTGAATATTGTTAGTTGGGAAGATATATGTCAAGATGATGTCACCCATCTCTCATGGCTCATGGTTTTCCCAAACAAACACAAACCACTGTGTCCATGCCACAACAGCCACAGAGTGTACGAGACGGGCACAGGGTCCCAAGGAATGTTTATGTTTGCCTCTGCACACCATCTTCCCGAGGCAAGAGAGTTACCTGACTATAAAAGTCCAGTTTCCACCCTTGCCGAAATAGGCTGGTATTATGGAGTTACATTTTGGCTGGACTAATGAGTCTATGCATTGTCCAATCAAAATCGCACAACGAAATCAAAATCCAGTTTGTAAACTGTCAAGCAGATATCGGATGATTGCAGGATTTGCAAAGCATGTGCACCACCAACTCAGTGTCAACAGATATTTTCTAAATCCTTTCATGTTTTTAATCAAGGTGCTCATGTGATTAGATGCATTTCGTGATGTAAGACCCGTTTTATCACAGTTTAGGTCTTGATTATCAATCAGATCGTCCTGATTGGCTCCGCCATTTTGTTTGAAGCAAATACAAATGATATGAGGGGTGGAACCTGATTGGTCCATATGAGAGGCTTAGAAGGGACATAACTCGTAATAGCCACTGGTGGCGCTACGGTCGAGCCCAGGAATTCCAGCCTAGTTTGGCAAGGATGGAAACTAGACTTTTAAAGTCAGTTAACTCCCTTGCCTCGGGAAGATGCTGGTGGCGCTACGATCGAGCCCAGGAATTCCAGTGTAATTCGGCATGAGTGTAAAGAGGACCTTTTAAAGTCAGTTAACTCTCTTGCCTCTGGAAGATGCAAGCTCCTCACAGCAATAGCCCGTTCGCGGAGCTCTCTATACTATCGCTGCCACCAGTCAAAACTCCCCACTGTGAAAAGGTGGCCACAACCATGCTTGGAGTTGAACTCCCAACCGAAGGACCGTTATGTTTACAAACAAGTGACGACTGTCGTGACGCCAAATACACTTATCTCTGCTAAATTACTTGCTTCGTTTGTCAATTTGAATTTCTGTTTCATTAAAACTATCGTGTTATTGATATAGTAAGAATGTAAGGGAGAAGTTGGTTGATTTTCTGTTTGTCTGCAATCTCGAACCAATCTGATTATCAAAACAACAAAGTAAATTCATCTGGAAAACATGGTCAGTCGTAAACCTTTTGAAATTGAAATATGATGGCATTCCCAAAGACATAAACAAAAGTATAAACGTTACTGTATATGGGGTTGGAGGGCAAATTTCAGGATTCTTGTAATGGCCGCGCCCACACTGGTGGCACCGATGTTACCGAGAGTGTAACGAAGGTGACACGCGCTGGGAAGGAGCTTGTGGATGATGCTGCACACAGGCATGGTCAATCCTTGATTAATTTCCTTGTGCGTTAACTATAATATTGAGGACAAAACCATACTTTATAACACAACACATGTGGAGAGAACAGACTTTATTTTCTTAAAAACACCATGGTATTTAAATATGCCCATTTATTTCTTCTCTCTGTGTTTGTTTCAAACATTACCATGATTATCTGTTGTTTCTAGTAATCATATGTAATATCTGCTTGTTTATTATTATCAGTTTGATAGCATTTCTCCCACTCTGAGATTGTAACCATCCCACCATGTCGGTACAAGTCAGCTCTCAGCAACTGCAGGAATTTCTGGACTTTGCAGTGGAAGTAGCTAAGAAGGCTGGAGAGGTTCGTATTCAGTATGGATGAGATTGTATTTGGGAGATAACTTTTTTGTGTTTTCAGATTGTGGGTGTTAATGAGTATTTGATGCCTGGACATTTTGGCATTTGAAACCTCAAGCTAAAGCTGTCTGTTCCAAATTTAAAATTTCCAGGCATCAAATACTCAATAACGCCTTCCTATCTAGAAATGTGACAGAGGGGTAGCCTAGTGATTAAAGCATTTGCTTGCCACTCCGAAGAAAAGGGTTCGATTTCCCACATGGGTGAAATGTGTGAAGCTGACTACTGGTGTCCCCTGCCATGATATTGCTTGAATATTGATGAAAGCGGTGTAGAACCATACTCACTCACTCACTCACTCACTCACTCCTGTCTAGTTTGTTTGTTGTTGTTTAACGCCGCACTCAGCAATATTCCATATGACGACAGTCTGTAAAAAGTCAAAACTGGACAAGACAATCCAGTGATTAATATCATGAGCATCGATCTATGCAATTGGGATACGATGACATGTATCAACCAAGTCTGCAAGTCTGAACACCCGATCGCATTAGTCGCCTCTTTCAACAAGCTTCGTCGCCTGTTATGGCAGGCTTGGGTTGCTGAGGACCTATTCTACCCCGGATCTTCACGGGTCTCCTGTCTAGTAAGACTGTACAGTAGTACATAGTTAAACATGAAACAGAGCTTCAACAATACATATTGCAATATGATCTAAATAATATTTGTAAAGGAGTCAGTATATTAAGAAAATACGTAAATAAGTATAAATCTTTGGGTTTTATCTCTCAAAGGGGAAAAGCCAATGTAAGGCGCTATTTTAGTCTTTAAAAACACAAAAGACAGGTTGAAGGTTGAAGGAAAACATTGTGTACGCCATCTCTGTAATGTCGTGGTGAAACATGCAGGAGAACCGGGCAATTTCACAACACTACTGGGCCGGCACCACCCAATGTCATTTTTACCAACACGTTAATTTTTCCAGTAGTGGCCAAAAGTGCTTGTATTGTTTGCAAGTCATCGCATCCTACAATATCTTGGTTGTAACATCTTCAACAAATGTTCAAGCTACAATAATCATAACCATGTTAATTTCAATACAAGTATATTGCAATGCATATCGCAATACAGACCTAAGTATCGCAATATATTGCAATACAAAATTGCAGCAATATGGGGCACGGGTGGCCCAGTCGTCTAAGGCGCCAATATTCGTTGTTCAGATTTGCATCCCTTGTGCCTGCCAGAAACCTATGATTGTTGGCTTGAATCCCAGTTCACCCTGATTATGTTTCTATGTTTGTCATCACCATACCCGTGCTCGTGGGTTTCACCGAAGTTGTAAACGCCAACAACCTGCATCAATTAGGGCTTTACTCTTACATTGAGCTGGCACACTGGATATAACTGGAATTCTGTCAAAATTGGCATTAAACCAAACTCAGTCACTCCAGGCAATACACAGCACTACTGTCTAGTGAGAACATTTCATCATTGCACATGCACCAACAGTAAATTCCACAAAAATTATACAAGAAGACAAGTTTGGGCTAAGTTGTCAGAATGATGAGATCCATGTGATCTCGATAAAATACTATGTATCCTGCCTTTCAGGGACATAAATTTCTCAGCTGGAGAATAAATCCCTTATACCCCACCATGAACAAGTCAGGCTGCACATGGATTTCTGAGAAGCAGAATAAATCCCATCTGCCCTGCTTCAAAGCAAAAATCTGCACATTTTTTCAAGTCTATGAAAGTCCACTCAGCTAAATCGAACAGCTGTTTACTATAATTTTTGAATTTGTTTTAATTTGTTGTAGAGTGATCACTTGGTGTACATGTTTTTTTTTTGCATCCCGCATTAGGTTTTATACCACGAGCCGGAGGACTTATGATGCCAGACAAATAAGGAATAATAGCTCTTTCAGTTCACGTACAAAATAATTACATTTTTTAAAAATCCAATTAAGCAGTCATTCCTTGTCAGTTCAAGTTTCGTTAAGTCAGCAGTGATATAATTGTGTCATCACAGATGATAAAAGATGGATTTTCCAAGAAGAAAAATGTGGAAACGAAACAGAGCAATGCTGACCTTGTGACCGAGACGGACCAAGCGGTGGAGAAGTGGGTGATCGGATACATCAACGAAAGATACCCCTCACACAAGTAGGTGATATCACTGTCATTAAGGCATAAAAAAAATAAAAGAATTGGTTCTCAGGCAATGGTTTTTGAAAATCTGGTGCGGGCTTTGTCTTTTGAAAAGAAATGATGTTTTTGTTCAAACTTGTATGTAACCAAATAAAAAGTTGTGTAACCAAATAAACAGTTGTGTAACCAAATATACAGTTGTGTAATCAAATATACAGTTGTGTACAATCAACCTAGGAAAGGGACTCCCTTCATAAATGTATTCCACGATGAGTAAAATACTGGAATACAGTATTTGACTGCAGTTAGACTTGGAATATTTAAGGATTTAAAAAAAAGTAATTTAATGGAAATAGAAACGAAACATGCGGCAGATTTTATGATGATGTGGGCGGTGCCTGAGGACCAATACTATTATTTTTTTAAGCCTAATCTCAGATATTTTGCTCTGATACAAAGACGTAAAAGCAATCTTTTGCCATTCATTTGTAGTAAGTTGGATGACATTCTGTGGATGGGAGCCTGGTCAATACCTGGTTTTGTTAGCCAGTTGTTGACAGTGTGCAAAATAATTTTAAAACCCAACGACTATCGGGCAGGTGACCCATAAGTGTTGCCTGCCCATCTTCAAAGTTACCTGCCTTCATTCAGACATTACAAATACTGAAAAGTCGCCAAAAAATAAGATACAAATCGCGTCTTGATTCAGTTGAATTAATGCAAACAATCACTTGAGAATCTACAAAAAGTTATTATAAAACTGAATATGTAAGTAGTTTTAAACTTATCTGCCAGAAAATCGGGCAGGCGGAAGAAAATATCATGCAGCCTGACAGAAAAGTTACCAGCCACGGGCAACGGGCAGGCAGGTATTTTGTACATTGGTTAAAATTATTCAGCCTTTGAAGAATGTTCTCTTTCATGATTTAGGTTCATAGGCGAGGAGACGACAGATGGCGATGTCCCCTGTGACTTTACAGACGACCTGACGTGGATTGTTGATCCTATCGATGGAACCACCAACTTTGTACACAGGTAGGTTCTGGGGAAAGAGGACATTTAGGTCACAGTCTTCCTGGTTGTAAGGGGATCGGGTCATATTGGATTTCTTATAAATAGACATCAACTGTGAAATGACATTGAACGTTGAAGAATAAACTTTGCAGAGGTATTAAAGCAAAATCAGCAATATTTGGAAGCACTCATAAATCTGTCAACGATTCACAAAACTTTGTATCTGATACAAACTATGGGTATACTCAACTCAGTCTAAGGTCTCCACCTGGTCAGGTTGCCGGGCTGTCAAAGGTGCCACATTCACTATGCAGAGTTACGTCCCTTGGGCACGCCAGAAACCTATGATCTTTGGTTCAAATCCCAGTACATCCTGATTATGTTTCAGCACCATATTCGTGCTCTGGTTTCACCATCTCAGACCTGCATCACTTCTGGTTTTCCTCCCACATTAAGCTGACAAGCATTGATATGACTGGAATACTGTTAAAAGCGGCATCAAACCCACTCACTCACTCTATGTTTACTTTGTGTATTTATTTTCCATTCTAGCATCCCTGAAGTATCGTATTCCATGGGGTTGACAGCCAATAAGGAGGTAGGAGGCATTATCGGTTTACTGGTCAACACAAAATGTGGATTGGGTGGTCAACATGTCTGACTTGTGCCACTGTACAATGACATCATGGGGCATGCTCATGCTGTCAGCCACTGGTTTGTGTGGCCTAGACTCTGTTATTTGCAAGCTGCTGTGATATGGAACGTTGATGAGTGTTTATTGACTCACTCACATTTGCAAGTAATTTTGGTCAGAACAATTTTATTTCTTATTTTACAGATTATGAAAAATAACCTAATAGTTGTCTGGGTTGGTTTGAGGTTAATTTCTGAGAATAAAAAATAGTATTTCTTATAAAAAAAGTAAGCATAATTTAAATAAAAACCAGCATTTTTGTTTTGTTCAACGTGTTCAAAATTATGGTAAGCTTGTTTCTAAAACAATCCTTACATTTGCTGGCCTTTAATACACTTAGATTGTTTGTTTGTTTGTTGTTTACTGCCGCACTCAGCAATATTCCAGCTATATGACGGCAGTCTGTAAATAATCAAATCTGGACCAGGCAATCCAGTGATTGACACCATGAGCACCGATCCACGCAATTGGGATCAATGACATGCATCAAACAAGTCAGCATCCTGACAACCCGATCCCGTTAGTCGCCACTTACGACAAGTATAGTCGCTTTTTACAGCAAGCATGGGTTGCTGAAGACCTATTCTACCCTGGATCTTCACGGGTCTAAAACACTTAGAACAAGCCTCTCATAAAGTGTTGACCCATACAACTAGAATTGAATTGAAAGTCTCTGACATCAATCAATTTCCTTTTTTGGCAGGTGATAGTGGGTGTTGTCTATATACCTGTCCTTGACATTATGTACACCAGCATGAAAGGTCATGGGTCATACTGTAATGGAAGGAAGCTTGCTGTAAGCAGTGTTACAGGTGAGATGTTGGTCAAAACAATTTATTTGTATTCAGGCACAAATGATTTTTTAATGTGAACTTGACATGATATAGAGCTTTTCCATTGGAAGAGGGGTTGGTCACATGGCTGCGAAATTGACGTACATAAGTGCATGAACGGCACAATTTGACGTTCATTTAAGAATTGACTTCATGAGTTCATTGGAGTATGAACCTTCATAGAGTGAGGGCCAAGCTGTATGAACGTCGAGGATATTCTTAAACGTTCATGCCGTCAAACTCTCTGACGTTTCTTAATGTATATTTAAATGCTGAGTTGAAGATTAAAGGGTCTAAATGATCAGAAACAACGCTTTTGTATGTTTTCGTGCTAGGGAATTCCCAGGGGTTTCCCCGGGAATGTGGAAGTAGTCCGTCAGTGTTTACGTCATTTCAAGAACACGGTCTCGTGAAAAATGTATGAACATCAAATATTGTCGTTCATACACTTATGAACGTCAATTTCACGGTCATGTGACCAACTTTTTATCCAATGGAAAAGCTGTATATCGTGTAAACTTCAAACTAAAGAATAATGTGTTTTTCACGAGAGTGTATTCTTAAAATGACGTAAACACTGACGGACTACTTACACATTCCAGGGGGAACCACTAGGAATTCCTTAGTAGATCAAATACAGAATTGTTGTTTCTGATCATTTAGACCCTTTAATCTCTGTCCACAATGTTTAGGCATTCCTTGAGAAACGACAAAGTTAGATCGTTCATAAATATCCTTGCTACAACCCATCCTAGTGAACAAAACGAAGAAATGTCCATCCAAACAAAAGTAGTATCGACTCAATCCGTGTCTGACCCGTGAAGATTCAGGGGTAGAATAGATCTTATGCAACCCATGCTTGCCATAAAAGGTGACTATGCTTGTCGTAAAAGGCGACTAATGGGATCGGGTGGTCAGGCTCGCTGACTTGGTTGATGCATGTCATCGATCCCAATTGTGTGGATCGATGCTCATGATATTAATCACTGGATTGTCTGGTCCAGACTCGATTATTTACAGACCGCCGTCATATAGCTGGAATATTGCTGAGTGCAGCGTTAAACAACAAACCAACCAACCAAATCAATCCGTGTCTAGACTGATAGGGACAATCTGCAGCAATCGTCATATTACCTTCGTATCTGTTTGACACATCTTTGTAATCACTTGTCAGTGATCAGCGACAAAGACAAAGGTGTGTTCAGAACTACCTTAGTGAGTCAGTCACAATGACAGCACGTTATACATTTACATCAAGTACAAGACGACAAAATGGCCGACACGAAAAACGTGACGGGAGAGATTGAACCTGTGGCGTTAACATTCTTTATTATTTGCATTGGAACATGGCCGTGTGGTTTTATTTTCAAGATGCGGAAATCAGATATGCTGGTCTGAATGATCTGCTCAGTCTTACCAAGAAGATATTAAATAGCAAGACCTTCCTGTTGGCTATCACTGTCCTCACTATTGATGGTTGGTTTCAGATCTGAAGCAGAGTATTGTCATCCATGAAGGAGGCAGCTCTCGGGTTCCGGCAGTGGTGGACACCAAGATGAAAAACATACACAGCATTGTCAATCACAGTCACGGGTAGGTGGAGACTAGCTCACACACAGTCACGGGTAGGTGGAGACTAGCTCACACAGTCACAGGTAGGTGGAGACTTGCTCGCAGTCACAGGTAGGTGGAGACTAGCTCACACACAGTCACAGGTAGGTGGAGACTAGCTCATACACAGTCACAGGTAGGTGGAGACTTGCTCGCAGTCACAGGTAGGTGGAGACTAGCTCACACACAGTCACAGGTAGGTGGAGACTAGCTCACACACAGTCTTGGGTAGGTGGAGACTAGCTTACACACAGTCACGGGTAGGTGGAGACTAGCTCACACACAGTCATGTCCCTTCTAAGCCTCTCCTAGAAGGTGGAGACTTGCTCGCAGTCACAGGTAGGTGGAGACTAGCTTACACACAGTCACGGGTAGGTGGAGACTAGCTCACACACAGTCACGGGTAGGTGGAGACTAGCTCACAGTCAGGCATAGGTGGAGACTAGCTCACACACAGTCACGGGTAGGTGGAGACTAGCTCACACTCAGTCACGGGTAGGTGGAGACTAGCTCACACACAGTCACGGGTAGGTGGAGACTAGCTCACACACATTCAGTGAGTTAGCGTTGTAAAACCAGGATCAGTCCAGATTGGTTCATTCAGGTGTAATTACGTTGCTAGAAAGTGCCATAAAAGCCCATTTCAACTCACCTCACATCTTCCCGAGGCAAGAGAGTTAACTGAAGTCCAGTTTCCACCCTTGCCAAACAAGGCTGGAATTACTGGGCTCGATCGTAGCGCCACCAGTGGCTATTACCAGTCATGTCCCTTCTAAGCCTCTCCTAGAAGGTGGAGACTTGCTCGCAGTCACAGGTAGGTGGAGACTAGCTTACACACAGTCACGGGTAGGTGGAGACTAGCTCACACACAGTCACGGGTAGGTGGAGACTAGCTCACAGTCAGGCATAGGTGGAGACTAGCTCACACACAGTCACGGGTAGGTGGAGACTAGCTCACACTCAGTCACGGGTAGGTGGAGACTAGCTCACACACAGTCACGGGTAGGTGGAGACTAGCTCACACACATTCATGGGTAGGTGGAGACTAGCTCACACACAGTCATGGGTAGGTGGAGACCAGCTCACACACAGTCACGGGTAGGGGAGACTAGCTCACAGTCACGCGTAGGTGGAGACTAGCTCACACAGTCACAGGTAGGTGGAGACCAGCTCACAGTCACAGGTAGGTGGAGACCAGCTCACACACAGTCACAGGTAGGTGGAGACTAGCTCACACAGTCACAGGTAGGTGGAGACCAGCTCACACACAGTCACGGGTAGGTGGAGACTAGCTCACACACAGTAGTGGGTAGGTGGAGACTAGCTCACACACAGTCACGGGTAGGTGGAGACTAGCTCACACACAGTCATGGGTAGGTGGAGACTAGCTCACACACAGTCACGGGTAGGTGGAGACTAGCTCACACACAGTCACGGGTAGGTGGAGACTAGCTCACAGTCACGCATAGGTGGAGACTAGCTCACACACAGTCACGGGTAGGTGGAGACTAGCTCACACACAGTCATGGGTAGGTGGAGACTAGCTCACACACAGTCACGGGTAGGTGGAGACTAGCTCACACACAGTCACGGGTAGGTGGAGACTAGCTCACACACAGTCACGGGTAGGTGGAGACCAGTTCACACACAGTCACGGGTAGGTGGAGACTAACTCACACACTGTCACGGGTAGGTGGAGACTAGCCCACCCAAAGTCACGGGTAGGTGGAGACACACCTGCTATTTCATTCAAATTTATATCCAGATTGCACAGTCGTTGGATTTTAGACATAGCTGTGGGTATTTGGGTTGTTGTGAAATACCAGCTGACACTGCTAAACAAGTATTCCTTGTTTCAGTATCCGAGCATACGGATCTGCTGCCATCAACTTCTGCCGAATAGCGGACGGGCAGGGGGAGGCGTACGTGGAGTACGGCATACACTGCTGGGACTTTGCAGCAGGCTTGCTGATAGCTGAGGAGGCTGGGGCGTACGTCATGGACCCCGACGGTGAGATATCATAGACAGGGTGGGGGGTGATTCATTTACAGCTATAGATTCCAGTTGTGACACTATGGCAGAATCATAATAAACTGTGAACCAAATACCAAATACAGTAAACATGATTACACTGCCATTCCATTGAGGGGAAAAAACAAAGACTTGTCGGCTCGGCTTGTGTCCAAGTGGGGTATTCATCTTAAACTGTGGCATAGTATATCAGTGAGTTAGCGTTGTAAAACCAGGATCAGTCCAGATTGGTTCATTCAGGTGTAATTACGTTGCCAGAAAGTGCCATAAAAGCCCATTTCAACTCACCTCGCATCTTCCCGAGGCAAGAGAGTTAACTGAAGTCCAGTTTCCACCCTTGCCAAACAAGGCTGGAATTACTGGGCTCGATCGTAGCGCCACCAGTGGCTATTACCAGTCATGTCCCTTCTAAGCCTCTCCTATGGACCAATCAGATTCCACCTCTCGTATCACTTGCATTTGCTTCACACAAATGGTGGCGCGATTTTGATTGGACTATGCATAGACTCGTTAGTCCGGCCAAAATGTAACTCCATAATACCAGCCTAGTTCGGCAAGGGTGGAAACTGGACTTTTATAGTCAGATAACTCTCTTGCCTCGGGAAGATGCTCACCTCATGACTTAGGGTTAGTGTGCTCCCACAATCCTGCACCCTTGACAGTTTTGAGGTTATCCAACAGTAGGGGGCAAGGGTGGCCCATTTGTCTATGGCACGGCTATTTGCTATGTAGAGTTGCGTCCCTTGGGCACGCCAGAAACCTACAATTGTGGATCGAATTCCGGTTCGCCCTCATTATGTTTCTATGTTTGTCAGCACTATACATGCTTGTGGGTTTCACCAAAGTGGTAAACAACTTAGACCTGCACTGCTTCAGGCTTTCCTCCCACATTAACCTGACAAGCCTTGATATAACTGGAGTACTGTTCAAAGCAGCGTTAAACTGAACTAACTCACTACATCACAGCTAATGAGCTAGTGTGCTAATAAAGATTCTGCCATTGTCATAAATGATGTGTCTATTTAAAATAATGTGACACCAATGTCACAAGTATTTTGTTTATTTATTTCTAGTAAAAATTTGAAAGATTAATTTGTTCTAGAGATATGAGATGTTAATGAGTTGAGGGCTTTTGACCTTCAGGTGGACCGTGTGACCTGATGAAGCGGCGGGTTCTGGTGGCGTGTGGGGAGAAAGTGGCCCGAGAATTGTCTGCAATATTGACCCATCTGGATATGGGGAGAGACTGAGGTCATCACTCACGACATTCTATTCAGTGTGCATGAAATTGTGTCTGATGATAATTAATCGTGAGATTCTGACGTGCCAGTATCTGTGACTATGTTACGTCTTGTATGTTGTTTCATCTTCTGTGTCACACACTGACATGCCAGTATCTGTTGCAGTTTTGTCATATGCAGTTGTCAATATTATCTCTTGTTGGCTCGCCACAACTGTAGGCCCTAATGAGTTTTTATCCTTGCATCTTGTCCGTCTGTCCATTCGCCTGTCTGCCTGTTAACTTTCCACTTCTTCTTTGTCTGCCTATCTGTTAACTTTCCACTTCTTCTCTGTCTATCTGTTAACTTTTCCATCTTCTCTGTCTGTCTATCTGTTAACTTTCCACTTCTTCTCTGTCTATCTGTTAACTTTCGCATCTTCTCTGTCTGTCTATCTGTTAACTTTCGCATCTTCTCTGTCTGTCTATCTGTTAACTTTCCACTTCTTCTCTGTCTGACTATCTGTTAACTTTCCCATCTTCTCTGTCTGTCTATCTGTTAACTTTCCACTTCCTCTTTGTCTGTCTATCTGTTAACTTTCCACTTCTTCTGTCTGTCTGTTTGTTAACTTTCCCCTTCTTCTCTGAACTGACTGAAGGGTAGAGCTTGAAACTTCAGAATGTGTTGTATCATAATTGTGGAAACTCATTAAGACTCTTCTCTGAAAGCAAGTCAGAATATGAAACTTTGATATGATGTGTAGCAATTCAGATTTGTTGATGCCAGATATACAATTTTTTAGTTTTTAATCAACAATTTGAAAAGTTTCTTTTACGCATGTTTTTGGCACCATCATCTGCACTAAGCATTGGTAATTGTTTGACAACGTCGTGAACATAAATTATCTTACATATCAGAAACTGCTTCAGCAGATGCTGTAATACTTTGTTTTATGAATATGATATTGAATCATCTGTTGTGTCACACCCAGCAGATCACATCACACCACCTCCTTCATATTGTTTGGTGAGAGAATCCACCAAATATAACATTCCGTTTTCTAAGAATGTAATGTGAGCTACAGTGCCTTGTGCCATTTGGGTTTATGCATTGGTATAATGCATACAATGTTCAAAGGGATAGTTTACATGTCTAACCTGATAGATTTGTTTCCTTCAAGGAAAAGCATCTTGATTTTCATCACAATCAGACCTTGAGAAGTCTTTCCAATGCCTGTATGTGATACTTGGGGATTAATTACCAAAAGGTTATAATGCTTTGCAGACTTACCCTTGAAGGTCAGGGTTAGAATCTGTCTTTACCAACCCATGCTTGTGGTAAGAGGTAACTAACAGGATCGGGAGGTCAGGCTCGCTGACTTGGTTGATGCATGTCATCGTATCTCAATCAACGTCTACGTAGCCAGTCATCATAGGCCGACAAGGACCGCAGCTCATCATAACAGTCACTGGATTGTTCAAGAATCTATTATTCACAAATCATCATTATATAGCTGGAATATTTTGGAGTGCAGTGTTAAACAACAAACAAACATAACAGATCATCTGCCCTGAGTGACTGTTGCTCTATTCATCATCACTGATCATGTACATGACTGACAGTCTGTAATTCTGAGTTTCAAGAAGGTTATTCTAAACTCTATACAATGTCATTATAAAAAGGAAAATGAAGAAAAACGTATTAAATGCAATCTTAGTCAAATCAGATCTTAGTTCTCTCTATGGCTAAATAAGATCTGAGGACATTCATTATGAGGCCTTTGGTGAACTTTGACCGACCAATGAAATGACCAACAAGAAGTTGACATTAGCCAGTCAGAAAGCAGCTTTCTCGAGCTTTACGGCACTAGTTTCAAACTGGTGACTTCCATTTCAGACTATGCTTTAAACATGACGAAAACGTTCACAATTACAAATTTGAAAACTCAACAAAAGAACATTCTGGAATGTCTAATATAAGGTTGAGATTGTATGACAGTACTTCACACATGCTATGCAACGTCTCTTCCAAGCAAACGTTTATTCCATTGAAGCGAGAGATAGACGATGATTTTCATGGAATCAGTTGTACAGGCCGTAACTGGCGTTCGGAATTCTTTTTCTGGTAAGCGACACTTGCGATTGGTTGGATAAAAGGTCGTTCTGACGCGACCCGTATAATGGGATGTCCTCAGATCATTGTTTAGCTGTAGCGAGAACTAAATTGCTAAAAAGTACTTAGATGCTAAGCTACAAGTACTAAGATGCTATGCTACAAAGTACCAAATTGCTAAGCTACAAAGAACTAAGATGCTAAGCTACAAATAACTAAGATGCTACGCTACAAAGCACTAAGATGCTAGGCTACAAAGAACTAAGATGCTAAGCTACAAAGTACTAAGATGCTAAGCTACAAAGAACAAAGATGCTAAGCTACAAAGTACTAAGATGCTAAGCTACAAAGAATTAAGATGCTAAGCTTCAAAGAATTAAGATGCTAAGCTACAAAGTACTTAGATGCTAAGCTACAAGGAACTAAGATGCTAGGCGACAAAGTACTAAGATGCTATGCTTCAAGGAACTAAGATGCTAAGATACAAAGTACTAAGATGCTAGGCTACAAAGAACTAAGATGCTAAGCTACAAAGTACTAAGATGCTAAGCTAAAAAGAACAAAGATGCTAAGCTACAAAGTACTAAGATGCTAAGCTACAAAGAATTAAGATGCTAAGCTACAAAGAATTTAGATGCTAAGCTACAAAAAACCTAAAGCCAAATGTAGTCCAGATGATGTAATGTTTTTGATTTGTGGTGTCATAATGGATGGTGTCACATGAGTTCTCAACAATGAAACAATGTTAGTTCATGTTGCTTCAGCTGACCAATCAACATGCCAATATGCATATGTGAAACTTTCAGAAAGTTATTATATGATAATTGTCTTCTCTTCTGGATAATGCTTATATTTTTGCCAATTTCGTAGGGCTTTAGCTGGGGGATTTTGTGTTGTTTTGTTACTTCTGGAGCTGATACCCATGACTAACAATCAGGTTTTCCCAAAAATATATTTCTTAAAATTGTAAGCAGATATGTGTGCAATATGAATTGGACAGTCAGGGAAAGTTATCTCCGTTCTTTTGGTAATTGTTCAATTTAGACATATTGGTACAGATATACAGTCAAGTCCCGTTAATACGACATTGTTGGTTGCATATGATTATGTCGGATGAACGAAATTTGGTAGTTTCAACGTTCGTGATCGAAAATCGGACAACTACACGATAGATTACGATTCAAACACGTTGTAATAAAACAAAAGGAAAAAGGAAATATTTATATTGTTATGTTTTATTGTCAGCGGAATATGACCGTTCACTGTTTTCTAAATGTACCAAGTCAGTCTAATGTGAATGCTTTGACTCTTATTAATACTTACTAAATTTATTGATATTGTATATTGATTTATTGTTTATATTATATGAGGAGTTACCTCACTTTTATAAAATTATATGATATTTACACTGATGCTTATCCAAAATATGATCTTGTTACAGTTTTTGTGTCATCAGAAAAACGAGTTTTAATATTGTACAGTTGAACCTTGTGTCAAACTCGTGGGGACCTGGAAAAAAGTTCGAGTTATTCGGGGTTAGAAGAAATGAGGGGACTTTTATTCCTAATCTAGATACTTGGGACTGTCAAATGAGTTCAAGACAACCATGAATTCGACACATCCAAGTTCGACTTTATTATAAAGGACCCTATTCTATATGAATTTTCTGGTACTTTTGTTTCTCTATGTTGTGTAACCTTTATTCATTTTATATTGATTTTGAATTTGAAGGTCGTTTGTGAAACTAAAATTTCATGGGGTTCTGTGTTAAGTCAGTTTATCAAATATTACTTTCAGGATTTTATCACTGAAACAAACTTCACTGTCTCTGCCGAAATGAACATGTAGCTATTTTAGATATGGAGCCAGTATTGCACATTATGAAGATTAACCCTATGAAGAGTTAGGATCTTTAATCTTAGTTATATCCCTTGCCAATGGGATTGACCATACGATATTCTGGGGGGGGGGGGGGGGCTGGGATTTTATCGAAAAAAACTAAATTGTCCCAGAAAATGTTTGAAAGAATTAACTGCTTCAGACTTGACTAAAATTTGTTTGCCACAAAAAAGTTGTTACCATGTTGCAAGAAGCTTTTTAATTTGTTTAATTTAGGCTCATAGCTATAAGTACAAAAAATTTCTGGTGTTGCAGCGCAGTAGCTGTCTAGTCCCCCCTTCCCCAACCCTTTTGAATATCATATTGTCGGTCCCTTATGTTTAACACAATATTCTAAGACAAGGATTTTATGCATGTTTAAGTGAGTGCATGAATCAAATTTAAGGTCACGACATTGTATCAGCCATTTAGCGGCTTTATGCATCTGAAGCAGTGTGTGAACTTGTTTCCAAAGTTGACTTGCCAGAAGAGCTTATTATCAAAATATGTTGCAAGCCCTCACCATGTTTTACTAGCCCGACGTAATAGAGTCCGACATTGACAGTATGTGTTAAAATAGTCCTGTGATTATTACGTTAAACAACAGCCAAGCTAACAAGTTTATTGGTACTGTACGTTTGTCTGACGTTAGTGGTGGTCCTTAGACTTTCACACCCATCGTTAATGACACGTGTACATGCATATAAGTCATTATCAGTGTAGAGCAAACACCCAGTTTCCGAGTAAATAAAAAAACCATAATGAAAACAGACGTTGACGTTAAATGACGCCTTAACTGACTAGATTATTCATAGAAATACTAGACATAAATAACTATTGACTAGAATTATCTATTACTAGACATTCGGGCCAGCTCAACAGTAATGTCTCTAGGCTAATTTAAGTCATTTGGCTAGCAGGCAGGCAGCTATTTCGAGGACTGATCCTGAAGGGTATTAGACCTATGGATGATCAGAAGGGTATATCACCTATAGAAACCATCAGTAAGTTATATTACCTAAAGAAGTCAACACTTTTTCTTGTCCAAAACATCCGATTTGCAAGAATGAGATCAGCTGTCACATGTCTTGATTAAATGAGGCTCTGAAACTTGACCCGTGACCTTCCGTGTTCAGGACACTTGTCAAGTTTAATCTAGTAAATAAAACCTCTACCTCACAAAGGTACAGATCATGAAACCAGTGTTTGTCTTTGACATTTGGAGGTGTTTTCGTAATATTTGTGATGTCACGAAGGGAACTGCAACCTAGTGCTTGGATTCTATTGCATAATCCAATGACGATGCAGGGCAATTTGTACGACTGCCAACCAAATATGTAAGGATTGAAAGGTGGGTGCGGGGCATTGCTGGACCTTGCCTGTAAAAATGTTTGCCGATACATTGATTGTATCAAAGTGATTTACTGTATCCAGTTATATCTATCTAATAGTCATATTGGTTTTCTGTCTCAATGGTCAGGGGGGCACGGGTGACCCAGTTGTCCAAGGCGCAGCGATTCGCTATGCGGAGTTGCGTCCCTTGGGCACGCCAGTAACCTGTGACTGTGGGTTCGAATTCCGGTTCGCCCCGATTGTTTCTAGGTTGTCAGCACCATACCCATGGTCGTAGGTTTCACCGAAGAGGCAAACGTCTGAGACCTGCATCACTTCGGGCTTTCCTCCCACATTAAGCTGACACACCGCGATATACTAGTAACTGGAATACTTAAATAATTGGGCTATATGTAAGTGTGAGTGAGTTTGGTTTAGCTAACATTTCAGTTATATGGGGGAATGCCCAGTGATGCGGGCCTTAGAACGTTATCCTTTTGATGAAACACACGAGCGGGAAGGTATAGTAGTAATCAACCTAGCAACATCACATAGGCGAATCCAGAGGGCCCAGACCCACTCCATCCCATAGATGTCGTTTTCTGGGCCTGCATGGCCGGGTCTAATTGCATCCCCAGCCGTTTGACCGAACTTGTCCCACAGTCGAGAAATTATACTTTTGAAGTCAAACATTCGGGCCAGTTGGATATTGACGTCCCCGCCTCTTCTGTACCAACAATTCGCCATTTTGTCTGTTCATTTACGCGTGTGCTCAGCTGAAGTGCATTAGTGATGGGAGTTACGCTTGTCTTAGCAGCTAAGATCTCTTTGTGAAACAGGGCACAGATGATCAGGTCTTGTGTTGTCACACTGTGGCTCTCTACTCATGCTTTCACATAGCCTCCTACTTCACATTATGTTTGCTTCAATCAACAAGGTTTTATTGGTTAACTTTGAAAGTCTCAAAACACAAAGTAAGTAAAGTCCCATCTTCCCGAGGCAAAGGAGTTAACTGACTCAAAAAGTCCAGTTTTCCGCCCTTGCCGAACAAGACCGGGCCCTAGACCTCAATCGTAGGGCCACCAGTGGCAATTGTGAGTTATGTCCCTTTAATGTCGATCAATCAGATTCCACCTCTCACATCATTTGCATTTGCTTCAAACAAAATGGCGGCGCCAAGTTAAGATCGATAGTCAAGAATTACTTCGCTAAGTACATCAAATCACGTAGGCACCTTGATTATATATTATTATGAAATGATTTGGAAAATATCTGTTGACGCGAGGTTGACGGTACACATGCTTTACAAATCCTGCAATCGATCGAAATATGCACGGCAGTTTACGAACCGAATTTTGATTTCAATATGCGATTTCGATTGGACTATGCATAGACTCGTTAGTCCAACCAAAATATTACTCCATAATTCCAGCCTTGTTCGTCAAGGGTGGAAACTGGACTCAACTCCCTTGCCTCAGGAAGATGGTCCCTTGGCGCACACACTTTCGCTTCTGCGTGCACGTGCTACACGCGCTGCGATGCATGATGTGAAATTTCATTGTGATTGGTTGTTGTGTTTAGATGCAACGCCATGGTATACAAATGTACACCTCAATGATCTGTAGCTACATTAAAATCATTAGTTCCCTTACTTTTGTCGGTAGTATGACATATCAACTTCGGCCAGATGCCAGTTATGGGTGATGTGGCGTTGTGTGAACATACATAAAGTGAGAGATTGCATGAGTACATTCCACATGCGTACCTGACCCGTGAAGATCCCGGGTAGAATAGGTCTTCAGCAACCCATGCTTGCCGTAAAAGGCGACTATGTTTGTCGTAAGAGACGACTAACGGGATCGGGTGGTCAGGCTCGCTGACTTGGTTGATGCATGTCATGATCATATCCCAATTGCTTGGATTGATACTCATGGTGTTAATCACTGCATTGTCTGGTCCAGACTTGATTATTTGCAGATTAACGTCATATAGCTGGAATATTGGTGATAACGTTCAACAAACAAAACAAACAAACACAGATACGTTCCCAAAGATTATGAACGACTATGTCCTAATAGGAGACCCGTGAAGTATCCGGGGTAGAATAGGTCTTCAGCAACCCATACTTGCCGTAAAAGGTGACTATGCTTGTCGTAAAAGGCGACTAACGGGATCGGGTGGTCAGGCTCTTGATGCATGTCATCAATCCCAATTGCGTGGATCGATGCTCATGATATTAATCACTGGATTGTCTGGTCCCGACTCGATTATTTACAGACCGCCGTCATATAGCTGAAATATTGCTGAGTGCGGCGTTAAACAACCAACCAACAAACCTAATAAGAATATAGTCAACACACAGTTCTGAACCAAACTGAATCCAGCATTCCTAGACTTAACTATTATATCACCTCCGTGACAAATGAGAAACCTGCACCTGCTAACAATCCATGCGGGAATGCTTGAGGTGCGTTCAACTTGGTAGCTACAGTCATATCTTCTTTTCGCTAAACGATGTTTTACAATCTGGAGTTCGACAATGTAAACCTTTGTAGGCTGCTCTTTCATCTTGAGATACAGATCCTGATCCCATTCTTCATCAGGACTACATATCAACCATTAGGCTTTCACGGAGCCGTAGCGAAACGTTGAAGGAGTTCACAGACGCTGTGAGCACACATGTAATTATTCCTAGCTATCCAACCATAAAATGCCGAGTCGACAAAACTAAACGCATCCTCAACAGACCTGATGCACCATCGTAGTATCATGCCTCCATGTCAGAATGATGAGATCTGATTGGCCCACGTGATCTTGATGAAACACATTAATCTCATTGGTTGAATAAATCCCTTATACCCCGCTTCGATGCAAAAAAGCTACACGCTTTTTCCGCGTCAATGAAGGTCACGGGACACAGCACAAGTTAACCTCAGCTCCATCGAACTGCTGTTTTCTATCAATTTTGATTTTGTTTTAATTGTTTTCCAATGTCATATTTACATGTCGGTAAAATAAATTCGCTGTAGGAATACTTGGAGTAAATGAGGATTTGTGCGTCCCTCGTTAGGTTTCTTCCTACTCGCTTTGTAATGTCTACCTTTTGTGAATGCAAACAGGGATTAAAAAACGATTTCAAAATCAAAAGCGGATATCGCAGATATACCCGGCGTCAGTCGTCCATGACTCGCCCTATCTGAACGGGATAAACCGGTAAGGCAGAGAGATATAATTGGTTGCAATAGGGGGAAATTTAGTCAGAAGTTTGTGCACACTGGGGCAAGTCACGGCGACCTTTCTCTCTAACTCGCGTAGCTGGTTTATGTTGAAAACTGATTGCAGTCTTCCTCGTCCATACGGTAGGTGAAGCTTCGAGATTGTACTGACAACGTAGTTAGCCGTCTCTATCCGACATTTTAAGTCGCCGACAGTGTATGTCAGTTCACATTGTCCCTGGACAGTGATATGCTTCATTGCATACTGCACCAGAGAGTGCCCTGGGATTAGAGACATTTCATTGCAGCAGGCGTTGCAACGAGATAGCCTTTATAAACTGAGGAGCAAAGAAAACTACGCCTCTCTGCGATTTAACCCGTTTGATTTTCAGTTGAAAATGAACAGTACTGACGCTTAGTCAGCAGTCAATGAGTACTTCTGCAATTTTTTAATTATTATACTATAATTTGAATTCAAATGTTTAAGCATTTTTAAAAATAATCACAATACACAATTGCTGATGAGTATCTTGGGCATATTATCTAAATACCAAAATAATTTGCTTTCTTCGGCACTAATTTACAATTGAGTTGACCACTATTAACTACGTTCCAGAGACCGCCTCTGTGGATAGAGGGTCTTCCTGGAAAGCGGAAGGTCGGTGGTTCGATCCCCGGCAGGTTTTAAACCAAATGCGTTAAACGATGGAACTTGTTCTTACCCTGCCTGCATGTGTCTGTGTGGGGTATTCATGTTTAACTACGGCATGGTGTCTCAGTTGGCTAGGGATAGTACAGTCAATCACACACGCACACACACACGCACACACACGCACGCACGTCGCTATATACGTGCAATAATCATTTCGGCTGGCTCACTACGCCTCTCACGGTTCAGAGCTCATTGTCCGTTTGAGGACGGCATGCCTGACATTGAAACTTATAAGCTTATGGCATTAAGAAAATCCGGTTTATCCACTATTCATGATAACGAAGCTGCATGAATGTTGTGTGTTAGAGGACGAAGCTCTTCCGTACGTACTCAAAAAGGCATCATTCGTGATCAACCCATGTTATTCCGGGAAAAGTCGAATAGCGATTCGTGTTGCGACCAGGTTCCGTCTTAGGGCAAACGGGCATACCTAAAACAATTGTCAACTCGTGTAATGGTTCACATATATTTCCCCATATACTATATCTATTTCAGATGCAATTTAAAGCACATCGGGACATGCGGAATTATACAGTATGATTGAACACATTTAACTGTGTCTTGGGTATATTTTTAGATGCAAGACATGTGTAAAATCAAAAATTATTTCTGAGGGATTCTTTGACGAAGAACTTGAAACCCCACTCGTATTCTGATTGGTTTGTTGTAGTAATTTTAGTTCGTTATTACCGTAGTTCGTTATAAACATATATGCAGCAAATAACCGGGACAAAACAAACAGTTCGATTTATCCGACAGTTCGTTATAACCGTAGTTTACTGTAATTGTACCGCAATTTCAACCAGAGAGGTGACCTGCAAACATCATTCGTCACCACTCGCCCCTTTCCGTAACCTGCAAGAAGACTCGTCCCCCTATCGATGAATGATTTGTGCGAAAATACGACAAACCAATCAGAATGCGCGTATGATTTCAAGTTCTTCGTCAAAGAATCCCTCAGAAATAATTTTTGATTTTACATATGTCTCGCATCTAACATTATACCCAAGACACAGTTAAATGTGTTCAATCATTCTTCATAATTCTGCATGCCCCGATGAGTCGCTATGAGGCTTGTCCCGGAATAACACGAGTTGGTCTCGAATGCTGCAAACATGATACATGAAGGTTATGATACGTTTATGTAATCTGGCTCTGTTTGCCTCATATACGATAAAGATCCTGGAAACCTTGAAATGCCTCGATATCCATCTATAAATTTATGCATGTATCTCTTATGTGAATGTGTATGTGGGGTATACGTGCGTGTGCGTGTTAGGAAGTATAATTAAAAATATATATAACATGTTCACATACCTGACAAGGACAGACGATTTGCTACGGCAATATTCATTGTCATGCACTGGACTGTTGGCTTTACATTCGTCCACTGACAAACGTGTTTTTTCACAAAGGTCGTCACATTATTCGCACTGGAAGTCTTCTCTGTAAACTCGACTAGTTTTTCTACTGTCTTATCTCGTCAAAAGTATCAACCTGCGACCGATATATGATGTTTACCTTTTTTTTGTTTGAACATAAACATCAACAGCTCTTCATTTAGTAAAATGTTTAATGTTCTGTAAGCGAATGAGTATCTTTTAACGCCGCTTTAAGCACGGGACACAACAAAATGGGCTCCGCGCATTTTACCCATGTGGGTCTTCGGCCATTCGTCACCACTCGCCCCTTTCCGTAACCTGTAAGAAGACTCGTCCATTATCGACGAATGTTATGTGCGAAAATACGACAAACCAATCAGAATGAGCGTATGATTTCCAGTTCTTCATCAAAGAATCCCTCAAAAATAAATTTTGATTTGATATATGTCTAAAAATATACCCAAGACACAGTTAAATGTGTTCAATCATACTGTATAATTCCGCATGTCCAGATATGCTTTAAATTGCATCTGAAATAGATATAATACATGCGGAAATATATGTGAACCATTACGCAACAAGCTGACAATTGTTTTAGGTGTGCCCGTTTGCGCTAAGACGGAACCCGGTCGCAAAAATGGCCATGAGAGGGGCTATTCGGCTTGTCCCGGAATAACACGAGTTTATCACGAATGGGTCTTAGGCGTGACGTGCGAACGCTTTAACCACGAGGCTACCCCAGCGCTCCCTGTCAGGAAGTACGCATGCATATGTAATAAATAGATTACGATATTAAAATGTCTACGCAATCTGAAGATAATTCCAGCATGAGAGTAAATCTGTTAAATGTTCTCATTCAGCCATCATATATCCGATATGCTTTTGGTAGACGTTTCTCTTTTATGTGATTTAGATTGATCGTGTGGTTGAACGCATGTCACTAAATGCAACTTTAAAGACATTACATAACTCCTTTCAACCGTACCGTATTGTAAAGCGAACAACACAAGCTGGAGTGAAGGGCGTCCTCGTGCGATACCCTATTTTCAGTCCTATAGTCCCTATTCGGGATGGCCACGTGTGCTTGTTTGTTTAACGCACGATAACTTTGCACCCCACACTTGTGCACCCCTACATCCTTGACCCTATATATATACTAGTATATGCACCCGATAGCTTTGCACCCACACCTGTGCACCTCTACACCCTTGACCCTATATATATATATATATATATATATATATATATATATATATATATAGTATATGCACCCGATAGCTTTGCACCCCACACTTGTGCACCCCAAAATCCTTGACCCTATATATATATATATACAGTATATGCATCCGATAGCTTTGCACCCTACACTTGTGCACCCCTACATCCTTGACCCTATATATATACTAGTATATGCACCCGATAGCTTTGCACCCCACACTTGTGCACCCCTACATCCTTGAACCTATATATATATATATATATATATATATATATATAGTATATGCACCCGATAGCTTTGCACCCCACACTTGTGCACCCCTACATCCTTGACCCTATATATATATATATATTATATGCACCCGATAGCTTGGCACCCCACACTTGTGCACCCCTACATCCTTGACCCTATATATATATATATAGTATATGCACCCGATAGCTTTGCACCCCATGCCTAAAAGCAGTATATCCAAACGTTAAAATTGCTTTCTTAAACTCGGGTTTAAAGTTTGACATGACATGACATTGTGTAGCCATGGCACATGACATTGTGTGACCATGGCACGAAGGCGATTATCAAACGCCACAAGATGGCAAATAATCGGCATTCATAACGCAGGAATGTCTGGTAATGCCACTGGTCGGAATTTGGGGTATCATCACACTGTCGTAAGCCGTTTAGTCGAGAAACATGCTCAGACCGGTGATGGACAGGACCGTCCCAGATCCGGAAGACCTCCTGTGACGACACATCGCGAAGACAGGCACCTTCTTCGTCTCACACGCCGAACTACTCGTCTGAAACAGCTGTGGTTGCCCAATCACAACAAAGCTGCTCGTTTAGCATGGTGTATTGCGCGACAGAACTGGAATCTGAGAACTTGGAGACAGATCCATTGGTCAGACGACAGTCGCTTTCTGCTCCACGTCACTGATGGAAGAACGAGAGTTTGAGGGCACCGGGACACGGCCTACACCCACAGGAACATTAAACCGACTGTTGCATACGGCGGGGGCTCGGTAATGGTTTGGGGTGTATCTTTCATGATTGCAGGTTGGATTTGGTCACCATAAGGGGCAACTTAACAGGGGCTCAGTACATCCGGGACGTTTTGAGGCCAGTCGTCGTTCCTCATTTTGACAACCACCCTCCTGCTACTCGACCTCAGTAGATAGATGACAATGCCAGGCCTCATCGTTCGCATGCTGTCGTGGATTACACGAGGGCAATTGCAATAACGACTCTACCCTGGCGAGCAATGAGCCCAGATTTGTACCCCCTTGAACATGTTTGGAATATTCTGGGGCGGCGCATAGAGGCAAGAGATCCTCCTGTACAAGATTTACGCCAGTTGGAAGCAGCATTGCATCAGGAGTGGTTGTTGTTGACCCATCAACAGATCCAGCGTCTGACTGGAGGCATGAGACGTAGGGTGGAATGCGTCATCCGGGCACGAGTCGGTCATACCCGCTACTGATCTGTTTCACGTGTCATGTCCCGTCCGGAGACCGGAAGGTCAGGGGTTCGATCCCCGGTCGCGTCATACCAAAAGCCGTTAGAAGATGGTACTTGTTGTTACTCTGTCTGGCGCTCGACATTAAGGGGCAAAAACAAGGACTGGTCGGCTCGGAGTCAGTATACTGTGTCTGGGTGGGGTATTCATGTTAAACTGCGGGATGGTATCTCAGTGAGCTAGCACTATAAATCGGCATCAGTCCGGACTAGTACAATCAGCCACACACATACATACGTGTATGCACGTCGCTATATAAGTGCAATAATCTGGGACGCGACGTTAAACCCCATCTCACCTCACCTCACTGCATGCTTTTGACTTGCATCACTCATTGTCCCAGGAGGCCCCGGTCCTGCCCATTGTCTCTTTGATAGCCCAAGCTGACCACGGGTCAACTTCAATGTTTGGATTTTATACATTTGAAATTAGTTGCCAGTATATTTTGTGAAGGAAGGACATTTCTAGTTCTGTGTATATCTGAATGTTGTTGTTTGAACGAACCAACTTCTACTTAACGTGAGGGCATCCTTCTAAGCTTGTTCCTCCCCACCTAATCCTTACGCCTGGATTATTTCACAATATCAGTGGTTAATTTGCCTTTATTGTTTTAGCTAAATGTAGGGATTTTGGCATGTTGTTGTTTTGGGAGACAACGATTTGGAACCTTGAGGTATGTATCCTTGGACATTTGATACAAAACAGCTGGCAAATGATATATATTATTTAAAATGAATATCCCCAGGTTATTCGGGTGCTGCCTGGAGTTATTGAATACAAACTGGTGTAGAAAAGGCTATTTTAGGGAACTGTTTTTTATTGTTTATTGTTTATATTATAGTGGCAGATAGGAATGTGCCATCTTCCCGAGGCAAGAGAGTTAACTGACTATAAAGGTCCAGTTTCCACTCTTGCCGTTTGGCTGGACAAACGAGTCCATGCATAGTCCAATCAAAATCGCGCAACGAAATCGAAATCTGGTTCATAAACTGTCATGCAGATTTCGGTCGATTGCAGGAATTGCAAAGCATGTGCACCGCCAACTCGTTGTCAACAGATATTTTCTAAATCTTTTCATGTTTTTAATCAAGGTGCTCAAGTGATGTGATACACTTTGCGATGTAAGACTCGTTTTATCATAATATTGATCTTGATTATCGACCAGATCGTCTTGACTGGGCGCCGGCTTTTTGTTTGAAGCAAATGCAAGTGATACGAGAATTTGAATCTGATTGATCAATAGGAGAGGCATAGAAGGGAACTCGTAATAGCCACTGGTGGCGCTACAATCGAGCCCAGGAATTCAAGCCTAGTTGGGCAAGGGTGGAAACTGGACTTTTAAAGTCAGTTAACTCTCTTGCCTCGGGAAGATGTCTATCCTCCAACAGTTGAGAAGGTTGAATCAGTCTTGTGTGGGCTAAGTACACTAAAACTCTGCAAATCATTGGACAGATTCTTTCTGCAGTCAAACAAGTCAGTGTCACTGGATGTTATCCATTATCAGTAACTAAGATTGCTTATAGAGATCCATATCTCCCTGTAAGCATACATGTACAGATACCTTTTGATTGGTGTATATCCGGACACCGTATATAATCTGAGCCATTGAGTATTTACTCACATCATTCCCACTTGGTATTGATAGTTTTCTGTGGATATTCAATATATTGTTGACCCGTGAAGATCCCGGGTAGAAAAGGTCTTCAGCTACCCATGCTTGCCGTAAAAAGTGACTGTATATCGTAAGAGGCGACTAACAGGATCGGGTGGTCAGGCTCGCTGACTTGGTTGATGCATGTCATCATATCCCGATTGCGTTGATCAATGCTCATGATATTAATCACTGGATTGTATGGTTCAGACTCGATTATTTACAGACCGCCGTCATATAGCTGGAATATTGCTAAGTGCGGCGTTAAACAACAGCGGACATACACACAGTAAATAAAGACCTGTAAACAAATACATGGAACTTGAAAAGGACACATCGAGTAACTATGCAGAGCGTTGTTATGCTGTTGAGTTTTTGTGGGTACAAAGTGTGAAGCCCATTTTTGGTGTCCCCCGCCATGATATTGCTGGAATATTGTTAAAAGCAGCGTAAAACCACACCCAATGTTCGAATTTTTTGAAAATTATGTTGCATATTTGAACGTAAGCAGCTCAAATAATTGATAATAGTGATTAATTATGCGTATTTTACGCAAATACGCAGTTCACAAAGGTGTCGTTGTACGAAACAACTTTAGCGTTACGATATCAAGGTATGGCAGTTGCGATCACCTTAGCGCTAAGATCGCTTTGTACAACGGCACCCCTGACCTCCTGTATTTTATGTATTGTCTGTTTAGTATACTTAAAAAAGGGGATGCATACCCAAACTTGCCATTCCTATATCCGTGTAGAACCATCAATTGTAACCCCTCTACATGTAGAACAGTATCTATGCTGATGCTATAACATTCGGTGCTCGCACAGTTACATTTACTGAGGCTTGTTACGTTGTTTTATTGATTTCAGTATTTTGTGACCCGTAACGTCCAGCCATGTCTGTTCGAGTCAGCCCCGAAGAGCTGGAGGAGTACAGGGACTTTGCAGTGGAAGTCGCCACAAAGGCAGGAGAGGTATGTTGTTTCAACAGTCGTCACAGTATTAGTAGGTTATCTTAGGATCCTTGGTTTGTCAGCCACAGACCCTTGCTGGTTGGTTGTTTCAACAGTCGTCACAGTATTAGTAGGTTATCTTAGGATCCTTGGTTTGTCAGCCACAGACCCTTGCTGGTTGGTTGTTTCAACAGTATTCACAGTATTAGTAGGTTATCTTAGGATCCTTGGTTTGTCAGCCACAGACCCTTGCTGGTTGGTTGTTTCAACAGTCGTCACAGTATTAGTAGGTTATCTAAGGATCCTTGGTTTGTCAGCCACAGACCCTTGCTGGTTGGTTGTTTCAACAGTCGTCACAGTATTAGTAGGTTATCTTAGGATCCTTGGTTTGTCAGCCACAGACCCTTGCTGGTTGGTTGTTTCAACAGTCGTCACAGTATTAGTAGGTTATCTTAGGATCCTTGGTTTGTCAGCCACAGACCCTTGCTGGTTGGTTGTTTCAACAGTCGTCACAGTATTAGTAGGTTATCTTAGGATCCTTGGTTTGTCAGCCACAGACCCTTGCTGGTTGGTTGTTTCAACAGTCGTCACGGTATTAGTAGGTTATCTTAGGATCCTTGGTTTGTCAGCCACAGACCCTTGCTGGTTGGTTGTTTCAACAGTCGTCACAGTATTAGTAGGTTATCTTAGGATCCTTGGTTTGTCAGCCACAGACCCTTGCTGGTTGGTTGTTTCAACAGTCGTCACGGTATTAGTAGGTTATCTTAGGATCCTTGGTTTGTCAGCCACAGACCCTTGCTGGTTGGTTGTTTCAACAGTCGTCACGGTATTAGTAGGTTTTCTTAGGATCCTTGGTTTGTCAGCCACAGTCCCTTGCTGGTTGGTTGTTTCAACAGTCGTCACAGTATTAGTAGGTTATCTTAGGATCCCTGGTTTGTCAGCCACAGACCCTTGCTGGTTGGTTGTTTCAACAGTCGTCACAGTATTAGTAGGTTATCTTAGGATCCTTGGTTTGTCGACACCTTTAACTTTATCCCTTGTTTGTCAGCCACAGACCCTTGCTGGTTGGTTGTTTCAACAGTCGTCACAGTATTAGTAGGTTATCTTAGGATCCTTGGTTTGTCGACACCTTTAACTTTATCCCTTGTTTGTCAGCCACAGACCCTTGCTGGTTGGTTGTTTCAACAGTCGTCACAGTATTAGTAGGTTATCTTAGGATCCTTGGTTTGTCGACACCTTTAACTTTATCCCTTGTTTGTCAGCAACAGTCCCTTGCTGGTTGGTTGTTTCAACAGTCGTCACAGTATTAGTAGGTTATCTTAGGATCCTTGGTTTGTCGACACCTTTAACTTTATCCCTTGTTTGTCAGCCACAGACCCTTGCTGGTTGGTTGTTTCAACAGTCGTCACTGTATTGCCGGTTACACTAATGATCTCTTGTTTGTCAGCCGAAGGCCCTTGCTGGTTGCCGGTTTAACCTTATCCCTTGTTTGTCAGCAACAGTCCCTTGCTGGTTGGTTGTTTCAACAGTCGTAACTGTATTGCCAGTTACACTAATGATCTCTTGTTTGTCAGCCGAAGGCCCTTGCTGGTTGGTTGTTTCAACAGTCGTCACAGTATTAGTAGGTTATCTTAGGATCCTTTGTTTGTCGACACCTTTAACTGTATCCCTTGTTTGTCAGCCACAGACCCTTGCTGATTGGTTGTTTCAACAGTCGTCACTGTATTGCCGGTTACACTAATGATCTCTTGTTTGTCAGCCGAAGGCCCTTGCTGGTTGCCGGTTTAACCTTATCACTTGTTTGTCAGCAACAGTCCCTTGCTGGTTGGTTGTTTCAACACTCGTAACTGTATTGCCAGTTACACTAATGATCTCTTGTTTGTCAGCCGAAGGCCCTTGCTGGTTGGTTGTTTCAACACTCGTAACTGTATTGCCAGTTACACTAATGATCTCTTGTTTGTCAGCCACAGACCCTTGCTGGTTGGTTGTTTCAACAGTCGTCACAGTATTAGTAGGTATCTTAGGATCCTTGGTTTGTCGACACCTTTAACTTTATCCCTTGTTTGTCAGCCACAGACCCTTGCTGGTTGGTTGTTTCAACAGTCGTCACTGTATTACCAGGTTAGCTGAGAATCTTTGGTTTGTCGACACCTTACATAGACTGGTGGATTGTTTTTAACAGTCGTCACAGTATTGCCAGTTAAACTTAGGATCCCACCTTTGTCGACACCTTACAAAGACTGGTGAGTTGTTTCAAGAGTCGTCACGGTATTGCCAGGTTAACTAATGATGCTAGGTTTAATTGTCAATCCCGGGCTTTCCTCCCACATTGTGCTTAAACCCTTAAAACAGGATAAATCAACATATTCTTTATTTGGCAAATTTTGCTGTTTGTTTTTCTAACAGATGATTAAAAAGGCCTTCTATAAGACAAAAACTGTAACCAACAAAGGGAGCGGCGTTGACCTCGTGACGGAGACTGATAAAGCTGTAGAGAAATGGGTGATAGGGTTCATCAAGGAACGCTACCCTGATCACAGGTGTGTAGAGAAATGGGTGATAGGGTTCATCAAGGAACGCTACCCGGAGCACAGGTAGGTGTAGAGATATGGGTTATAGGGTTCATCAAGGAACGCTACCCTGATCACAGGTGTGTAGAGAAATGGGTGATAGGGTTCATCAAGGAACGCTACCCGGAGCACAGGTAGGTGTAGAGAAATGGGTTATAGGGTTTAACTGTGATTTAATGCTACCCTGATCACAGGTGTGTAGAGAAATAGGTTATAGGGTTTATCAAGGAACGCTAGCCTGATCACAGGTGTGTAGAGAAATAGGTTTTAGGGTTTATCAAGGAGCTCTACCCTGATCACAGGTGTGTAGAGAAATGGGTTATAGGGTTTATCAAAGAACGCTAGCCTGAGCACAGGTAGGTGTGGAGAAATGGGTGATAGGGTTTATCAAAGAACGCTACCCTGAGCACAGGTAGGTGTAGAGAAATGGGTGATAGGGTCTATCAAGGAACGCTACCCTGAGCACAGGTAGGTGTAGAGAAATGGGCGATAGGGTTTTTCAAGGAACGCTACCCTGACCCCAGGTGGGTGTAGAAAGGCGTAGAGTTCTGAGTTCAAGGAACACTAACGGAATCATGATTGAAGGCAAAAATGTAGGTGTGGAGAAGTGGTTCAAAAGTTCCTGAAGGAAGACTACCCCGTTCATACGAAGGTGTAGATAATTGGGTCATAGGGTTTAACTGTGATATAATGCTACCCTGATCACAGGTGTGTAGAGAAATAGGTTATAGGGTTTATCAAGGAACGCTAGCCTGATCACAGGTAGGTGTAGAGAAATAGGTTATAGGGTTTATCAAGGAACTCTACCCTGATCACAGGTGTGTAGAGAAATGGGTTATAGGGTTTATCAAGGAACGCTTCCCTGATCACAGGTAGGTGTAGAGAAATAGGTTATAGGGTTTATCAAGGAGCTCTACCCTGATCACAGGTGTAGAGATATGGGTTATAGGGTTTATCAAGGAGCTCTACCCTGATCACAGGTGTGTAGAGAAATGGGACATAGGGTTTATCAAGGAACGCTACCCTGATCACAGGTGTAGAGATATGGGTTATAGGGTTTATCAAGGAGCTCTACCCTGATCACAGGTGTGGAGAAATGGGTTATAGGGTTTATCAAGGAGCTCTACCCTGATCACAGGTGTAGAGATATGGGTTATAGGGTTTATCAAGGAGCTCTACCCTGATCACAGGTGTGGAGAAATGGGTTATAGGGTTTATCAAGGAACTCTACCCTGGGTTATAGGGTTTATCAAGGAACGCTACCCTGATCACAGGTAGGTGCAAAGAAATGGGTTATGGGGTTCATCAAGGAATGCCTGATGAATGAGATAGGCTATTGTTCTCCTGAGAAGCGAACCGAGGAATATATTGACGTCATCGTTTCGCGGGCATGCGACTCAAACATATACAGTACTCCTTGTGTACTCGAGGTTCTTAGGCAAGGAAAGTTGAACATATGCTTCATTTTACTGATGCGACACTTGATGATTTCATTGTATATTTCAGGTTCATAGGCGAAGAGACCACAGACCTTGACGCTCCCTTTGACTTCAGGGACGACTTGACGTGGATCGTTGATCCCATTGATGGCACCAATAACTTTGTACATAAGTAGGTCATGAAGAACTGGTGTTCCGATGCTCTACAAGGTGTTATCGTGTAGAAAGTTACTGCATTCTCACTTTGCATGGAGGATTTTGGGGCCTATTGGTCATAGCGTTCGCTCTTCGCGTGGAAGACCCGGTTGCTTTGGTTTGTTTGTCGTTTAACGCCGCACTCGGCTGTATGACCACAGTCTGTAAATAATCGAGTCTAGGCCAAACAATCCAGTGATTGACATCATGAGCATCGGTCCACGCAATTGGGTTGGATGACATGCATCAACTAAGTCAGACCTGACCACCCGATCCCGTTAGTCGCATCTTACAACAATCATAGTCGCCTTTTACGGCAAGCATGGGTTGCTGAAGACCTATTCTACCCCGAGTCTTCACTGGTCACCCGTACTCGATTCCCCACAAAGTTACAATGTGTAAAGCTCTTTTTGGGGGTCTCCGTGAAATTGCTGTCCCCGTAATTAATGTTGTATTTTTGCTAAATCTGCGAAACAACCACCTCACTCCCTTTCTGGTCCGTAAAAATCTTGGTAGAGAATAGGTCTTCAGTAACCCATACTTGCGGTAAGAGGCGACTAACGAGATCGGGTGGTCAGGCTCGCTGGGTGATGCACGTCATGGTTTCCGAATTGTGAAGATCGATGCTCATAATGTCTATCATTGGATTGTGTGGTCCAGACTCGATTATTTACAGACCGCCATCAAAAAGCTGAAATATTTGCTGAGCGCGACGTTAAATACCCTAAAAACAAAAACCTCCCTTGCTGCATGTTCACTGCTCAAAGAAATCGGGTTAGATTCTCCATCAAGCCAATTTCTGGTGTTCCAAACAATGATATTGCTGGAATCCTGCAGAAAGAGGTGAAACACACAACTCACTCATTCGCTATGTTTTTAGATTAACATCTTGTCTCTGAAATGAACATATCGTACAGTAATTAACAGTTGTTCAATTATCTTAATAAAAATATAATAAAAGGGAGCCCAGAGACTCTCTTCATTTTCAGATATCCTGATACTGCAGTAATCTAGACTTGCCAAACATTATAGACTTGCATGGGCTGTATTTGATATATATTTGTATCAGGGTCTGTAAGACAGACTACTATTTGTTCACTGTGCAAAGGGGCGGTCGGGTAGCCTAGTGGTTAAAGTGTTTGCTCGTCACGCTGAAGACCCGGGTTCGATTCCCGACATGGGTACAATGTGTGAAGCCCATTTCTGGTGTCCCCCGCCGTGATGTTGCTGGAATATTGCTAAAAGCGGCGTAAAACCATACTCACTCACTCACTCACTGTGCAAAGAACTCGGGTACGATTCTTCACATCAAAGTTGATGCCTCGTGTCCCCACTAGGAATTGCTGGAATTTCATAAATGCTGCAGCTCACTTACATTTGGGTTCCAGCGTTCCAGAAGTAGCGTTTTCTATGGGGTTAACAGCCAATAAGAAGGTATGGTCACTTCTGTCTTTATAGGTATTTAAAGAAAATGAAATTTTAACTGAAATGTTGATTTACACGACTGTTGCCTTGTTAATGTTTGGATTTTATCATCGATACCTGTTAATGACACGGTTGAAATGAGGGATAAACAGTGGTATGTACTGCTTGATTAGTTGGTTGGTTTGTTGTTTAACGCCGCACTCAGCAATATTCAAGCTATATGACGGCGGTCTGTAAATAACCGAGTCTGTACCAGACAATCCAGTGATTGACATCATGAGCATCGATCCACGCAATTGGGGAACGAGGACATACATCAACCAAGTCAGCGAGTCTGACCACCCGATCCCGTTAGTCGCCTGTTACGACAAGCAAAGTCGCCTGTTACGGCAAGCATGGGTTGCTGAAAACCTATTCTACCCCGGATCTTCACGGGTCTGTGCTTGATAAGTCCGCCAGTTATAGAATTGTGTGTATAAAGGATAATGTACTTAAAGAATGACAGCTTGATACGAATGAACCACTAACAACTGATTCCTTATGGCTTATTTATCCAAAATTACCCTTTTTCGGGTAAATGCATCAAGCATTTCAGCCTCTGTTTCTTTGATGCAGGTGATAGTGGGTGTGATCAACCTACCTGTCCTTGACCTTATGTACACCAGCATGAAAGGTCATGGGTCATACTGTAATGGAAGAAAGCTTGTTACAGGCAGCGTTGAAGGTGAGAAGAACAATCGAAGACGGCGAGTTGGTTTCAACTCCGCTTTGGAAAGTATTTCAGTTAAATCATGGTGTCATTTTAATGGGGGACAAACAATTGAAGTGACAGGTCAATGTTCAACACCTTGATGAAAATCGGGGACACGGGTGGCCCACTCGTCTAAGACGCCGCCATTCGCTGTGCAGAGTTGCGTCCCTTGGGCACGCCAGAAACCTATGATTGTGGGTTCGAATCCCGGTTCGCCCCGATTATGTTTTTAGGTTTGTCAGCACCATACCCGTTTCACCGAAACGTCTGAGGCCTGCATCACTTCGAGCTTTCCTCCCACATTAAGCTGACACGCCGCGATATAACTGGAAGACTGTTAAAGCGGCGTTAAACCCAACTCACTCACTCACTCACTTGATGAAAATCACGAAGTGAGGGAGTGTTTATGATATTACGCCGCTTTTAGCAATATTCAAGGATTATCACGATAGACACCAGAAATGGGCTTCACACATTGTACTCATGTGGGGAATCGAACCGGGTCTTCGGCGTGACGAGCGAACGCTTTATCCACTAGGCTACCCCACCGCCCCTTGCAAACCATGGATAATCGTCAGAGCGAATTCAAGATTCTGACAAGCAAGCCATGCAACTCGTCACGTCGGTTCCCATTCAGTGCCTTCATTAACCAACCATTTTCTATGCAAAAAGGACGGAGGGCATCGTTGCTCACAAAATTGATCACTGGATTGTCTGGTCCAGATTTGAAGTTTTACATGAAGCCGTCATTTAGATGGAATAGTGCTGAGTGCGGCGTTAAAACAACAAACAACATTTACTAACACAGTAGATTTTCAAGATATTTATACTAACATTTAGTCTTACCATAATATAGTGAATTTTCGACTTCGTAGTTTCGTAAACAAACATTCCATAATATTTTCAGGGACTAACCATTTAATATTCTTTTGGGGTAAAGCTGGCATTTTTATTTGAGACAGAATATTGTATCTGTCAGCGCTTCAAACCATACATGTTGCCTCTGAAAGGCGCCAAACAATCCAGAATATACAGCATCTCTCCCCACCCCCCGCCCCCAGAATATGACCCGTGAAGATTCCGGGGTAGAAAAGGTCTTCAGTAACCCATGCTTGCCGTAAAGGGCGACTATGCTTGTCGTAAAAGGCGACTAACGGGTGGTCAGGCTCGCTGATTTGGTTGACGCATGTCATCGATCCCAATTGCGTGGATCGATGCACATGATATTAAACACTGGATTGTCTGGTACCGACTCGATTCGCCGTCATGGAGCTGGAATATTGCTGAGTGCGGCGTTAAACAACAAACCAACCAACCCCCAGAAAATAATAAAGAAAATACCCCCACCCTCACCCCAAATCGCACCTTTGAATATCAAATGCTTGGCCCCTTTGTTTGAACTAGGACCATGGATCTTGGTCACACTTAACATTTAATGGTCATCCTTTTCTGATTTCAGAGCTGAAGAAGTCTATTGTTATCTATGACACTGGCGCTTTACGAACACCATGGAATGTTGATACCGTGCTCAAGAATGTACGCAATATTATCACGAAAACTCACGGGTAGGTGTCCAGAGAAATAAAACCAACTCCTCCATGCCTTGAGGATACTTAGGTTTTTTGTCACATCTTGGAACATGTTACCTAAGTGATAATGAAATGTATAATTAAATCATATACTTCAAATTTATTCCACAAAATGTCAGAATGTTAAATCGTCTTTTTTGTGTTGAATAAAACGAAAATACACCATTAGATACCTCCATTGTGTCAAAAGCCATCTTCCTGAGGCACGGGATTTAAAAGAACGAGGCTGGAATTTCGTGGCTCAATCCAATCGCCACCAGTGTCCATTTCGAGTTATATCCAGAGTTGGGAATAAAATGTCTGATTGGTAATTGTTTTACTGCAGTCATAGCAAAAACTACTTACATACATGTATCAAGCGATCAGACCATGCGTTCACTGAAGCTTTATCTTTACTCAAACATATAAAAGTAAAAAAGAATGTGTGCATCGTCAAAATAAATGCGAAAATTAGCGACATGTAGTGTAACCACCAAGCTAAATAGTGAGTTTTTGTCATTAAACAATATATCACGTGACTAACCACGGGTCCGGGTAGTCCTGTGGGTAACCGGGTCCTACTCAGGACCCACCCGACCCTAGTTACACATCCCAGCCCAAGAAGACACGAAGGAGATATTTGTGAGAAGAAATGGAGTTGTTAAATCAAAATTCTCTAAAGTTTTCTATTGTTTTTCCCATGGTGACCTAGCGTAGAAAGTGTCCCCAGCACGCCATTGCGTCAACGCAATGTCATGGCGAAGTTGTGTTGATTCTGGGCTGGAACTGATCCCGAGCAACCCCATGCTTGTTGAAAGTGCCTTTACGCCTCAACCGTATGGGTCATTGCTCATGCCAATCACTGGGTTGTCTGGTCCACAATAGGCAATTTACAGGCCTCCATGATACTTCTGTAATGTTGCGGGGAGCGGCGTTAAAACAGCAAACAACACATGCATTAACCAAGTCAGCGAACCTGACCTCCCGATTCCGTAAGTCGCCTCTTACGTTTGTTTGTTCAACGCCACACTCAGCAATATTCCAGCTGTATGGCGGTCTGTAAATAATCGCGTCTGGACCAGACAATCCACTAATTGACATCATGAGCATCGATCCACGCAATTGGGATCGATGACATGCATCAAACAAGTCAGCGAGCCTGACCACCCGATCCCGTTAGTCGCCTATTACGACAAGCATGGTCGCCTTTTACGGCAAGCATGGGTTGCTGAAGACCTATTCTACCCCGGATCTTCACGGGTCTGGTTGCTGGTGGCTAATTTTAACTGGGTTCACTTATTTCAGTATATTGGTTTGTATTTTAGTTTGCGGACATATGGGGCTGCAGCCGTCCATTGCTGCAAGATGGCTGAGGGCCACGCCCAGGCGTTGGTGGAGTATGGTCTCTACTGCTGGGACTTTGTAGCTGGCTTGCTGATAGCACAGGAGGCGGGAGTTCACGTCATGGACCCGGACGGTAAGGCGCCCGTCGGGGAAGGGGTGTGCAAATGAAATTATTTGGGTAACAGATTCATTAGCAATTTGGATGGGTTGGAGGCTGGCTCAGTAAAAGTATTCATATGTTTATTTCTAGGAGCGAATATGCAACTAAGGTTATACTAAAGGGAGGAGAAATAGGGTTAACGCCATGTTCAAGATTATTGCACTCACATAGGGAAGTGTGTGTGTCTGATTGTACTTGTCCTGATTAATTCCGGTTTTCTAGTTCAAGCCTACTGTAATACCATGCCACAGTATTTGTTTAACATAAAAACCCTACTCAAACACGTCATACTGACTCCCAGCCCGGTCCAGTCAGTGTTTTATCCTCTTAATGCCAAGCGCCAGGCAAGGTTACAAATATAAGTGAGTGAGTGAGTGAGTTGGGTTTAACGCTGCTTTTAACATTATTCCAGTTATATCATGGTGTGTCATCTTAATATGGGAGGAAAGCCCGAAGTGATGCAGCTCTCGGACGTTTACCACTTCGGTGAAACCTACGGGTATGGAGCTGACACACCTAAAAACATAATCAGGGCTAACGGGGATTCGAACCCACAATCATAGGTTTCTGGCGTGTCCAAGGGACGCAACTCTGCACAGCGAATCGCGGCGCCTTAGACGACTGGGCCACCCGTGCCCACATTACAAGTATTAGGGCTGGGACAATACACCAACTGAGCGATCCGATACATATCACATACCTTACTCGATCCGATATGTATCACAATACTTGCATGTGCTCTTATCTGTGGTGCGTAAGCCATCTTTTTCATAGACAGGATGGCCAAATACCTGGTGCACTGATGATTTACAGTTGGCGGTGTGAAGTATGGCACAACAAATGAAAATATTTATGTTTTCACTATTAACTTGCACTACTGATTAGTGTTTAGTGGAACAGTTATTAAATCAAACATTTAAGGTCAGAATCGATATTTGATACTTAGTGTGTGACTGATGGATACTTGTATCGAGAAGTAAAAAATCCTGATCCACCGATGATGCATCCGTGCATGTTCCCACCACTACAAGTACCATCTTTTAACATCTTATATGCAGCCATGAGCCACCGACCTTCTCCTGGCAGACTATCTGTGCCAGAAAGTGTTGGTGTGTCACTTTTACTGTACATTGTGAAAACTGTTCCTTGTACAGTGAGCAAATGGAAGATAAAGTTTTACAGACCGCCATCATATAGCTGGACTGTTGCTGAGTGCAGCGTTAAACAACAAACCAGCATTGCTGAGATTGGGTGCCAATGATAAGTAGTAATTACATTAAGAGATGTGCTGCTTGACCTGATGCTTCTGACCTCCAGGTGGGCCATGTGACCTGATGGGACACCGGATCTTGATGGGGTGCACGGAGAAAGTAGCCAATGAGTTGTCAGCAATGATCACCCACCACACGATGCACAGGCCATGAAGCAGACCAACATCCATCCACATGGCTCATTTAACTGAATGTAACCAATATTAATAACTTAGCTGGACTAGAAATGATTTCTGGTTAAGGTATGGTCAAGATCAGGACAGGGGGCACTAAGATCTCTTTGTGAAACAGGGCACAGATGATCAGGCCTTGTGTTGTCATACTCTCTACTCATGCCTTCACATAGCCTCCTACTTCACATTATGTTTGCTTCAATCAACAAGGTTGTTTTGGTTAACTTTGAAAGTCTCAAAACACAAAGTAAGTGAAGTCCCATCTTCCCGAGGCAAGGGAGTTAACTGTCTCCATAAGTCAAGTTTCCACGCTTGCTGAACTAAGCTTGGCTGTCTGGGCTCCTTCGTAGCAGCAGCAGCAAGTTATGTCCCATCTATATCCCTCCTATTTAACAATCAGATTCCACCTCTCATATCACTTGCATTTGCTTCAAAAGTACAAGCAAAATGACGTGCCCAGTTAAGGCGGTCTGACAGATAAAACCGGTCTTACCTCGTGAAGTGCATCAAATTATGTCAGCACCTTGAAACGATTAGGAAAATATCTGTTGCCACCGAGTTGACAGAACACAAATACAAATGCAACATTCGACCAAAATCTACATGGCAGTTTACGAACTGGATGTCATTAAGTGATTTTGATTAGACTATTCATAGCCTAGCTAGTCCAGCCACAATGTAAGTTCATAATTCCAGCCTAGTTCGTCAAGGGTGCAAACTGAAATTTGTATAATCAGTTACCTCCCTTGACTCTGGAAGATGGTCGAGTCCAAGCTTCATATATCAGTGAAATATACACACAATAAATAACCAAATTAATTTTGAGTTGTTTGTGTTCAAACATGCATAAATAAAACAACAGTAGAACACTTTAGGTCATTGTCCAATGTAGTCTTTTCAACTTGCGTACCTGCATTTTTTTAGATTCTTTTTCACTGATCGAGTGCAGCCATCACACATACATAAATTCTAATGAATACAAAACAGGCGATGTCTCACCTGTTGTTAAAATACAATATCAGTATTGATACAAATCATATGCAACAAAATGAAAACATAATCCCATTCAACAACATATTTTTTTTATACACCGTTGTTGGAGGTGACAAGGATATGAACCTTTCACATCTTGTTCTTCTTTCTCTCCTGAACCTCAAATTGCTTCACCAAACCAACAGCCTTCACTAATACCATATTCGACGTAATAAGTGCCCTGCTCTTAAAAGCGCCCATGCTAGTTAACAGTCCGAATTAGCACCCCTTCTGATTGATCAATGTACACAACACCTACTTATTCGTGTATAATACGCACCCTTAATTATGGGCAATTAGATTCTGGAAAAATATAACCTGTTGTATATAACCATTTCAGGCTGTCAGCATAAACCACAAAATTTATCTTTCAACTATGTTTTTCACCAAAATATTATTCTAATAAGAGCCCCCTATTTCCAATTTTGAGTGCCCTGGGCACTTATTACGTCATAAAGTAATCATGAATACATGGATTTAAAATTGCATTTTTGGTTTGTGTATACATCTGTATTTGAAGACCACTCTGATCAAGAATACTGAACAGTGTTTCAGGTAGTTCTTTTCTCTGAGGGGCGGTCGGGTAGCCTAGTGGTTAAAGCGTTCGCTCATCACACCGAAGAGCCGGGTTCGATTCCAGACATGGGTACGATGTGTGAAGCCCATTTCTGGTGTCCCCCGCCATGATATTGCTGGAATATTGCTAAAAGTGGCGTAAAGCCTCACTTTATCTTTCATAGAAGGCAGGTAATTCAGCAACCATCCTAATCCACAAACTTACAAAATAGGAAATGTTATCAGTATACATCAAGACCTAGCATCTGGTTAGTCTGGGGCGGTTGGGTAGCCTTGTGGATAAAGCGTTCGCCCGTCACGTTGAAGACCCGGCCCCACATGGTTACAATTTGTGCTGCCCATTTCTGGTGTCCCCAGACATGATATTGATGGAATATTGCTAAAAGCAGCTTAAAACTAAACTCTCAGTCTCTAGTTGTTCTTAATGAAGAGCATCCTGTTAGAGACAGCTGGGACAATCACCCATGACTGGATAAATGGCCAGGCAAATCACAATGTCAAGAAAAATCAGATGATTTACTCAGATATGATACATCTCTGGATGAAGATCCAACAACATTGGAGGTCGTGTCGGGTAAACACTGAGCAAACTTTGTACCAGCGTATCACAGAATGTGTTGGTTCTTGAGCCAATCAGATGCCAGTTTACTAAAGCAATTTGGCTTCACTTCTTTTAGAATCCTTGACATGATGCTGTTTAGAAAATTCACCTCACCTGACCTTGCGACCTTCATGCAGAGATGTATCAAATTGGAGTTAAAGGTTTGACAGTAATGAGATTGGGCACAGCAGGTGTGGGCATCATCAGCAGCAGCAATCCAGTCATCACAATATGATGCTACACAATTAAGCAGGCCACACATTACAACCACCCCGTCCTGGAGTCACCTGAATATCCATGATCTCACACCATACCCCATCTTCCCGAGGCAAGAGAGTTAACTGACTTTAAAAGTCCAGTTTCCACACTTGCCGAACAAGGCTGGTATTACTTGGCTTGATCGTAGCGCCACCAGTGGCTATTACCAATTATGTCCCTTCAAAGCCTCTATGGACCAATTAGATTCCACCTGTCGTATCACTTGCGTTTGTTTCACACAAAATGGTGGCGCCCAGTCAGGACGATCTGATCGATAATCGATATCTATATTGTGATAAAACGGGTCTTAAATCGCGAAATGCATCAAATCACGTCAGCACCTTGATTAAAAACATGAAAAGATTTGGAAAATATCTGCTGACAACAAGTTGGCGGTGCACATGCTTTGCAAATCCTGCAATCGACCCGAAATCTGCACGACAGTTTACGAACCGGATTTCGGTGCGTGATTTTGATTGGACTATGCATAGACTCGTTAGTCCAGCCAAAATGTAACTCCATAACACCAGCCCAGTTCAGCAAGGGTGGAAACTGGACTTTTATATCCAGTTAACTCTCTTGCCTCGGGGAGATGACAATACCCACACTCACTCCTTCATGTAACCAGTGTCATGTGATGCCAGGTTGTACAGGACTTAGTTGCTATTGTCCTCATTTTAGTCGCCTCTTACGACAAGCACTTGGTGCTGGGGACCTATTCTGCCCCGGCATCCCCACGGGGGCACAGTCCCATCAGTCCACAATGTCTGTGGTTTGGTGGTGCTGCTATCGGAGGAAGCCCACAGTTTTCCTCCTGGGGCCTTGCTTCTCCTCTTCCTCTAGGACCTTCATCAGGCTACTGTTTAGGGCCTGGCCGATCTTCTTTCCCGTCTGCATGTAACCATGGTAACAGTTAACTCAGATGGATGAAGACAACAATACATAAACATATAAATTCTAAACTCTTGACGAAATCAAAATAATTGTTCATGTAATCCAATTTCCCAGTTAAATAAATTCAAGATTTGTTTCCAACTCACAGATATTTGAAATCAGTTCCTGATAACTGATTCGGCTTCCAATCAAATAATAAAATCAAATCAAGAACAATAAATGAAGTGTGTTTTCAAATGGTTTTCTTCAACATGTCAAAAATAAAAAGAACGCCATCCAATGCTAGCAATTCATTAAAGGGAGGCAATCTATTATTCCTTGGAGTCAGAACAGTCATGCATGAGTCTCTGCTCATTGCATTCTATAAGTATGTTTGTCTTTTCTTTAATACCTCGATGTTTTATTTAAAGAATCAAGATTGGGCCAGACAATTAAGAGCATCGATCTACAAAATTGGGATACAATTACATTCATCCACCAAGTCAGTGAGCCTCTTATGACAAGCATGGGATGCTGAAGACCAATTTGAACTCGGATCTCTTGGGGATCCTTCATGTGAAAACACGGACTTCATGTTTCTGGATTTGTAGAGCTCTGAGATAACCCAAATTAGACACACAAAACAGAAAGTTCCACAAAAAAACATAACATATTGCAGGGTTTGATGTACATGTTTTTGTTTGTTTGTTGTTTAATGCCACGCTCAGCAATATTCCAGCTTTATGACGGCGGTCTGTAAATAATCAAGTCTGGACCAGACAATCCAGTGATAGATATCATGAGCATCGATCCACGCAATTGGGATTGATGACATGCATCAACCAAGTCCGCGAGCCTGACCACCCGATCCCGTTAGTTGCCTCTTACGACAAGCATAACCGCCTTTTACGGCAAGCATGGGTTACTGAAGACCTGTTCTACCCCGGATCTTAGCAGGGTGTAAGTAATAGCAGGGTGTAAGTAATAGCAGGGTGTAAGTAATAGCAGGGTGTAAGTAATCGAATCGGGGCCAGAAGGACCAGTAACTGAAAGCATGAGCAGTGAGACACATCAAGGCCTCTTACGACAAGCAAAGTTGCCTTTTACGGCAAGCATGAGTTGCTGAAGACCTATTCTATCCCGGATCTTCACAGGTATACATGTTTTCAAGTAGCCAAAACACCGGTGGTGCAGAACAATCATGGTCCCTTCCCTTGATGTCCGAGCAAATATGTACACCTTTATCTTACAAATGTACTACCAATTTCCATCCTTTCAATTTGCTGAAGGAAACTGCAATAGGAGAGTTACATTTGAAATGTTCACCAGCCAGTTAGATCACATAACTTTATAACTTGTGAACCTGTTTCTTCTTCTACCATGTCCTACACAGTATTTGTTGAACCTTGTATTTCTGTTCATCTGAGAGGACAGCTTCAATATATCAGAACCGATTACACAATTAAACCTTTCAAGCATTTATCTTCAAATTAGAAACACAGCGTAAAAATTACAAAAAAAACCGTACCTCCATCATATCGAACACACTCTCAGGGTCGAGACTGCCACACCCTTCTTTCTTCAGTGCCGTGATTGAACCCTTCTCCATGACCCCCATCAGCAGCCTACAACACAGAGCATCAACACCATAGTAAGAGAAGATATTTAATGAGGCTGAGAAATTTAAGTCAGTAATATTTCGGTGTCATGGTGTTTGAGATTTACATAAATCTGCTTGTCCAAAACTAGTTTTTGGTTCGGTGGGGTAGCTAGTGGTTAGTGTGTTTGCTCATGATGACGAAGACCTGGGTTTGATTCCGAACACGGGTATAATGTGTGAAGTCCATTTCTGGTGTCCCCCACCATGAAATTGCTGGAATATTGCTAAAAGCGGCGTAAAACCATACTCACTAACTCCAAAACTAGTTAAATTCAATGACTGATGTTCAACTTTATTATTTTTTTCATTGCAAGGTACTTTCAGACACTGAAGCAGCACTATTAGCATCATCTCCTCAAAATGGCTGTGGTGGCCATGTTGAAAATCAGATTCAAACCTCTGAAACACCATTGGTGGGAACAAGTATGTGACCTTTCAGTTCCGTTGCTCCAGTGGTTTCAGGAAAATGTTTATGAGTGAGTGAGTACGGTTTTACGCCGCTTTTAGCAATATACCAGCAATATCACGGCGGGGGACACCAGAAATGGGCACCACACATTGTACCCAAATCGACGGGCGAACGCTTTAACCACAAGGCTAACCGACCGCCCCAAAATGTTTATGACGGACGGCGGATGTAAGTGAGTGAGTTTGGTTTTACGCTGCTTTTAGCAATATTCCAGCAATATCACGGCGGGGGACACCAGAAATGGGCTTCACACATTGTACCCATGTTGGGATTCGAACCCGGTTTTCGGCGTGACGAGCGAACGTTTTAACCACTAGGCTACCCAACGGCCCCGATGGCAGATGTAAGACAAACAGATTCCACCAAAAGCTGCATTCTGATTAGCTGAATTGGTCACGTGTTATTGCATTCATTTCCCAATGAATGTAAAAAATTAAGCTACGCCCACCGCGGTGCATTACTTTTATTTCTGCGGAGTGTCGGGGAATCCCAATATTACAGTCGAGGGAATTCCCTTTCTGCTCACGTGTATCGTCATGCACAGGACATTTAGCGACTTTCATGCATATTCATTGTCTAAACTACTCTTTGAAACCGAAGGCCGAGAATGAATGAAACAGCAAACGTGCAGGCTCGCAACTTTCATGTCTTCGGGTTTCATTTCTAACTAGCATTTCTCCAACTGTTTTACCGTAATCAGGGAAGTAATGTTTGAATCACGCAGTAATTATTTGAAACAGCCGCCTTCTCTCAGACATATTTCTTCCGGTTCGTTACAGTCTGACTGTTGCAGTTCTTTTCGCCTCTTGCCTTAATTGACAGGTCCAATGAACATTGTTTTAATCCCACTCTCCGTTGATTGGCTACTGACTGTGTAGGCGTGTCAAGTTATGTGCATAAATTAAACGATCACCTGATTCATGTCACGCCACTGTATGTATTCCTACACCTGGAATGTTTATCAATGTCGTCATTTTTGTCTGTTTTGATATATGCAACTGTTTTGGGTTACACTATTGTAGATAAAACATGTTTTACGTTGTTGAATTTAATTATAAGCATTGACTGTGTATTTTTTTCGGTTCATTGAGGTATGAATCGAAAAAACAATGTGCAAACTTTTGTAAGAACCCACTACGCGGATTCATACAGTTTGCACATCGGTTTTTCGATTCATACCTCAATGAACCGAAAAAAATACAGGATTTAATCATATCGTGTATGTCGCTATGCACAAGATTACAGTGCATGACTATTTGTTTGGGTGGTGACCATGGTGATACTGGGATGAGTTCTGGTGAATTGTTTTTACAAGCTTGAAACTTTGTTGAAGCTTGTTTCTACATAAGGATCGAAAGAAGAAGAAATGCAAAGTGTTAGATAGGATTAGTTTAAAAATTAAATTGTACAAATGAATAAAATAGAAATTTAAATTCAAAGTGAGTGAGTGAGTTGGGTTTAACGTGGCTTTTAACAGTATTCCAGTTATATCGCGGAGTGTCAGCTTAATGTGGGAGTAAAGTCCGAAGTGATGCAGGTCTCAGACATTTACCACTTAGCACCCACGAGCACGGGTATGGTGCTGAAAAGAAACATAATCGGGGTGAACCGGGATTCAAACCTGCAACCATAGGTTTCTGGTGAGCCAAAGGGATGCAACTGCACAGCGAATCGGGGCGCCCTAGACCCCCAAATTCAAAGTGAATGATGCTGCTTTGGTTTATCAAACAATATTTCAGTCATGTCGCAGCCTGTCAGCTTGATGTGGGAGGAATGACAGAAGGGAGAACACGAAAAGAAAATGATGAGTTTTATTTAGGAAAACAGTATTTCCTCACCTGGCAAGGGAGCATGCCTCTTCTTTCTGACTGGCGTCTACCACGTGATAGTGGCCAATCTAGAACATGAAAAAACTCATACCAGATATTGAAAACCAAACAAACACAAGCAAATTACGAAAAGCATTGCTAAATAGGCTTAACATTTTCAGTTATAGTTCAGATCAAATTAATAGCTTTAAAAAAAATATGATCAGTTGGAAACTTAAACCAGTAGACAAATTCCCCAGTGTCAGTTTTCAAGACAGCAGCAGTAATACATCTCTGTCATGGCTGCCCTGAAATAGCTGAGTCAGGCACACAAGTGGCTGCAAGTATGAGAGTGAGTGAGTGAGTTGGGTTTTACGCTGCTTTTAACAGTATTCCAGTTATATCGCAGCATGTCAGCTTAATGTCGGAGGAAAGCCCGAAGTGATGCAGGTCTCAGACGTTTACAACTTCGATGAAACCCACGAGCACGGGTGTGATGCTTACAAACCTAGAAACATAATCGGGGCGAACCAGGATTCGAACCCACAATCATAGGTTTCTGGCGTGCCCAAGGGATGCAACTCTGCACAGCGAATCGCGGCGCCTTAGATGACTGGGCCACCCGTGCCCCTTCAAGTATGAGAATGACCCATACCATTGGGATATGATCAGAGCTCCAGATAAGCTTCGTATCTGCGTAAAATACGCATCAGAAATGCAGAAATATGCAGTTAAATAAAATCCAAGCGTATCAAATACGCAACGAACATTACAGATAAGCTACAAAAATGAAAATTGGGCGCATCACCAAAATATTGTGAAGTAACCCTGCGTATTCGATTAGCAAATCAGCAACTTATTTTGAAATTATAAACCTGCATTCCGTCAACCTTGCCAAACTACACGATGACAGTTACATTACGATCATTTGCCATCACACTTTCTTGTGGAAGTATTGTGGTATTTTTGAGTCCTATAAAGTTCTCGAACCCACACAACACCAGTTTGCAGGGACTAGATGAATAGTGTTTTTAAATATTTAACTTATTTAATAAATACCCACATGTGTAAAAACAAATGGGTAACAGAAATTTGAATACCCAGATAGAATTACTGATACCCAATGATTTTAAAATGCATGGGTACAATACCCACAACACCAAAAGCTTATCTGGAGCTCTGATGATGATGATGCTATATCTAGCAATCACAAAGCGTTACCATTCAATTTTTGTTGTGGTTTGTTTGTTGTTTAACGCTTCACACAGCAAAATTTCAACTTTATTATGGTGGCCTGTATATGATTAAACCAGACAATTCAGTGAATGATATTATATGTGCTGATCCTCGTCCGCTTATGATAAAACACCATCAACCAAGTTGCCTCTCTCAACTAGCATAGGTTGCTGGGGACCTATTGATAATTCTTCACCGGAATCCCTACGGGGTGGTTCTAATGATAAATATGGGGTACTGGAGAGACACTCTGAAATGGGGCAAGTTAACATCAGAACAAAAAGCTTCATCATACCCTGTCAGAATGATGAGATCTCATTGGTGCATGTGACCTTGATAAAAACCTTGAGTATCCTGCCTTGAAGGGTAATAAATTTTCAGTGGGGGGATAAATCTCTTATACCCGCCACAATCGCCACGTGGATTTCTGAGCGGGAAAATATATCCATTATACCCCGCCGTGAAAAAAACAGGCTGCATATAGATTTCTCAGCGGGAGAATAAATCCCTTATACCCCGCCATGAGTGAGTGAGGCTGCATGTGGATTTCTGAGCGGGAAAATAAATCCATTATACCCCGCCATGAAGAAAACAGGCTGCATATAAATTTCTCATTGGGAGAACAAATCCGTTATACCCCGCTTTGAAGACAAAAGCCCATTCATAAGTTGAGAAGTATATCTAAATTTTGAGCCCATGTGTTGACCACTGAATCATGTCCTTTGTTTGTCAAGTACATCTTCATTTGTCTTTACCTTGTTCAGTGTGACTACGCAGGGTGCTGTGGTAACATTGAGCCGCTTCACATCATAGGGGTCGTCCGATATCTCCAGCTCCATCTCGCCCCCATCTTCCTGACTCACCGTCACACTCGGAATTCTGGAAAATATTCATATTTGAATAAATTACATGAAATTGTTTTTTTCAATTCCAAAACCATTCATGTTCAGATTGAAAAAGAAATGTAACTGTATTCAGTATGGTTTCAGCAATATTCCAGCAATATCACGGCAGGGGACCCCAGAAAATGCACTTCACACTTTGAAGCCATGTTGGGAAATCTAACTACATTTTGTATGAGCAAGGCGGTAATATCTTACCATTTGTTTCTAATGCGTTTCACAGATTTTCTCATATTCAAATATTAGGAGTGAGTGAGTGAGTTTAAGTTTAACGTCACATCGGCAGTATTTCAGCCATATCGTGACGATCAAATATTAGGAAAACGCTTCAAGTCCCTAACATGCAACTGTTAAAATGAACAAAACCTAGTTCTCATTCATATGACCATAGAGCCTGTGAAGATCAGGGGTAGACTAGGTCTTCAGCCACCCATTCTTGTCGTAAATGGTGACAATGCTTGTCGTAAGAGGCGACTAACGGGATCGGGTGCTCTGTCTTGCTGTCTTGGTTGATGCATGTCATTGTATCCCAATTGTGTGGATCGATGCTCATGATGACAATCACTGGATTGTCTGGTCCAGACTCGATTTTTTGCAGATTGACGTCATGTAGCTGGAATATTGCTGAGTGCAACATATAAACAAATCATAAGACAATAACCATGATAACCTGCATGACAATTTCTAAAAGTATTGCTCAATTCTTAATTATAACAATGCAACAACAAAAACTCCTCTGAACAACAGTCACAGGTGTGGTCGGGTAGCCTGGTGGTTAAAGCGTTCCCTCGTCACGCCGAAGACCCGGGCTCGATTCCCAACATGGGTACAATGTGTGAAGCCCATTTGGGTTGTCCACCGCCGTGATATTGCTGGAATATTGCTAAAAGCGCCGTAAAACCTCAATCACTCTGAACAACGCTCGTGGCAGTGTTTGTGACTTTGTGTTGTGAGATTTTATGAGCGCTTCATCAAGCATCACTGTAAATGACACAAGAACTGTTCTTCTGTTAACATACATGAACAAGAACAAGCGCTTTGTAGGAAAACTCTTAAATAAATAACAACATTGCTTATAGAAACTATCTCAGCTACCAGAGACTCTTTCGGCCCTGACCACCCCCTACTTCCCATCATTTAAATCAGATCTTTTATCAAATACATCTTCATGAAGATCTGACGACACCTCGAAAATAGGTTACTTCTTAGTTCTCTGTATGATCGAGTAAGGTATGTGATATGTATCGGATCGCTCAGTTGGTGTATTGTCCCAGCCCTAATACTTGTAACGGGAGCACGGGTGGCCGCGTCGTCTAAGGCGCCGCGATTCGCTGTGCAGAGTTGCGTCCCTTGGGCACGCCAGAAACCTATGATTGTGGGTTCGAATCCTGGTTCGCCCCGAATATGTTTCTAGGTTTGTCAGCACCATACCCGTGCTCGTGGGTTTCACCGAAGTGGTAAACGTCTTAGACCTGCATCACTTCGGGCTTTCCTCCCACATTAAGCTGACACGCCGCGATATAACTTGAATACTGTTAAAAGCGGTGTTTAACCCAACTCACTCACTCACTCACTCACTCTGATATCTGTATCTTGAAAACAAAGTTAATTGGCCTGTATTGAATGAAAATGCTAAAGGCAGTGGCATTATATTGTTTTTGATATTTCATACACCTCGTCATTTCTGAGAGCCATAGCTTCTACACCCGACAGGTAGTACCACTGAAGGACTACTTGTGTTTTTTCCCTCCAAAATTCAGAATCAAGGTGGTAAAAAAATGAAGCCAAATAAAAATAAGGAAACTAACGTTTGATTGCCTCAAGATAACACACATCCTTTCAGACTGGGTGTCAAAGTTCGTCCCAATCTCATTAAAATCAGATCTTAGTTCTTGTTATCAAGGTTATCGCTACACAAAGATCTGAGGACATCCCATTTCGGGACACGTCAGAACAACCTTTCATTTGATCAATTAAAGCGCTGCTTACCAGATCATAAAAGAGACAGTCGGAATGTGTTTTCTTATCATGCAACCTCGAAAACGTTAACACTGGGTATTCTGAGCGACAGTTACGGCCCATATGACTGATTCCGTCAAAATTATCGTCTATCTCTCGCTTCCGTGGGACAAACATTTGAACAAAGGAGGCATTGCACTGTACGTGGGAAGCACTGGCATACAATCTCAACCATATATTAGACATTCCTGAATGTTTGTTTGTTCAGTTTTCAAAATTTTAATCGAGAACTTTGTCAACATATTTTTCAAGAGTGGTCTGAAATGGAAGTCGCCTGATTGAAACGAGTGCCGTAAAGCCTGAGAAAGCTGCTTTCTCATTGGCTGATGCCGACTTCTTGTTAGTCATTTCAGGGGTCGGTCAAATTTCGCTAAAGGTCATTCTGACATGACCCGTAATGGGATGTCCACAGATCTTTCAGTGAGTGAGTGAGTTGGGTTTAACGCCGCTTTTAACAATATTCCAGTTATATCGCGGCATGTCAGCTCAATGTGGGAGGAAAGCCCGAAGTGATGCAGGTCTCAGATGTTTACCACTTCGGTGAAACCCACAAGCACAGGCATGGTGCTGACAAACCTAGAAACATAATCGGGGCGAACCAGGATTCGAACCCACAATCATAGGTTTCTGGCGTGCCCAAGGGACACAACTCTGCACAGTGAATCGCGGCGCCTTAGATGACTGGGCCACCCGTGCCCCTGCAAGTATGAGAATGACCCATACCATTGGGATATGATCAGAGCTCCAGATAAGCTTCGTATCTGCGTAAAATACGCATCAGAAATGCAGAAATATGCAGTAAAATAAAATCAGTGAATCGCAGGGCCTTAGACGACTGGGCCACCCGTGCCCCCTCAGATCTTTCAGGGTTCACCTGATGTGAGCTATGGATATGCTTTCAAATCTGCAGGGAGGTATTGTACTGAAGTAAAACATCTGATTTGAATGGGAATGCAGGATTTTGAAAATGGGGGGAGCACACTACCAATATGATGACAAGGAATTTACCTGAGGCCTTCTATTTTTGACTCTCACATCATAATTATGAGGGGTCTAGGGCTGGTGACATGTGGTGCACTTCACTCGATTACGAGCTCATAACCTTTCAGCCTATTTTAGATGGGGATTTGAAAGTAAGATTGAAGAAGATTGACTTGACCCAAAATACAGCTTAATCAAAAACTCTGACCAACTAAGATGGGTTTGGGTATGGGGTAGGGGACTAGCTCTTAGTAATAGTACTTGCTGAGAGCAATACTGTTTGTTGTGTAAATCGTATTTGGCGTCTGGCATTTGAAATATACTTTGTCTGTCTTGTATATTTTCCTGAGGCAAGTGTGTCAGCTAGCCAGTATAAAAGCCTAGTTTCTACCCTTGCCACATCAAGCCCACTCGATTGTGGCGCCACCTCCCGTAGATCACAGGTTCTGCCCCTTGTAATGAAAACAAGATGTCCAATTGTATCGCTGTTCTGAGCTCATATGGCTTCAAGATGGCGACCACCATGGACAAAGACCTGCTCGATCAGATAATGAAAACATTCGCGATTTCATCCTTGACAGACAAACAAAGGCAATCGTTGAGGGGTTTGAAAGATGGAAAAGAGATATTCATGTCAACAAAGACAGGCAGCGGTAAACCACTTTATTACGAATATGTACCGGTTCTGGGAATGACTTTTCCCATCGTCGTACCGTGTACAAGTGCAGTACTTGGGTGACTTGATTTAAAACTTGGAAAGACTTAGAATACACTTGTCTTTGATAAACGGTTGAGAAGACTTCAGTGCAAATTCGACAAGCCATGGCAGTGGCCGTGTTTTCAGTGAGTGAGTGAGTGAGTGAGTGAGTGAGTGAGTGAGTGAGTGAGTTGGGTTTAACGCCGCTTTTAACATTATTCCAGTTATATCGCGGCGTGCCAGCTTAATGTGGGAGGAAGGCCCGAAGTGATGCAGGTCTCAGACGTTTACCACTTTGGTGAAACCCACGAGCACGGGTATGGTGCTGACAAACCTAGAAACATAATTGGGGCGAACCGGGATTTGAACCCACAATCATAGGTTTCTGGCGTGCCCAAGGGACGCAACTCTGCACAGCGAATCGCGGCGCCTTAGACGACTGGGCCACCCGTGCCCCACCGTGTTTTCAGAACCCAGACATTGATTTTGTGAAACATTCTCTGATTGGACTATCGATATGTGCTTTGGTCCAATCATATTTAGCACAGGAAAGTGGGCTTGATGTGGCAAGGATGGAAACAAGACTTTGATAAAAAGGCTAGTGGACGCTCTTGCCTCAGGAAGATGGAGGGACATAGAAGGGACATAACTCTTAATAGCCACTGGTGACACAATCAAACCCAGAAATTCCAGCCTAGTTCAGCAAGGATGGAAACTGGACTTTGACAGTCAGTAAACTCCCTTGCCTCGGGAAGATATGACTTGTAATGATCTCATTACCTTGTATTAAACAAAGCTGCTTTGACAGCAATCGACGCAGCATCAAACAGATTGCCTCCACATTCCAACAACTGAAAAATAACTGCATTGTTAAAACAGCAGTTTGAGTTGTGTTTCCAAGACATCAAATCCGATTAGAATTTCTGTTAACATGAATTGAAAAAACTTATAATCCGTCACTACCCCGGCATTTTGGTAACAATAGGATTCTGGAAGATTGAGGGACAGACCAAGACTTGCAGCGTCTATCGAAGTCAGTGCTTACCAGAATATCAACAAATAAGACCCAGCACTGTTGCTTGGGAATAACACAGAGAGACTGCAGGTCAAGGCAGCTGGGACAGTCATAGGCCCGGGACAACATCGTACTGATCTCCGTGGCCAACTCTTCCCCTCCCCGACCCTCAAACTCAGGGGTAGCGTTGGCTGAACTGTGCAACAAAGAATGATTCCTTGAGCATAAGTACCATGTACTATTCACATGCATCAACAGATCATAAGGCTGTAACCATGGTAACAATTTACCAAAATATCAATCTTCAAAATACTACAAAATCCACGGGGACAGGTATGGTGCTGACAAACCAAAAAACACAATCAGGGCAAATTTTGGATTAGAAACTAAGTGGATGAGTGAGTTTGGTTTAACGCTGCTTTTAACAGTATTACAGTTATATCACGGCGTGTCAGCTTAATGTGGGAGGAAAGCCCGAAGCATAGATATAACCAGTTATTTTGTTCACAGGAAGCTAGCGATGCTTATTTGCTCTATAATTAATATCAGTACCGGTATATAACATAGCTACGTGACATAAATTGCAAAGAATAATGAAGAATGAAGTATGGTTTATTTCACGACAAAACATTGTTCTATTTGAACATGCGCTCGCAAATTAATGATGCTGAATATTAGACGATGTTACTTTTTAGAAGGGAATGTTTAGTGAGTTATTCAATGTAGCCTGGAAACGCAGATTGAGATAAACGCAATCCCTGCATCATTTCATAGTTGGATAAACAACTCCTACTCATCGTTTATTTCTTAAGTAAGTCAAACACTGTTGTGTCGCAGTTGAAGGGACATGTGTAGACACTTCGATTTATCCAAAGTTCCACACAACTAAAAGGTGATGAATAAAGAACATCAAAGTTTGACACAATGGTCATGATGGTGTTTGACAGGACATATATACATACTATGTTTATCATTGGATACAAGCAAAGTATTTACCAGTCCACAAAAAACTCAAGACGACCTCTGTCTGGCTTCTCAGTGGTTGGAGAGCTAAGTTCCGCCTTCACACCTACCAGGACATCTGTGTTTGCCTAGGTTGGACAAAAACATGCGAGTGAGTAGGTTTTAACTCTGTTTGAGAAGCATTTCTCTCATACCACTTCTTGTCAGATTAATGTGGGGGACATGTCCAACACTGGCAGATAAGCAAAGAGATCGTCCCAACAAATAAGGATAATGATCTGGAATTTGACCCTATCACCAGCAGATCCTTGAATTGTCTAAGGGAGGCAACTATGTGTACAAACTGTGACATCAGCTAAGTTACAGACAACATGGAACAATGATAAATCTTGACACAAATTACATCTGATATTTTAATATTTAGCAATATTGCAGGTTGACATTAAGAATGGCCGTCACACATTGACCAAAATGGGGAACTGAACTTAAGTGTTTGGTAAGACAAGTTCAACAATAGCTGCTATAAGCTTCCCCACTGACCCTAAAGAGATGAAGAATGTCATAAAAATGTACAAAACCACAGAAAAGTCTCAAGGCAATTTGTCTCCAGTGAAACTTACAAATGTGACAAACTAAAAATAGCGTTGTTATTAATACAATGTTCAACATGCTAAAGGAAATTTCACTCACCAGTCTCACTCTGGCTGAGCCTGTTGTGTTGGAAACTACGTCTGTTTCAATTTCCATGTGACGATAATCCTCACAGCTTCGCCCATCCTCACGCAGATTGTCCTGCAAACAAACCGGACAAATTTCAAGATACAGAAGATGTATGATCATGATGATTATTGAAGTGGTAAACACTACATGACATGCTATTATGATTTAATAATGAAAATTAATTAACAGATCAGTGATAACCACGGGGAAATAGTGATTTCGTAGCCACTCCCAACTCGCATGCACACTTTACAGTGGGAGTGAATTCGTAGACACATTTGTTTAATTGGAATTGAAAGATAATAATTTCTATCTATGTATTTTTTTTACCTTAACAGTATTATTGACAAGTAAGAGGTTCATTCGTTAAGCCGAAGGCATGAGATTCATTCAGTAAGCAGCGTCTGGAGTGGAGTACTGTATTATTATTTTGTTTTGATAGGATTTGCAGGATACTATTATAAATAAATAATCTGGTAAGTATATATCCAAGCTGAGAAGGACGATTGGTGAGTGGAGTATGGGATACCCATGGATCCAAGATGAGAAAGAGATGTACTAGAGCTTCAGCATCTCTAAAAATGATGACTGGCAGAAGATCATGCCAGGTCATAATCATGATAATGTATCAAGTATTTATTTTCATTTAAAATTTACCACTTGAAATGCATTTGCCTCGTACAAATTCAACATTTATGTAATCAGCAATGAATGATTATTATTATCATGTATCATTAGTTCTATATGTTTTGTCATATGTGAATTTTGTCTACGAGTTGGGAGTGGCTACGATTTTTCCATGGCTACGAATTGTTTACGTTTGTTTACGAATTTACCTACAGCGATGTCAAACCAGGCATAATATGCCATACAAACCACATTGATTGGTGCATAATATTGTTGACATTTACAGTAGCACTTATTTTGAGATAGGGACAGTGCAAAAAATGCATGATAAATACCAATCTTTTTTTATTTTTTTTTAAATTTGCGGGGGGGGGGGGGGGGGGGGGGGGGGGGAAGTTCCATTCCGAGGTGCAATACTTCGATTGCTGCGAAGTCAAGTTAAAACAATGTTTGTTTATAGGGAGCAGCACATAGATACGGTATGACAGCTTCTTCGATTGGCATATTATGCCGCCATATGCAGCAAGGGTAACATGGTTAAGACCAATCGGTGATACGTTCCAGTTTGCTGAAACTGAAACCCCATTTAACATGTTTCAAAACTGTTAAAGCCAACAAATATATGGCCTACCAATTACCCTAATCGGTCGTTATATTATGCGCACTTACTTGAATTCCATGGAGGATAAAGGTCTTCTCTGCTTCACTTAGCTGAACGTCAACCATGTTTTTCTCGCTAAATTTATATTATTCGTTTTTCAAAACAATCATGTGCCATGTGCAGATCAAAACCGGAAGTCTCTCTACGTCATCACGATTTGTTGACACGTCATCAATTTATGTGCTAATGGCGGCTTCCAGGATTGCGATGCTTACCTGTTTCTAGGCAAGAGTTGTCATTCTGAATATGCCGTCCGATCTTTGATGCCGTTCTCTTGAAGTATTTTATTTCAGTTCTGGACATAAATTATGTAAGTAAGATACACTAGATATAGCACAGTTTTGCCAATAGACAACTATCTTCCTCACTCCTTTTCCGAAGTTCGTGGTGTTTCCTTAAAATCGAGTAGGGCCCTGAGTTACATGTGGGATATAACCTTATGTATATACATGTATTGTAGGTAATTCTCCTAGCTTAGCTTTTCCGAACATATGCATGCGAATACGCCCGTTCAACAATTGGGGACCCTTACATTTTCCTATTGCTTCTATCGTAAATGTTATTACAATTCATATGCATGCACATTTTGTGAAAATCATTGACAACGATGTTCACAACATCCTTGATACCTTGATTACCAAGTAAAAGAGAAATCGTCAAATAATTACCACTGTTTAGTTCCTGCTATATGAAACTAGGCAAGGATGCAGTGTACTCCCAGCTATTGGATCACATACATCTTGACACAAATTCGTTGCTTCCTGATAATAACAGCGGGATACACCCAACTCGCCTAAAATCCGACTCACTTAAAAAGATTTTGACTCGACTCGCCTAATTTTTTTTTGAGCGAACTACAGTCGGTTTTTGTATTTTAGAATAAGTATGTAACTATCAGAAATACATAGTAATGCATTTTATACACATAATGTACCTAAATGTTAGTGTTGTAGTCTAGGTCCCAATAGCTAACCGACTGGGCTCTGACTCACTGACTCAACATGAAGTGCAGATGGGCCTACCTTTAGAATACAGTACCACAAACTTTTCAAACACGTGATCATACCCTATGACGTAATTTGTAGTATTTTGTTGCCAGTCACACCGGCGAAACAATGCCCTGTGACGTCAGGGGTCATCGAGTGTGCATAAGCTCCTCTCAGTGATCTATCATCTCTACACGAAATGTCATTGAATACGCCAAGCGCTGTGGAGAGTTTTGAATATTTGTTTACTGAATATAGCCTGCGGCGGCGCATTTTATAGCAAGCGCTAGTTTACGAAAGCACTTTTATTTTTTATATATTTTTTATTTCGTTTTTCTCGTAATTCAAGTGGCTAAAAGGGTTATAAATGGGAACTTATAGACATATATTATTTTTTGGGTGAATTAATTTGCATTATTATGCACAAGAATGTAGTTTGTTAGGGATATTTAGTGGTGCTGAACACATCCAAATGTCGCCAGTGTTAGGGTAGGTTACCCCGAACTCTATCCTTAACCCTTGGATCCCCTTTACGATAAATCACCCCTTTACGATCATTAGGGTTAGGAACCCGTTTAGTGGCTATTAGATTACCCTAAGTCTATCCTTAACCCTTGGATCCCCTTTACGATCAATCACCCCTTTACGATCATTAGGGTTAGGGGCTAGGTACTCGTTTAGTGGCTATTGTGGATTATATAGCGGCTCCTTATATTCTTCCCACAAAAACGTTGAGTAAAAAGGATGAAATGGTTTTGTGTCGAATATTTTGGCTACTGGAAACTGTCCTGGAACATTCACACAAGCCACTTTCACCGGCTACATTTTTCATTACTGATTCAAAAGCGAACTCACCGTTGTGTTGTCACTAATCATGCTTATTCCTCCATCGTTCCTTGCTATTATCCACATCATCCTTACAGTGTTCCCTACCACACTTTTCTGTCACAATAATCACCCGACGAATTATTAAAAACCATATCATTCATGCGCACTCGCGAGTTCGACGTCTGACGTCTGACGCCTGGAGCCGTTTTTAGTTCGCGGCATATCAGCCTATTCCTCACCACCCGGTATCTTGTAGATTACGGAATGGGACGAGTGTGCCAAATGCCATCGGGATCATTCGTAAGTGTCAGTAGACTAAAGTCACGAGACACCATGCCTACCCGTAACCTTCGTAAGTGTCCGTCACCTATTCGACCCTTTTCGTTCAGTTCCGTAACGTCAAAGGCATGACTAGGTAAATTTGCACTAAGTTTAACAGTCTGGACGTAGCTCAGTCGGTTAGCTGTCAGGCTAACAATCCGAAGGTCGCGGGTTCGCGTCCGACGGATTCTCACTAAAACTGGTTGCTTGTCTTGTGACATGTGACCTACGGCAGAGATCGTCCTCACGAGAAGTTGTGGTACTGTATTCTAAAGGTGCTCCTGCAGATGTAAATATGACAGAAGACAAATTCTATGGATGATACGTTGTTGTTTTTTATATTATTTCCATACTTGTGTATGAATATACTAGTAATTGTGATCATTAGGCCTAACCTAACTTATATTTGCCAAAGGCATACCAAAATATTATATATATTATTTAGGCGAGTTGGGTCAGATTTTTTTAGGCAAGTCGGGTGCAACTCATAACTGCACCTACAAGCCGGGGGTGGGTTTGGGGGGAGGGGGGCAATCCCCCCTGTTATTTTAGCTAAGGAATGAGCTCGGAATGGTGTCCGGTATACTGCATTCTTGCTGCTCTTCCGTCTAAAGAATTATCAGCTAAATCTGCATTCCTACTCACCTTCCCCATATCACCTTTAGAATACGGCACCCCAACTACTTGTGAGGAAGGTCTCTGCCGTTGTTCACATGATTTAGCTACATCCACACTGTTAACCTTAGTGCATGTTTACGTTTCCTTCAATGGGTAGAACTAATAGGCAACCGACACTTATCATGCTTATGAAGGCTACGCGTTGCCATGGTGTTGCATGACTTCTGTCTACACACACAAGTGCCATTTGGCAAACTTGTCCAATTCCATATTCTCAAGATACCAAGTCGTTATGAATGAGCCGATAAGGCTCGAACTGAATGACTCCAGGTATCTGACGTTGAGTTCATGAGTGTGTATGATTGAGAGGGCAAAATTTTGTACTGTATGGTTAATACGATCTGACTCATACTTCCATCAACAACTGTAGGAACGCAATACTTGGGCAATTGATTGGAATAAAATGAAACTCACTGCGCTATTTATAGCAAATTACAATAAATATAATATAAGAGTAATCGACTTAATTTTTAAGAATCTTAAAAGTGTCCAAGTACTGCATTCAAGATGTCTGACTTTTTCTGCCTGCATCTGAATTCTGACAAACCAGTCAAACAGACAGCATTGTTATTTTCCTAAATATGAGACGGCGTCACAGGTTTACTTTACAATCACTGAGCAGTTATCCCCCTTTGTCACCAGCACGAGCAAATTTTGATATAGATGTGGCGTTATGTGACAATGTCACTACAACATGTACAAAACTTGTGTGTCTGAGCACTTGCAAGCATGCTCTATACAAGGGGGCACGGGTGGCCCAGTCGTCTAAGGCACCGCGATTCGCTGTGCAGAGTTGCGTCCCTTGGGCACGCCAGAAACCTATGATTGTGGGTTCGAATCCCGATTCGCCCTGATTATGTTTGTAGGTTTGTCAGCACCATACCAGTGCTCGTGGGTTTCACCGAAGTGGTAAACGTCTGAGACCTGCATCACCTCGGGCTTTCCTCCCACATTAAGCTGACACGCCGTGATATAACTGGAATACTGTTAAAAGCGGCGTTAAACCCAACTCACTCACTCACTCACTCACTCACTCACTCTATACAAACTAGACATGGCCTGACACTTGGATCAGTACCAGTCCTACTTCACCATTTGCAGTAGTAAAATAGTCCAATTAACATGTAAACACTTAGATTTGTATTGGTTCCTTAATGATACTCTTACGTTACATGAAGGAAATGCTTTTACAGTTTGGGGGGACAGATTTTAAAGCAGCCATGATGGGGCAATGCTTGAATATTAATCATGTTTATACCTGAGACATTACAGTATACCATGGTATACACTTAAACACCAGGGCCCACTTGCACAAAGCGATCTTAGCGCTACGACTATTGTAAGCCTATGTTAAAGCATGGGAGTTAAGATCATCTTAGCGCTAAGATCGCTTTGTGCAAGTGGGCCCAGTTCAGTAACAACAGGTTAGCAAAGTGATCCACTGGTCACCACAAGTCTGAAAAGATCCCACAACTACTGTAAATGTGGAAGTTACCATTAGTGTGAATCAAATGCGAAAAAATGCGAGTGGTCTTTGTTCGCAATAATGAAACTTCGCATTTATGTCTCCAAAATGACTAAGAACAATAAGACGGCCTCACTGCACACTTTGGATAGCAGAAATACCAACTTGAATCTAAACACAAACACAGTGTATTGAGCAGCAGTTGCAACAAGTCCATTGCAATGTCATTTAAAAAAAAGAATTACACAATAGACATTCAGTGAGTTATCACTGCTGGGGCCAAGAACTCTACCCACTTGTGTCAAACAAGGCATCATTGACCACTCCAATCAATGAACTGTTGTTGGTTCAATTATCTTTTTGCCTTTGAACTTCCTCAATGCCAGTCAACAGAATAAACATATAAACTGTGTGTTGTTTTCAGGAAAACATTATTTATTTTTATTACGGAAGTGCTCAAGTGTATCTCAAATACAGTACACACCTATCTCAAACACAGTTCATACCTATCTCAAATACAGTTCATACCTTTGTCAAATACAGTTCATACCTTTGTCAAATACCGTTCACACCTGTTTCAAATATGGTTCATGTCTAGGTCAAATGCTGCTATAACCTACATGAAATAGAATTCATACGAACATCAAATACAGTTCATACCTATATCAAATATGAATCATACCTATCTCAAATACAGACCATAGCTATGTCAAATATGGTTCGGGCCTATATGAAATATTGTTCATACCTATCTCAAATTCATTCCTTATCTTTATCAAATACCATCCATACCTCTATCGAGTATGGTTCAAACTAGGGCTGGGATGAGTCCAAATTTACTACCCGGGTACCCACCCCCTATTACCAGACCCTACCCGGGTACCCACTGTAGGTCTCAGGAGATGTCTAAAAATGTCCGATTTGGAACATTTTTAGCATAGCCCTGGCATAACGTATTTAGATACATGTATTAAACAATCTGGTCATTCATACACTGAAGTTGAATTAAGTTATATCTTAATTCAACCATATGAAAATTCAGAAGTCATGCAGATGGGTGCATAGTCAGGAAGAACTGCGAACATTAGTGACTTGTAGTGTAACCATAGAGTTCCAGATAATTTTTGCCATTAAACAATATATCACATGACTAACCATGTGTCCGGGTAGTCCTGTGGGTACCCGGGTCCTACTCAGTACCCACCCGACTCGGGTACCCGAGTTACCCGTCCCAACCCTGGTTCAAACCAATGTCCAATACAGCTGATTACATGATGCAGCTGCTTACTCTGACTCTCACAGATGTCAAGTGGGGATCCGGGGTAGAATAGGTCTTCAGGAACCCATGTTTGCCGTAAAAGGCGACTATGCTTGTCATAAGAGGCGACTAACGGGATTGGCTGGTCAAGCTCGCTGACTTGGTTGATGCATGTCATCTTATCCCAATTGCATAGATCGATGCTCATGATGTCAATCACTGGATTGTCTGGTCCAGACTCGATTATTTACAGACTGCCGTCATATAGCTGGACTATTGCTGAGTCTGGCGTTAAACAAGAAACAAACATTCAAACAAACAAGCAAACAAATAAACACTGTCACTCTCACAGATGTCCAGTGTTGTTATGTGCCAGGGGGCAGTCGGGTAGCCTAGTGGTTAAAGCGTTCGCTCGTCCCGCCGAAGACCCGGGTTCGATTCCCGACATGGGTACAATGTGTGAAGCCCATTTCTGGTGTCACCCGCCGTGATATGGCTGGAATATTGCTAAAAGCGGCGTAAAACTGTACTCACTCACTCACTGTTATGTGCCAGACTCAGCAGTATTCTTGCTGTTTAAGTTTAGATAATCGTGTCTGGACCAGGCAAACCAGTGATTGTAAGCATGAACAACCAGCAATGCCATAGTGTACTGGCCCCAACTGCCCGTAAAGATCCAGGGTAGAATAGGTCTTCAGCAACCCATGCTTGCCGTACAAAGCGACTATGCTTGTCGTAAGAGGCGACTAACGGGATCGGCTGGTCAAGCTCGCTGACTTGGTTGATGCATGTCATCTTATCCAAATTGTGTAGATCGATGCTCATGATGTCAATTACTTGATTGTCTGGTCCAGACTTGATTATTTACAGACCGCTGTCATATAGCTGAACTATTGCTGAGTGCGGCGTTAAACAACAAACAAACAAACAAACAAACTAGCCCTAACTCATCTATTAGGTACTTTTTAATAGCTTTCAATGTTGTAATAGGGTTCAACACAAGGAACTTGATTTAACTTGCACCAGTGCATGTTGACATGAAAAGCTAGTTGCTCCAGATCAAACCTGGTTGCACCCTCCCATAAATTTGTCAAAGTTAAAACGTAGATGCATGAACTAGTCTTAATAATAAAAATCTCAGATCTCTAATGTCTGTGACATGATTTTTCATAAGTTAATGACGTATTGCCGTAAAACGTAATAGGAACATGTGCACATAATCTTGAAGTACCCACAATTTGATGACATCAAGCCCAAGAAAGCATGACAAAATACACAACACAGGGATTAGGGATGTAGTTGGTACATAAAGCTTTAAGGTATTGAGTGTGTTCAAAGATCGATGTTGTGGTGACAGGTAAGGGTTAGTCAGACACAAATTTCAAGTTGATTTACATGCACTTGGGGGGTACGATGACCCAATCCATTTCAGTCGCCTGTTATCAGTGTTTCTGTTTACTGGTGATTACCACTTTTTTACCGGTAAAATTAGATTTGGACCGGTAATTCTTGTGACTGCCAGTCCCTGTGGACTGGCAAATAAGGTATCTTGTATACCTTTGTTGTTGAACATGATCTAAATAAGTCACTGAATTTGTCAGCCACGAAAGTACACTGCTTTGAAATTGATGTTGAAAGAATTACAACCAGGTAAATTTCATACAATTTTTATTTGTTGAAAGTTGGGACTGGCACGGGTGGCCCAGTCGTCTAAGGCGCCGCAATTTGCTGTGCAGAGTTGCGTCCCTTGGGCACCCCAGAAACCTATGATTGTGGGTTCGAATCTTGGTTTGCCTCGATTATATTTCTAGGTTTGTCAGCACCATACCCGTGCTCATTGTTTTCACTGAAGTGGTAAACGTCTGATACCTGCATCACTTCGGGCTTTCCTCCCACATTAAGCTGACACGCCGTGATATAACTGGAATACTGTTAAAAGCGGCGTTAAACCCAACTCACTCACTCACTCACTCACTCACTCACTCACTCACTCACTCACTCAGTTTCAGAATCTGAAAATGAAATTCTCAAGGCTCTTATATTATTATATTTTATTAAAGTAATTTAACACTTGTTGTTCAGTAAACAGCATTTGTTTTTACTTGATAACAAACAGCTTCACACCAGACTTTTGACTGCACATATTTCATGTCAGTATCACAAATAATGTAATTCTTATCATGCACACCCAAGAGATTTTGATAAAAATGACCCGATGGCATTTAATTCACTATATTCAGAGTCAGAAATATAGAGACCATGTTCTCTATGAAGTACATCATATCTGTGCCATTTTTCCATCCACCAAGCGTTGTACTATAGTAGGACCTGTTCCTCAAACACAGATACTGAATGCAGACCCTGTGCACTCTGTATGCCTGGCATGCTGCATGATTGGTCCCTGAGTCGTATACAAGCAATGAATTCCAGTCCATCATCCGAGGGGCCGAAACGGAGGTAATGTGATAGACATATATATATGACAGGTTTTCTGACAATTGTGACGAGGATGCATTTATCATGTTTATCTATATCACATGTTTATGAAATGTTGTTTGGTGCGATATTTAATCACGCCTAAAGTTTGAAGGGATAGACACGGCCACCGTAGTCTGTCATACAGAATCTGAAACAAATATATTCAACACAGCCCATGCAAGTCTATGATAATTGGTAAGTCTAGATTACTGCAGTTTCAGGGTCTAAAAATGAAGGAAGTCTCTGGGCTCTATTTGGTTATATTTCATTAAGATAATTTAACAATCAATCTTTAAACAGGGTAAAAAGAATTTATTGAAACATGTTGAAATCAAATTGTCAGCACTAAACAAAATGATGAAAAAAACATCAAGATAGATAGGGGGATTGTCTTATTTAATAAATCTGAGTAAAATTAGTAGGGATGGGGAGTAAAATGTAGGTAGGGTCGGGTAACTGAAAACAAGCATATTTTATTGATAAGCTTAGTCGGAAAAGATTGGTAGACTAGCTGGATATGACCAATGGTGTGACATTGGTGTCTACTCTGGGCTTGGTGACATGAAGACTGAACTGTGGAGGTTCCTTTTGAAGGCAACTTCACACTTTTTTACCTTTATAAAATTGTTCTTATATTTACTCGTGAGTGAGTGAGTTGGGTTTAGCGCCGCTTTTAACAGTATTCCAGTTATATCACAGCGTGTCAGCGTAATGTGGGAGGAAAGCCCCAAGTGATGCAGGTCTGAAACGTTTACCACTTTGGTGAAACCCATGAGCAAGGGTATGGTGCTGACAAACCTAGAAACATAATTGGGGCGAACCAGGATTCTAACCCACTATCATAGGTTTCGGGGGTGCCCAAGGGACGCAACTCTGCACAGTGAATCGTGGCGCCACCTGTGCCCCCATATTTAATCATGATCGTGATAAAACTTTTTCTGTATCACCATGGTAACTGTCTATAAAATATATATGTAAGCAAGGACAATGACGTCCATATATCTAAGCCATATTCATGACAAAGTGACAATACTAATTGACAGAGGACTGCAGTGAACAAGGTTGGTTGGTTGGTTTGTTGTTTAACGCGCACTCAGCAATATTCCAGCTATATGACGGCGGTCTGTAAATAATCTGGACTGGACAATCCAGTGATTAATATCACGAGCATCGATTCACGCAATTTGGATTGATGACATGTATCAACCAAGTCAGCGAGCCTGACCACCCAATCCTGTTAGTCGGCTTTTACGACAAGCATAGTCGCCTTTTACGGCAAGCATGGGTAGCTGAAGACCTATTCTATCCCGGATTTTCACGGGTCCAGTGAACAAGGTGACAGGTCACGGATGCTCTCATGCATTAGAATGTTGTACTCAGTTACACATGCATTAGAACGTTGTACTCAGTGACACATGCATTAGAACGTTGTACTCAGTGACACATGCATCAGAATGTTGTACTCAGTGACACATGCATCAGAACGTTGTACTCAGTGACACATGCATTAGAACAATGTACTCAGTGACACATACATCAGAACGTTGTACTCAGTGACACATGCATCAGAACGTTGTACTCAGTGACACATGCATTAGAACAATGTACTCAGTGACACATGCATTAAAACGTTGTACTCAGTGACGCAATGCCATGTGATATGCTTTCGTCTGTATAAATTCCCATTGTATCGCAAGCTGACACCCATGATTAGTGCTGGTTATCGCTTAGAATATGCATGTTGATAAAGATGGAGCTTAGTTATCGGTCGATAATCTATTTCAGTCGTAAACTCCACCAAACACACATAGGCAATAAGGAAATAAAATATAACATGGAATACTACTTCACACAAACACAAGTTGTTTTTCACCTCTGATTAGGGGCGGTTGGGTAGCCTAGTGGTTAAAGCTTTCGCTCGTCACCCCGAAGATCGGGTTCGATTCCCGACATGGGTACAATGTGTGTAGCCCATTTTTTCTTGTGTCCCGTGGAGATATTGCTGGAATATTGCTAAAAGCCGTGAAAAATCAAACTCACTCAGTCACCTCTGATTATGACTTCAATAGGTGATCGAGGTTACATTCTGGTTCTTGTTTGTGTGTTGTTTTGGTGCACATGGTGCAGCTGAGATACCGTATTCGAGGCAATAAGCGCCCAGGGCGCTCTCAAAAATAAAAATAGGGGGCTCTTATTAGAATAAAATTTTGGTGAAAACATCGTAAATTTCGTGGTTTATGTTGACAGCCTGAAATGATATAAAAGAAAAGTCTGTGTGTATCGTACACGACAGATATATTTTCCAGAATTTAATTGCCCACAATTAATGGTACATAAATTTTATAACACACGAGTGTGTATTATACACGAATAAATAAGTCTTGTGTTCATTGACAAATTGGAAGGGATGCTACTTGGGATTGTTCACTGGCCAATACATTTGCAAATATTGCCGTGGGCGCTTATTACAGCGGGGCGCTTATTACGTCAAATACGGTAACATGCTGATTACTGCACTTCTACACTTTACCCCTTCCTCTTGTGGCACACAAGTATATCTGTTGTTTACATTGCAATTACGAACCAGGAAACTTTATCAACTATTTCTGTCTTGATTTTAAAAACATAACAATAACAAACACTGTTTATAGTTTATTTTGGTCATTTTTATTCCGATAAGTCTCCCTAGTCAATCGATAATCGATGATGTTCTCCAGATCGATCAATTGAACGATTATTCGATCAATCGCCCAACCACTACCAATGATATTTAGGGCTGGCTATCGATATAGATCATAGATATTGATAATGGTAAACAAAATATCGATCAATTATCGATAAATATTGGATAAGTAACTCTGAGCAACTTTGCGAAAAAGGCCAAAGGAAATCAACATATTTCACATCACTCGTGAGTGGTGACACATTTACAGGCGCTAAACTGCCATTGCAGCAGAAAAGCAATTGTACAAAAAAGCACAATTTATTTTACATCTGAAAAAACACACTTTTTAAAAAAAATCTGTAAGCCTAAATATATCGTCTATGCAGTAAGTTATTGGTTCAAACTCTGCACAGTTCAACATGATATTTATTGTCTAACTTGGAAATTGAAATCTTTAGGCACTTGAGGATTTTAGTGGTAGATAGTTTATCAAGTTGTGAGAGTGATGACTCTTTGTTGACTTGAGGCACGTTGATAATGTAGACCGTCAATGAAGATTGAAAGGCTATTTTAGATCATCATAATTACCCATGTGGAAGTTTGACAAACCAATAGCCTGTTTTGGTCTCTCACAATTATTTTCATTATAATGATTGGTCTGCTTGTGGTAAAATATGAAAAAATACATAACATTCACATACTATGAATGAACATATTTAAACACATAAAAGTAATACCATATTCGACGTAATAAGAACCAATGGCGATATTGGCTAATATATTTGCTAGTGAACAATCCCAGTTAGCAACCCTTCCGATTGATCAATGTACACAAGACTTATTTATTCGTGTATAATACTCACTCGTGTGTTATATGCACCCTTAATTATGGGCAAATAAATTCTCGAAAAATATATCTGTGTACATAAACATTTTAGGCTGTCAGCATACACCATGAAATTTATCTTTCAACTTTGTTTTCTTCACTAAAATAATATTCTAATAAGAGCCCCCTATTTTTAATTTTGAGAACACCCTGGGCGCTCACTCACTCACTCACTCACTCACTCACTCACTCACTCACTCACTCACTCACTCACTCACTCACTCACTCACTCACTCACTCACTCACTCACTCACTCACTCACTCTATTCTTTGTTTTCAGGGATTCCCCGTCCCATTCAGGAAATGAAATGCAGCAGAAACAGTCAAAGCAAAGAAAGGTTCCCGTCGAGGATGGAGTCGTTACAATCGACTGTGCCCCTTACTGCCGAAAAATAGGCTTGTATCGTCCCCCCTTTAGATACGTGTGGTGTGTGAAGGATATATGTGGTGTGATATGTGCTATATTCACATGGCTGCTCATACTGTATGCAGAGTATGTGGTGATGTTCGTCATGCTGCTGCCCGGTCACAATGCATTCTACAGTCTGGTCCATGGGATCCTGTACAATATGCTGGCATCCCTGGCCATCGGGTCTCATCTACGCACAATGTTCACAGATCCTGTAAGTATAGATGTGGTCAGTTAGGGTTACAGCAATCTCATTAAAATCAGGGGCGCGTTGCAAGCCACGAATCGCTCAGAGCAAATTAATCGCTCATCCTGGTGTCTGCAACAGTTCGAAGCGCTTGCCCACTCTTCCAAAATGGCGGCGCAACTAGCGCTTGGTTGCCTTGACGTAATGAAGAACGTAATAGAAGAGCCTCGATGACGAGCTGATGGAATTTATGACTACTTTGAAGATGTAAAGCAGGCTGAGGATGATGGGGTCTTCGCTGCCTTTGCTCATTTCCTCGTTGATCCAGTCAAGAATTTCTTGTTCCGCTGTCAAAGTGAGCTGCCATTTTGGCTTGAGAACGAAGCGACCTCAGCCAGCGATTGTTTCGCTTGCAAGCGGCTGAAAGTTAGCGAACTGTTGTAAGGCGATTCGCTGTACATCGTTTGCAAGCAATTGGCGCTTTGTAACGCACCCCAGATCTTAGTTCTCGCTACTGCTAAACAAAGATCTGAGGACATCCCATTACGGGTCACGTCAGACCGACCTTGCGCGAACTTTGACCGACCAATGGAATGACCAATCAGAAACCAGCTTTTTTGTGCTTTAGGCACAAATTTCAAATACGCTTCGAAACATATTTTGACAAATTCTCAATTACAAATTTGAAACCTGAACAAAAAAACATTCTGGAATGACTAATAGATGGTCTAGAATATAAGGATTCAGTTGTTAAACCCGTAACTATCGTTCGGAATACCCCATGTTAAAGTTTTCGAGATTGCATGATTAGAAATCACATTCCGACAGTCACTTTCATAATCTGGTAAGCGACGTACTGATTGGTCGGATGAAAGGTCGTTCTGACGTGACCCCTAATGGGATGTCTTCAGATCTTTGTTTAGAGGTAGCAAGAACTGAGGTCTGATTTTAATGAGATTGGGGTTACAGCGGCGTTAGAAATTGGCACTAGTCCTATAGTCCATGCCAAACTGCCCAATACTGGCAGTAGTTAAGGTATCCTGAGGACTAGTAGAAATTTGCCCTTTTCAGGGGTGTTGCTATATGTTATCATTATAAGGACTAGTGGGCTAAAACTGTTAGTTTCTATTGCAGTTACAGGGAGTCTCGGGCCAGTTGTGTGTTTGTTTGTTGTTTTACGCTTTACTTTTGCAATATTCCAGCTATTTGACGGCGGTCTGTAAATAATCGAGTCTGGACCACACAATCCACATCATGAGCATCGATCCACGCATCAACCATGTCAGCGAGCCTGACCACCTCATTCCGTTAGTCGCCTCTTACAACAAGCATAGTCGCCTCTTATAAGAAGCCAGGCTCGTTGACTTTGTTGATGCATGTCATCGTATCCCAATTGCGTTAATCGATGCTCATGTTGTCAATCACTGAATTGTCCGTCCTGACTCGATTATTTACAGACCGCCATCATATAGCTGGAATATTTTTGAGTGTGGCGCTAAACAACATACAAACAAACAAAGAAACAAGCAAATGTTATGACAAGCATGGGTTGCTGAAGACCTATTCTTTACCGCATCTTCTTAGGCCCCAAATTGCGTGGATCGATGCTCATGATATTAATCACTGGATTGGCTGTTCCAGACTCGATTATTTACAGACCGCCGTCTTATAGCTGGAATGTTGCTGAGTGCAGCTTTAAACAACAAACCTTTCCACTAAGTGAATTTATCGTATCGTCTTGTATTGTTAGACAAAAACATATCATGAATCTTATTGTTGCATGAAAACTCAGATGCCCCAGTGCACTGATGTCCTAACATGACTTCTCACAAAATAGCTTATCACTGAAATGTTTAAAAGAAAAGGTTTTGAAATTAAGAATGAAAGCTGATGGGTCCTTGTCATGACCGTGACAAAAATAAAGACTTTGGAGGGCCTAAAAATCTTCAAGCACCCCAGGACCCAACTTAATTTCGAACAATGTATGACATAATTAAAATATAATCTCCTTCAAAGTTGAGACTGACTGTTTCAGGGTGCAGTGCCGAAGGGTAACGCAACGCGGGAGAACATCCTCCGACTCGGGCTGAAGGAAGGAGAGGTGGTCTTCAAATGTCCCAAGTGTATCAGTATCAAACCAGAGCGGGCCCACCACTGCAGGTATGTTGCGGGACAATCAGGGTTTCTCACAAGCTGCCCAAAAGCAGAAGGCTTCCTGTTCAAACCTTTATCTCACCAGGTGACCAAAGGAATTTCCTGAGGTGGAAGAGTAGACTTGGGCATAAATGGACAGCCACTTTGGCCTTTTCACATACCGTATTAGACGAAATAAGCGCCCTGGGCGCTCTCAAAATTAGAAATCGGGGGCTCTTATTAGAATATTATTTGGGTGGAAAAAACAGAGTTGAAAGATAAATTTTGTGGTTTATGCTGACAGCTTGAAATGTTTATGTACGACAGATATATTTTTCCAGAATTTAATTCCCAATAATTAACGGTGCATATAACACATGAGTGCGTATTATACGCGAATAAATAAATCTTGTGTACATTAATCAATCGGAAGGGGTGCTAATTGGGATTGTTCATTAGCCAATATATTAGCAAATATCGCTGTGGGCGCTTATTAGAGAGGGACGCTTATTACGTCGAATACGGTATTATAAAATGTAGCATTATCGCAAGGGATATGTGTGGTTTTGTGTATCCCGTGGCTTTTTGGTTGTAGCGGGGTATAAGAGATGTATTGTCCCACGCAGAAATTCATGTGCAGTCTGTTTTCTTTGTGATGGGGTATAAGAGATTTATTCTCCTGCTCAGAAATTTATTTCCCTCCCAGGCAGGATACATTGTATTTTATCAAGATCACGTGAACCAGTCAGATCTCACCATTCTGACATGGAGGTAAGATACTGAGATCTGTCATGGGTCAGATGTAAGGACTTTATCTCTATGTTATCATGGCAATGGGGGGCACGGGTGGCCCAGTCATCTAAGGCACTGTGATTCGCTTGCAGAGTTGCTTCCCTTTGGCACATCAGAAACCTATGATTGTGAGTTCGAATCCTGGTTCACCCCGATAATGTTTCTAGGTTTGTCAGCACCATACCCATGCTCGTGGGTTTCACTGAAGTGGTAAATGTGGGAGGAAAGCCCGAAGTGATGCAGGTCTCAGATGTTTACCACTTCGGTGAAACCCATGAGCACAGGTATGGTTCTGACAAGCCTTGAAACATAATCGGGGCAAACCGGGATTTGAACCCACAATCATAGGTTTCTGGGGTGCCCAAGGGGCGCAACTCTGCACAGCAAATCGCGGCTCCTTAGACAACTTGGCCACCCGTGTCCCCAAATCTGAAATCAAGGTATTTATCACCAAAATACAATAGATATCAATGTGCAAAGAATTACCAATTTTGTAATTGCCTGTCATGATAATAGAAAGTTTTTTAATATATATTTTCAAGATGTAAGGACAACAATCCTTAGATGATGTCTTAACACAAAAAGGCAGTTAAGACAATATATCTGCCTCTTGAAATTGTTGCCATCTATTAGGGCTGGGACGAGTGACTCCGGTACTCGGGTCGGGTGAATCCCAACTAGGACCCAGGTACCCACAGTACAACCCAGACCCAGGCTTAGTCACGTGATATATTGTTTAATGACCAAAATTCACTGAAGCTCAGGGAGGACACTACAAGTCTCTAATGTTCACATTTCTTTCTGACGATGCACACATTCCTTTTGACTTGTATAGGGGGCACGGGTGGCCCAGTCGTCTAAGGTGCCGAGATTCGCTGTGCAGAGTTGCGTCCCTTGGGCATGCCAGAAACCTGATTGTGGGTTCGAATCCCGGTTCGCCCCGATTATGTTTCTAGGTTTGTCAGCACCATACCTGTGCTCGTGGGTTTCACCGAAGTGGTAAATGTCTGAGACCTGCATGACTTCAGGCTTTCCTCCCACATTAAGCTGACATGCCGTGATATAACTGGAATACTGTTAAAAGCGGCGTTAAACCAAACACACTCACATTTGACTTGTATATGTTCGAGTGAAGATAAAGCTTCAGTCAACTTCAGTGTATGCATGATCTCATCGCTTGATACATGTATCTTAACAGTTCTTGTCAGGGCTGCGGTAAAACAATTCCCAATCAGACATTTTGTTCACACATCTTGACACCTACAGTGGGTATCCGGGTAGGGTTGGGTAATAGGGGCACGGGTATCCTTAGTAAATTTGGACTCGTCCCAGCCCTACCGTATCAATATGTTTGAAGAAGCTCCTCACAATCACACATAATGCAGGGAGACCAGTTTCTTGCTTATTTGGAGTTATCTCCCTTCCATCTATTTGTGGACTTTGAGGAAAATGGATGAGGAAAAAGATCTGAACGAGAAACCTGAGAAGGGGAATTGACTTGTAGAGTTGTTTAGTTCTTCCAGCTGGTTTGACGTACATTTGATTAATCCCAACTACAACATGTCTGACATCCTGTAAAAATTTATTTAAGAATAAATTTCAAGAAGTAGAAAAGTGTCGAATCTGAAATCCATGTAGTAATATTTTTTTAATGATTTTATGGCCTCAATATGCTTTGTGTTGATTATATATTTATGACTCTTGTGATCTGGAATTTTTCACTTATTTTGTGTCCCCTACTTACTTGAAATTTGAAAGTTTATTTTAAAATTGAAATACTCACTGAATTCTAAATGGATATGACTGCAGATAAATCATATTTATGGTTGTACGGCAGATAGTATTTTTCTTTTGAAAAACAGTTAAGTGAAAGAAAGCAATAGCCAGAATAAAATTACTTTTAAAAAAAACCTTTACTTTTGAAATGCAATTAATTTGTATGACTTTGATCTCAATTCCCTTGACACAAACAAGGTTTATTTTGTATGCACGTCTCGTAGAAATATTGTTTACTGCATCGACAAATGAATTTCACATTGATTTACCATTTTAATCCAAATATACATTGAAATATTTTGACTTGTAATCTCACAAGAACAAGTTTGAGAACATTCCAATGATCAAATCTCATAAACTGTGAATACGGTCCTGAAATACGCTTGTATTTTACACATCCGTCTTTCCTCGAAATCAGTGATTTATAGTCAGGGCATTTAAGGTTTTTACTTGGTTGAATTTTGTGTGTTTTTTCTATTCTTGTGTTCTGTAATATCAATATGTATCCCCTTACATTTAGCTATGGCTGTAACTTTATCCACGAGGTTGTATGTAATTGAGGTTCCATGTTTTAGGGGATGTTATTGACCCAGTGGACTGTCCCAAATCGGTGAGGGATCATGGGATGGATGATGTCCGTTTACTTAAGTACCGTATTCAACATGCTTTGCTGGCTTCTGCAACTGGCATAAGCATCCCTGAGTGTATTTTGGTGGCATAAGACATGCCGTATCGGCAATTAATGCCTCCTGTAGCCAGACTGTGTGGACCATGCATGATGGACTCTCATGCTGTAGAGGGTGCCTTGCTGTATTGTTACTCCAACTATAGCCAGAGTCAGGGAAATGTGCGCCCAATGCGCCCAAATGTATAGAATGGATGCAGAAAAAGTATATATTGCATCCCAAGGGACAGACAGTAATATTCATTGTACATTGGCAAGAAATACTGAGTTCCTGAAATTTATGTAATTATTAAATCTTACAGTACAGTATACTACACCATTTCATTACTTTACAGGACACTTATATTTCCTGTAAGGACCCATGAAATACTCTAGTTTCCTAGGTTGAGGTAACACCCTGCAGGGTGTACATGTCTGATGGGATGGAGACACATGCTGTGTCGCTGTTGTATAAATGTCCCCTATAGCCAGGCTGTATATATGTGACATGGAGTCACATGCTGTGCCCCCGTGAAGATCTGGGGTAGAATAGATCTTCAGCAACCCATACATGCCTTTACAGGCGACTATGCTTGTCGTAAGATGGGATAAGCAGGATCAGGTGGTCAGACTCGCTGACTTGGTTGATGCATGCCATCGATCCCAATTGCGTGGATCGATGCTCATGATATTAATCACTGGATTGTCTGGTTCAGACTCGATTATTTTCAGACCGCCATCATATAGCTGGAATATTGCTGAGTGCGGCGTTAAATAACCAACCAACCAACCAACCAATCACATGCTGTGTCGCTGTTGTATTCATGTCGCCTATAGCCAGGTTGTACATATATGACATGGAGCCACATGTTGTGGAGTGTGTGTTGCTGTTGTATTAATGTCCCCTACAGCCAGGTTGTACATATGTGACATGGAGCCACATGCTGTTGAGGGTGTGTAACTGTTGTATTAATGTTCCCTATAGCCAGGTTGTACATATCTGACATGGAGTCACATTATGTGGAGAGTGTGTCGCTGTTGTGTTCATATCCCCTACAGCCAGGTTGTACATATGTGACATTGAGCCACATGCTGTGGAGAATGTGTCGCTGTTGTATTAATGTCCCCTACAGCCAGGCTGTACATATATGACATGGAGCCACATGTTGTGGAGTGTGTGTTGCTGTTGTATTAATGTCCCCTACAGCCAGGCTGTACATATCTGACATGGAGCCACATGTTGTGGAGTGTGTGTTGCTGTTGTATTAATGTCCCCTACAGCCAGGTTGTACATATGTGACATGGAGCCACATGCTGTTGAGGGTGTATCGCTGTTGTATTAATCCCCCCTACAGCCAGGTTGTACATATCTGACATGGTGTCACATGCTGTTGAGTGTGTCGCTGTTGTATTAATGTCCCCTACAGCCAGGTTGTACATATGTGACATGGAGCCACATGCTGTGGAGAGAGTGTCGCTGTTGTGTTCATATCCCCTATAGCCCATGATAGCCAGGCTGTACAAATGTGACATGGAGCCACATGCTGTGGAGAATGTGTCGCTGTTGTATTAATGTCCCCTATAGCCAGGCTGTACATATGTGACATGGAGCCACATGCTGTGGAGAGTGTGTCGCTGTTGTGTTCATATCCCCTATATCCAGGCTGTACAAATGTGACATGATGGAGTTGCCTCACTGTTGTATGCATGTAGATTTAAACTCACTCCAGGTTGACTGAGTTGTTTATTGGGAAGATAGCTCCTGGCCCTCTGTGTTGCTCATCATGTGAAGGGG